AGCTTGATTAGCATATATTTGTATTTGTATTTTTCATATACAGGCTATGATTTATTTTTAGATTTATCAGGTTTTCATATGACAGCAAGATAGGTTATATATCTTTCTAAATTCCTAAAGAGACGATCTACCCGCAGCCACCACAGAAAGACACTAAACAGCCCACTTAAGCAGCAGCACCTTTAAAGTGCATGGAAAGTGCATCCATGTGAATATTGAACACACACACACACACACAGAGTTTGGATTTCTCTCGTGGATCGATATTGAAGCAATCTGGCCGTTAATCTCATTTGCACTTGTGTTTTCTTCTTTGCGAATGCTGCTGCAGACTGGCGGCGTAGGCTCTTCAGTGAAATTACAAGAAATTCAGCATTGACATAGATTTTCTCTGCTCACATGAATATTTTAGGATTCCTATGCAATTAGATTTTAGGGAGATAATCAATACACTTTGTACACATAATTTATATATTTGTCCACATCATTTAAGTATTTTTTATGACAGACTAAACTGAAAGGACCATTTTTGGAAAAGAAAAATGTTATGTCTGCAATTTATGTCCAATACATTTGTGGCACCTGATGACTAATTTTTCATGTTGGAATAGAAATGTAGAATATAAAGCATCTAATATCTATTCAACAAATCAAAATAGCTTAAGGTTAATTTGCAGTTGCAAGGTATTTTATCCTCATAAACTGCTATTTTCTGTTTGTGTGTTTATATATTTAGTGATATGTAATCTATGTACCTAAAGGCGTGCTAGCAGCCATGCCAGTTTGTCAGCTGGTCAGTCCACCTCTTTGTTCCAGATTGAAATATCTCAACAACTACTTAATGGACTGGCAGACAATTTTGTACAGACGTTCATGGTTCTCAGAAGACTTATTCTAATGACTTTGGTGATCTTCTGATGTTTCCTATAGCGCCACCATGAGGTTGACATTTGTGAAATTGAGACTATTTGATCGACTGCTATGACATTTGGCACAGATATCCATGTTCCTCTCAGGATGAGTTGTGATAACTTTGATGATCCCCTGACCTTGCTTGCTTTAGCGCCATCATCAGGTCAGAATTTGGTTTATGACCAAGTCCCTGTAAAACTGACTGACCACTGTCCTTAAATACAGCCTTATAGAGCTGCTAGTGTAGCTGTAGACTTTTATTCTCATTATCTCCACCAAGAAGGTTATGTTTTCACCGGTGTCTGTTTATTTGTCAGAGTAATTTCGCAAAAAGTAGCTAACCAGTTTACACCGAACTTGGTGAAGGGATGGCTCATAGGCCAGGGAAGAACCCACTCAATTTTGGTGAAGATACGGGCCAGACCCAGGAATTAGTTTTTTATTGCTTTCGTTTACATTGCAAACCGTAACCCACCTCAGCAGAGGTATACTTCCCATCCTAGTTTCAGTATGGTTTCAACTATAAATCACACTATTCCTTGTGTGCTGAAATGATCATACTACATGGGTATCTTGAGACCGTCAATACCGCTAGGCTATCATAAATGAATTTTCAACACTATTCTCTTCGGGGGGCTTCAGTGTTAAAGACACAAATAATTCCTGTTTCATTTTTCACAGTTCTGAGATTAATGTGAGGCAGGTGAGTCGGGAGCAACTGACCTGAACCTCCACTGCTTACAACAGTGTAAAACTGTTGTGTCCATTTGGCCCGAGAGCTTATCAATAACTCTCTCTCAAGAATCGGATGAATAATGGATCAAAGACAAATGTTACTTAAAATTCACATCCATCTGAGGGATTAGATCAGCAGGTCTGGGCTTCAAACAGCAGAAACAAATCAAGGGCTGACATGTTTTGAAGTCGGTTATTGATCATTGCTGGCTGCAGTTCAGGGGCCTGGTGGTGACTCTCTGACTGCTCCCACATGACCGCTGCTGCAGAGCAACCAGCCGGTCTGGATTTCCAGGGAGAAGTGACGCTTCAGGGCAGGGGAGGGCAGCGAGTCTTTTGATGGTCTCCCAAAGTCAGCTTTTCCCTCAGCAGCACTGAGCTGTTTGTTTTTCTTATTTTCATAAACTGAATCCATTTCGGTGATTAGGCCAAATGATGATTCATCACATCACTAGCAGGACCTTTGCGGCTTTAAGTGCCCTGTGTTTCCACGTGGAGGACTGACAACTCCCATCAAACCTTGCTTCTCTCCAGCCTAATGCACTTCAGAGGAAATAACAGCATGGATCATTTCCTTGTCAATATAGTTGTTAAACATATCAAAGCATGCTTGATTGATTGGTTTTAATCATATGTTAATGCTTCAGTAAAAACTTGGCTGCTCCTCTTTATCCATACACAACAAATAAACATGAGGTCAGCCCTCTTTAGCTTGTTCTTGAATGCAGCTTCTTTTTAAAGTGGTGATAAACAACCTTAAGTGGAATTTTAAGTGTTTTTTATTTCAGAAATAAGGGGGAAAACAGTCACAGTAATTTATATATTCCCTTTGTGAAATTGTTTTTAGTTTAAATTTTGTGGACGTTCCCAGGAAATATCTTGGTTACTGCTCCTTTATGCTCTTAAATGCTCCTCAAGCCTATCAAAAACATACATTTTGTGCTAAATCAGATTGTTTTGTAAATGGGAGGATTGGTTTGTAACCCCAACACAGAGGAATAACATCAATCATGTCTGTGGTGTTATGCTAATGGAGAGCTTTAATGAAAATGGACTTGAAATGAGGAAAAAACAATATTCAGACTCTGGAACGAAATTATTGCCGTTATTCAAAAATGAAGCGACAGAGACTCAAGCAAATGTTACATGAGTCAACACCGGTTTCCAGTGTACAGTGGAGCAGCTCCAGGCATCTCTCTTAATGATATTTTACCATAAATTTCAGTAACTCATTAATGACTCAAAACTTAAAAAATGAGTGGAATAACATGATAAATACATTATATATCATTCTCTGTGACATGTAATAAAACTCAGGCTCAGTTGATCTCAATTTTAAGTAAGAGGAAAACATCTTTCATTCCATTTTATGATACTTCATACCTCTACTCAACATTTGACAGCTTCAACTGCTAGTTTAAAACAAAAAGCAAAGATTGTGATGGTGTTGCTTTGGACTCTGGGTAATCACGACTGACTTTTCTCTCTATTTTCTGACTTTTCCCGAGTAAATAGTCAGCAAATTAGTCCACAATACGAATAATCATTAATTACAGGCCCATGCGGTGATGGTGGCACGATGGGGTCCTATCGCCAAAGACTCCTCACATCAGCTGTTTCTGCTGTGCACACCATGTCAATCAATTCATTTTAAGCCTCTAATCTTTTGGAAGAATGATGTTAATCCCTCCAGTGGAGTCCCACAGGCGTTGGGAAGTGCTGAGACACAGACATGAGAGTAGTGCTGATTGATTCTCATTTTCATAAAGAAAAGAAAAGAAGGGTAAGTTTTTAATTTAAATTAATGAACATTAATTTGCCAAGTTAGTTGCAGTATATACTACACCAACAAGGTCAAGGTATAGGCTACTTATTTTTCAGTGTTGTTCCCGATCATAAAAATATCAATATTATTAACCCCACTGATCATCTGAAGCAGAGATGTATCTTGTCTTCTTGATTGTTGTCCTCGGCATTCAGGTCAGGAGGTCAGCATCGGAGCCGAGAGGGTAGCAGTGTCTTTCTTACTCGAGGACACTTCAGCAGCGGTCACAAAGATTTAACCACTGGACGTCATAGCATTCAACAACTGACACCTAACACCAGCATGATGCAAATCAACTTTCTATGTCCCCAACATTTTTAGTGGGTGAGATTTTGGAAAAAAAAAAAAAACCCAGATTGGGGCACGTCAGGGTTGAGGTTTGAGTCATAGTACATGTCTTGTTTACGCAGCAAACAACTGGATTAAGTGTAATCAGAGAATATGCTTTTGATACAGTGTCCATAATTATTTCAAGAAATGAAAACATTTTGGTAAAGTTATTTTCCTGCCTCCAAGGAGAAACGTGACAGGCCTGTTTTGTGGTGGCACGCATTTGGATCTGTAGAGGATGTTCTCCTTGGTGCAGGCTGGTCTCAAAGCAGTAGGTGTCGCTGTTTCTCTCTAATAGACAGCTGGACAGCAGACCTGCAGGGATGCAATGGTAAGTGAGTTCTGAAATAGGAAAAAAAGAGGTGATCGCGCTTATTTGATGTTTTCAGTTGTAAAGATGCTGATTAAATTTTAAACTATCAAAATATATTTTGTTAAATCAAAGAAAGTCTGAGCATTTGTGACACGTTGTCTTTTAATACTTGTGCTGTTCGCATCCATCTCCGCGTCCCACCTCTTGCTTCCAATTATCTCAGAGAGCCGGACCGGTTACTAGACCAAGACTTCTGATTGGCCGGATCAGGTGTCAATCATACCCTCGTCCTGTAGACTCCTGTTGGCGAATTCAGTCCACACCAGAAGTCAGAAAGTCAAATTTTACCAAGGGCACAAAAGGGGAAGCGTACATTTATCCGGTTATTCTCACTGCTCTCATCACGTTTCATAGGAAAGTAGTGGAATTATACTCTTTAGTTTTTTGAACGTTACTTGTTTGTTTGGTTTTGTAGTTTAAAAAAGGAGGTTAATTGGGCTTTAGGACTTGTTGGCTCATTTCTCCGGCATTTTTGCGCGCCGTGCCAGCGCAGCTTCTTGCGCACCTGAGTCTGCTGCTCAATTTGTGCAGCGTCAACATGACTTTAATGCTTCTTAGCCACTAAACTATGATGGTGACAATACCCACCGGTGACATGCTTGTTGTGGCGAGCCTCCGTAAATGCGCAATCTCTCACTGTGGAATAACCACTGGGGTCCAGGTGTCATCATTAGGGAGAGCCGATGTGGCCGTTTGGCGGAGCGCACCACCAGTTTGATGCTTTCTGGGATTTGACAGAGCGCAAGAGTTTGGGATGCAACAGAAACCCTAGAGAGACAATCCCCTGCTACTTTCACCTGGATTCAACAAGGGCTGCCCAGAGCCATGGCCTCTGAGGTGGTGTGCGGGCTGGTCTTCAGGTTACTGCTGCCAGTGTGTCTTGCAGCTGGTGAGTTGTTGTATTTTTTTTTTTTATGCAACAAATTCTTTAATGGCTTTTTGTGCTATGTGTGCTTCAGCTGGGATTGGGTTATTCATCAATTGATAGTTTATCTAATACTCATAAAGTCGATTCACTATCCTGCACGTGTTTATTATACTTACATGTGACTTTAAAAGAAGGCTGTGGCTTAAACATTTTACTAAGTGACTTTTATTTTGTTTTTATTTAGAAAAATGGCTTTTCCCACTTTTGTGCACTGACACGAATCATCTGTGACATTAATTCAAAAATCTGATTGCACCCATCTTTAGTATGTGTGTATGTAGGATGTTCAGAGCAGCAATCAAATTTATGCTCGAGTGAAAATTATATCGAAATCTATGATGATTTACACGACCGACCTCATGATGCTGGAGGTCACAGTTCATCCCTCCTCACTGCTGAGATCTGTGCCCTCACACTGAACCCAAACAAGGGTGCACAGACTCATGTATCAGCTATTATATAAATTACAAGCCAGGAGCAAATGGTTCACCAGCACTGTTCCTCACTTGGCTGTCACCTTTTATTGGATTTAGTAAAGGAAACACAGCCGACAACAGAGAGGACAGTCACTGCAGAGTGTGCGACAAAGGCAACCTTTTGGAGTCACTGCACACTGCATATGTTTATCTGTCAGTCTGGATGTCTGGAAATGTCTGGTATTAAAAAAGGAGACTAATAATAATAAGTTAATGTTTTTTTTTTATCTTTCCACAGTGTTTTATACTAAAATCACCAAATCACAGTTTTGTTTTTTCTATTGTTTTATTCTAATCAGTTTTTTCACTCTGAATGAGACACTAATTTAATTCCAGCGCACAGAGGTTGCTCAAATATGAAAATTACACACAGTGCTTTTATAGTATTGGTGATTTAAATCTTTGGTTTCCATTGTGGTTTTTGAGTTTTGCTTAATGGCTATTAATGAATCATCAGTGGTGTTATTGATTGTTTAGCTGCCTACTGGACATAGAGCACATGTCTGTAGTGTTAATATTATTAATTAACATTTGCATTGCCTTGACGGTGTTAGAGCTTCATGTCTTGTGTTGTTTCTCATTCAGTTTTTGTTGCTTTGTTTACAGCGTTTGTGACTTTGTTGAGAGAAGTGCTCGACATAGATGGAGTTGCTGCTGCTGTGTTATTGAATGTTTCCCTTTGTTCATTCTTTTGCTTTGAAGATTTGGGTTATTCATACTCCAAATGTGGCAGCTTATTTGGTGACTTTTAGCAGCTCTAAGCAGACTGGGGGAGTCTCATCCTTGAAGCTCAGATAGTTAGTTTCACTGACAAAGAGGGCACACACTTAAATTCAGATTTGTGGAGATGATGCTCGAGGCCTGATCATGAACACACCTCAGATACAGACTCCATTAAATGTACTTTACTTTGTGTTTAAAGCTGTAATTTTGTGGTAGACCACAAATGAAAAATGATTAGCGTCTAACTGCCACTGAGGTTTCCACTTTGGTGTCTGTGTAAGACTTATTACGCTGGCGTACTTTTAAAGCTAACAGCATGCTTTCTATAGATAAGACCCACTCAGTACCACCATAATGCATCACCTGACAGCCCGACGCCCCCTTTATTTCCAAAAGCAATTGCAAGGCCATGCATTGTCTCCCATTAATTCATGGAAAGTCGTTTTAACAGTATGAATTAGTAATGCGGTTGTGAGGGAGAGAAGAATTGCCTTCCCTTTTATCGTAAACATACCTTTTTAATATTTTATGTTTTTTCAAAGTGCAAATGAGCACTTGTCATTCACCGCAGCTGTGCAGAGTAACTGACAGGATGGAGGAAATGTAAAGTGGAAAGAACGGAACGTGTACAAGTGCAGATGGCGTTAGGGATGAGAGAAAGTATTTGTATTATCAGCATCACCTGCAGCAACTGAGTTTTCTTAATTGTCTCTGTTTTTGTCAACCAAAGACCTCTTACTTAACACTACTGAATGGATTTGATGTCAGTCAATAACCATCAGCAAACAGTTTATGCTGATAATTGTTTTTTTTCTTGATTATTTGTCACACTTGTAGCAAGGATTTACCTCATTTGTCTCTTGTTTTGGTTCAAATTCTTATAGTTTTGTCTTTGATGTCATGAGTTTTATGGTAAAATAGGACAATAAAATATATTTTTGCCGTCTTAGTGCTGAATAAACAGCACAGCAGATGCTGTCTGACTCAAACACCTACATCTCTCTTGCTGTTTACATTCAGTGGTGTAATATATATATTGCCGATCCTCGCTGTTCTCGTGTCCTATAGTGAAAGACTTGTCTTCTGACGTTACATAGTCTGTGTTTCCTGTTGGCCATCTGACAGCACCTCTATTGAAAAGCACAGAACTGCTGGGCCCATGTGTACACAGTCCCTCTACCACCACACACACACACACATTTGCACACAGTTACAGTTTCACTGATCAAACAGTCCGCGGTTTATGCGTTTACTGGCAGAGTTTGGAGTGTGAACATGATTGTGAGCGTGCACTTTCCCAAATGTCTGATCTGATATCGAACATGTCGTGTGAACGTACAGACGGAGCAGCAGGTCAGCTGTGTTGAGTGGGGCAGGTTGCAGGAGAGTAAAGCACAAATAAAGACAGACAGAGGTGGCAGTGGATGTGCAGATGCTTAGCTGTTGGGAGCATCACTGGAACCATCATGCTCATTTCTGTTCGAGTTTTAATTTAATAAGACAAAATCAATTTCTGCCTACACGCTGCTCCATAGATGATGTGCTGGTGCATCACAGAACTAATGGTTTTAACCCACTGAGATTAGTCATCACAAGTGATAACAACACACAGTGAAAGCCTATTCTAACATTTTTATGGTTATAAATGCATAGGAACAAAAACCTTTCAATCAAAACTACACTCTATCCCAGCAGAAACAGAGCAATTATGTCATGTGAAGATGTGGTAAAAAATTGTTCTGTTTAAGATCGACAGTCATGTAAAGAAAAAAAAAAATCTTTAATTATACATAATAATGTATAAAGTAATTTATTTTAATGTGCTTAATTAAAAAATGCCCCTGTCTTTTGTCCGATTAAGCAAAATGAACCAGGAGCAGAGTTATACACTTGGCTTGGGCGAAATCCAAAACGTAATATCTCAATACAATCCAGCTCAAATTGCCATATACGATATTATCGCGGGGAGGGGGATTGAATATTTGAATAATATATAATAGTTATAATAGTGTTGTATTTTATGTGTCAGATTCTTTTCCCACCAAGGCAATGGTGCTTCATTTTAACATTGTTGAACATAAACGAATCAGAAAAAAATATGTGATCCAACATTTCAAGTCAGTCTGCTAGTTCAGTCAGTAAACCAGTTAGAGGCAGAGCTGTGCACACAAGAAAAGATAGCGTTGAGTTAAAAACAGTTTTTAGGTTGTTAGCTAAAAACAAATTCAGATTTGACAGAGTTTGAAGAGCCAGGTTAGAGAAGACGTGATGCTACATGAAAAGGAGAGCCTTGGTGTAAGTAGTTAAATGTCTGATAAAGAATATCTATCCTCAAACTGGAGGTTACTATGACATAAACAGTCTCGTCTTCGGTTAGCATGACGCTAACCCAGGCTAATTTAGCTAGCATCCTAATTTATCATAAGCTACCAGCATTAAATGTAAATGTAGCTAATGTTAGCAAATTTTAGTTGACGTCTTCACTAATGTCAGTTACATACTGAGTCAATACGTTGTCTTTATGGACTTTATGACTGTTCTGTACTTGTACTTAGGTTGTAGCTATAGTTTTTATCAATAGACTGAAACTGTCATTTGTGGCCACAGTGGCATTCGTTCAGAAGAAGTTAGCTACTACCATAAAGCTAATGATGGTTAGCTGCTATGGTCAGCTTCTAGCAAACTCAAAAGTGAAATAAAATTAATTTTGATTAAAAAATTTTTTTTTTCAATATTTTCAAACTGAGCATGTTTGGTTTTAACTATTAATCAGATGAAATAAAATGGATGAAGACATCACCTGTAATTTGTAATCTGGGAACCTGTAATGAGCATTTTTGTAATTTTTACATTTAATTATATAATAATAATAATAATAATAATAATTATTATTAGATTACTTAATAATGAAAATAATAATATCTCACAAATGAAATTATCTTTGACAAAGTCCAAGACTTTTGGTAAGAACATGGGCTATGTCAATTGATAACTCTCTTTTTCTTCAGTAAACTGTCTTTGTCTGTTAATTCAGTGTATGACATAAAAATGTAGTTGCCACAGTCCAGCCATCTTGACTTTGACTTTAAAAAAGTTAGTTTGAAGTTTTGTGCTTTGATGAAAAGAATAACCCTCTGCCCTGCACAGTGGTGGTATAGACTTGACGTGGTATGCTCTTTTTTTATTTTTTTCAGATGGCTTTAAATTCCTCTGTTATCTCCCCCGTGCTCAGCCATGCCAGGCACAGCACCACCTTATCTTCTATCACTGCATTTATGTTTTTGGGCTCAAACTCTGAAGTCAGTTGGCCCTGCCTTCACATCTAAGGCTGGTTTGCCTCTCTTGTGCTGAGGCTTTGTGTGTCTGTAATAATAGCTTTTATTGGGAAAGACAAAAGCATGATTCGCCCCTGAATGGGGATTTTTACAGTAATCTGATGTCTGAAAACAACGGCAGTTTATTTTCATTCCCTGTGTAAAAATCCTCAGATGGTGAGTCATACAGAGAAGGCAAATGGTCAGGAAGACTGCGGTTGGGTGTCTGCAGGCTAGCAGCTGGAGCAGAGCCATGCAGATACAGATAGATTATCTCCACATAGTATAGATACAAAATGACTGCATTAGATTTGTAATTGAGCAGATGAATAATTGGGGCAGCAGATTCCAGACCGCCAACTTGGGTAAAATAGACAGGTTTAGAGCTTATTTAATGCAACATTTAACAGAGATGAAGTGGGTGGAGATAGAATTGGTGCAGAGTGTGAGACCAAAAATTAAAGATTGTGAGTCATTCCCTCCTTATTCACCCAAGAGGCATAGAGTGAAAAAACTCTCTCACCTACTTGTTGAAAACATTTGACAAATGAACAATAATGATGAAGGGCTTTTTTTGTGTCATTATATTTGTATATTTGTCTGTCTGGCGTGTCAAGCACTCATGCATACTGGAAACTCACACAAAGATAATTTACATGTTGTTTGTGCTCTGCCCAAACATGACAGCACCCATAACATTCATTAACTTTTGTTGGTTTTGATTGGTCTGGATGTGAGTACAGAGAAAACCAGGAGGTTCACTTACTGTACGGCTTGAGCATGGGAAACATCACCGCCAAGTCATACGTCAATGAATAGATCCATTGAGGGTGCAAAGATAAATAAAAGCACCATTTTCAGCAGTTAAGTGTAATTTTTCAGTAGTTCAGTCAACCAGTAGCTGCCCAGAAGGGCTGATCTCTCTGGACAGTAACTCATGCAGCTGAGCAGGTTGTAAACTTTGTGCTTGTTGATATAGCCACAAGAAGAAATTTGGGAGGTCAGACTGTGTGCTCAGTGTGTACTTCCCTCCTTGCTGCACTACCTACTGACCTAAAAATGTTCAAAGAAATGTAAGAAGCTACGCAGCTTACTTTAGGAAAACAAAAAAACTTTGAGTTGTAAATGTAAGATGACATGTGATTTGAGCTGATCTCACAGATGTTCTCAGTAGTCAAGTTGTTAAAAAACTCAAGAGTACTTCATGCATACTTAAGAGCTGAGCGTTGAAATGGTGTTTACTACTGTGTGGCTTATTTTGGACCCTGTAATTGATGTTCAGTCAGCAGGTGATGTGAGCTGTTTAACTGGTAAAAGCCCCAATCAGGCCAGATGGTCAGTCTGACTCGGGGAAAGGAGGTGCGCTTCGGATCAATACATCAATTAATGGTTTTTGGAAGTCATGTTTGCACTTAAGTGTTTTAACTTTCATCATGAGCTCAAAAGACTTCCTTCATGTGCTCGGAGAGGGTGTTTATATGTGTGTCGAGGGAGAGTGTTCGGGAAAGGGTGAGTGTGTGGAGTTACATAATCCGGTCTTGTGTAGTGACACATCCTAAATACTGGAACAGTGCATTAAATTCAAGCTTGACTGAATTCAAAGTAGAGCAGGGCTACAACTAAAGACTGTTTTCATTCTCAGTTAATCTGCTGATTATGTTCTTTGTTAATATATTGATCAATAGGTCTGTAAAATGTCAGAAAACAGTGAAAAATGTCCATCACATCACACAGTCACACAGTAAAACCCAAAGATATACAGTTTGCAATGAAATAAAAGCAAGAAAAGTGGCAAATCCTCGCATTTAAGAAACTGTAAGCAGAAAGATATTTGGCTTAAGAAATTAATTAATTATCAAGACATAAATAAAAGGCAAGAATTAAAGTGAATATATTACAAAAAGTTATTATTATCAGCTCTCACTTTGATCCTAAAAAAACCCTTAACCCTTTTCAGTCACTGGTCATGACATTTCACTCTTCCTGCTCCATGTCTCCGTGTTTTGGTGTTCCCAAAGTTTTGGCAACCAAAAGTTATTTTCCTGTTTTCGAAAAACCCATGGTACATCATGCATTTAAGGGCCATCTGCTGCCTGACGGCGGTCCGCTGCAAACTCTCTGATATGTTGTTTTCTCTGATTTTTATCATAGAAAAATGATCCAGTTTCAATAACGCTCACAAATCCATGAAATGCTGCAGAATTCTTGCAAAATGAGATCTTCACATATGATACAAAGCTGCACTCTGTGAGGCTGTAAACAGCACAGGGAGGCGGATCTGACCGCCGGCAGCACAGCCAGTTAATTGTCTCTCTTAACACCCAAGAAACTATCGGGTGATTATTGTACTTCAAAACAAATGTCAATTCCCTGAATGACTGAATTAAGCTCAAGCTCTTTTTGTGATGCAGAGCAGATGAACAGATAATGAGGATTGTGAGTGTAAAGCTTGGTTAGAGGAATGTTCTGGCTTTTTATTGGTATGAGCAGCTTTTCTACACCAGGAACATTTTAACGACTTTCACCACATGTTTCTCTCAAATCTGTGTTTAGTTGATCTCAGTGACGACTCCTGACCAAGCAGCTTGTTGCCACTGCCAGCTTCTGCATTTTATTTGCTGTTAAAAGTTATGTAATGCAGCATTACACACCAAGCTATAGATATCCTCTTACAGCACTGGTATTTAAATGGAGTTTTGTTGTTGTTTATTGTGATTAAAAGGTGGATTTGCAGCCTGACTCTTCAATGTTTTTTCTCTCTGTTTCTCCAGCTTGCCTGTTCAGGTACAATGCCCTGTCTTTCGTCTACCTCATCTACCTCCTGCTTATCCCACTCTTCGCAGAGCCCACAAGCACGTCGATGCACGGTAAGATCTGCAGCATAACTCTCTTTGAAGCCTCACGCATTCAATGGCTTTGCCTTCGTCCATCGCCTGGAGAATCTTGACTGTTTCCCAAAAGCCCCCACTTTGAATTGCAATATTGTTCTCAGTAATACAAACCAGCCCTTCTCCAGGGGACTTGAATTTCCTTGAGATGAGGATGGATTTGGCACGTAGTTCTGTGCATGAAAGGTTATATCTGTTTGTGCGTTCATGATTCCATCTGTAATAATAAAAAATTATCCACGGCTGGTCAGATGTGAGATAGAAAGCTACAGTCTGTAAGGGCCAGATCTCATGTCCACTTGATGAGCATGATCATTTTAGGCTCAGGTTTGGTTTGTTTGCATGGATAATGTTCATGCAAATAGATTAAACATTAAAAGAAGAAAACTGAGCGCACAAGCTGTGCCTATAAAGATCCTTCAGAGAAAAAAAAGAAAATTTGGGGCTGTTTTTGATAAAGGCTAACCACTTCAGTTATCAAAAGGGGGATATAAAAGTTGCTCCTAAGATTCAAGTTTCATTTAATAATACCATGATTTGACAACTGTTATTAGTTAATTCAGCTGATGTGAGGTTGAGGATGATATTTAAGCTCTTTGATATTTTGGTTTAGAAAAGAGTTCAGTAAATGAAAGCCACTCAACGCTGCTGAAGTAGCACCCACATTGTCCTTCAGCGACCACATGGCGACCGCTCATCCTGTAAAGAAATGTCAATCACAATGGACCTCTGAGGTTTATGAGAAGTGACTGAGGTAAATGTTCTCCTCACGGATGATGAATGTGGGATTGTGGTCGCCAAGTTCGGCCACGCCTATGTGCACTCCCCTCACCGCAAAAATACTAAACAGCACACCTCTCAGACCTCTCACAATATGGCCTTCTGTAGGAGACCACATGCAGTGTTTAATAATACATCAACCCATATTGACGGAGGGAACAACATCCAGTTCGAGAGCCGTCTCTGCTCGTCTCCAGCTGAAATAACAATCAGGAAGTAAAGGAACGAAGAGAGGGAGAGGAGAGGAGGGAGGAAGGAAAGTGGACCACTTACACTCTCATCAATAGTTAAAGAGAGAAGTCTTCTAGTAAAGCTGAATGTTCATGGATGTGATGGCTGTTGACTTCATCAGTTATGTCAGGGTTTACATGGTCGTTTTAGTTTTTATGAAAACCTTCCTGTCTCATCAGACTAAAAAAAAGAGCCAAAATGTCCAGTCTTCAACTGAGATTATGTAGTTTTGCCCAAAATTACTGTAAATTAGACATTGACACCAACAATAAATAGCAATATGTTTTTTTTCATTAAAGTATTTCATGTTTATGATGATTAGTTTTTTAGTGTAAAAAAATGAAAAACAAAGAAAGAAGATGACAACTTCATATGTCTAATTAGTTCATTTTCTTTCAAAACTGTGGTGGTGTGTGTATTGTAAAAGTAATTTTACTTAATTCTTTTAGCCCATTCATTCTTCCTTTGCAAGGTAACTCTATCAGGTGATTTTGCTGTTTAGGGTTAGGGTTCTTCTAAACGTATTAAGACGGTATAGAGTCCAAACAACATATATTGTGCAGTAAAAAAATTACTCAGAGCAGGATTAAAGCAAAGATATGAAGAAATTACTTGAACAAAAGTAAAATGTTAATGAAGAAGGCATTTAATTTAAATAACTTTTTCTTTATGTGACTGTGGAATGTTTTTGCTTATCTGTCTCTGATAAAAAATAATATAAAACATACTTTGGCAATTTGTTTTTCATATTAATAACTGAACTTATATTCTTATGTTCGAAAAAAAAGGACGAGATACTCGTCTCCCAGATGGTGTCATTATAATAGTTACGGACCTTTATACTTTTCAGTAACTTTATTGATTCTGGTTTTGCTGATCATACAGTTACATATGTTCTTGTGTTCTGTGTTCATATCTTTAGAACTAATTTACATTTCTGGTCCCAATTTGTTGTTTTTGCTGTTGCTGTTGTAGGCAGCATAATGTAATATCAGAGTGCTGCATTGTGAATAAGGGACATCATTTATTTCTCAAGTAAAGAGCTGCAAGAAACCTGTTCTGTTGGGGCTGTCATAATTCATTTTGGTTTTTGGTACTCAGGAACTCACTACAGATCGCATGTAGACTTGTGAATGCATGAATGAATGCATTCATCATCAAAATTTTGCAGACCATCATTCAGATGAAAACATTGTTTGTGCCCTGACGCTCCCAGCAGGTGTTTCCTGATCAGTGAATTTGAGTTTCCTCAGAAACTAATTATTAAAAGGGTGTTATATCTTTAATAATGACTCACAGCTTTTTGGCATATCTGAATTAGACTGTTTATTGTTTGCCAGTTACAAATGTCACAGTGTTTGAAGCAGGTGTGAGAAAATGCTTCTCAAAATGTAATGAAAACTGTTGCACAATGCCTCAACTAACAACAAAGTGTCCTCACAAATGCCCTAAAACCTAGGCTTATACATTTTCTTTGTTTTTGTTTAAAGTTACATAAACAAGAATATCCCACTGACGCTCTTTTTCCAGCTTGTAAACTAAAATGTTTTGACTAGGTTACCAGCTTATGTTTATGTAACCTTTGCCCAGGCATTCTGTATTAAAATGATTGTGCGAAGTAGCAAAAACACAAAAGAAGTGAACTAAATAGCCATAGGCGTCAGATAGCATGAGATATGCTCCTAGTGTAACACCTGCCAGGACATGAAACCCATCTGTTTGCCTCACCTGTCTGTCACCAAGGTGGAGGAGGAGGAGAACACAACATGAGGAAGTTGCAGCAAACAAGGTCTTAGTAACAGGAATATTTTTGACTGATTCTGAAATGACTGGAAAATATAATCATGGCAGAATAAACAGGTTATTTGGGGGGTAAATATTAATTGAGGGGAAAAATATTTAGTTTGGGCACCACATACCTTTGTAAAATATTGAATTATACCTGGTTGTAGTTGGGGATGATTGTGGTAGCACTGCCCAAACTAATTTGTACTGTACAGTATCAACTGTCTATATAAAATAATTACGATATTGTGGTATTGTCTGATAATCCTAAGTAGATAATCACAGTCTGTAGAGTTGAAACGTGTAGTTTATCTCCTCATTCCTGGCTGTGACATCCACACTGTTCAGTTAATTATGCGTCTTGTATGCAAACCTACTGTAGACATCCAGAATACACACTGACGGTACTGACTTACAAAACACATGTTTGCTGTACAGAAAACAGACACACTGTACATTTTGTAAAATGATTTTAGACAGAATTAGGAAAGGGGATTGAGCTAAATTCAGTGCTTTGTTTTGATGGTCTGTTTCATTTTGTGTGTTCAGACATAAAGGACACGCAGCAGTTAAATCGGTTAAAGTTAATTTGAACCAAATGTTAGACATGAATAATTCATCAGATGTAATTTGCTTTAAAAAGCCACAGCAGTACAGTATGCCCAAGGATACGACAGCATACGAGACTCCAGTCCTATCTGGAGACGAACTTGTTGTTGTTTGTGATTTACTCTCTAACGTTGTAATTGGCAGTAATTGGCTCCACTCTCCTTGAAGGCATTCAATCCTCAGTGGAGGTGAACAAAATCTAAACTATTACTCTCATATGGGTAGCAGGCATTTTAAGAGGCTTTACAATAGGTGCCATATGCCTTGTTGAATGGGCACTGACATGACAGTTTCCCTTGGGGGGAGTCTTTTAGTGCTGGTGCATGAATTTGTATAAATATTTGATGTTATGGGTGATTTATCAGGTTTATGTTTTAGCTAGTAGACTTCTAACAGAGGGTGTCTGGTTTTAACGCATCTCGTAGTTTGGCCTAAAATCATCCATCTTTATCACACCTTTTTAAGACCTGAGACACTTTTTCTTCTCTTTTGTTGAGTCTGGCATGGGCTTCCTTAAACAGTTTCACTGGCATTTTCTGAAACTATAAATCAGGTCTTAATGTTGTCAAATGGATACAATTCTCTGATTGATTAGGGAAAAAAGCAGTAACTGTTTAATTTGAACAATGCCCCTTGTTTTGGGAGCATTTAAAAAGCGCTCTTGGGACGGCGTTTTGAGACTGAATAATGAAGCGAAGCAAAATGCTTATTCAAGATGAGCGTCAGGAACCCGAGATAGATGGCTGTCAGACAACAAAAATGTTCTATTAAATAGGAAAAAAAAGGGGGGGATAGAGCCAAAGCAGTTGCATTGTCCAGGGCCTTTGCACCAATTTGGACGCAGAAGCTCGCTAACAGTCCTCATTCCTCATATTTACAAGCATTCTTTTCCCTCTTTGTGAAAGCCCGGGGAATTGCAATGGGAAATTAGCACAAATTGTTTTTACTTCAACATTTAATAAGCCTGCCATGGTGTGCTGTTGCGCACATTTGATAAGGTTAGCCATCAGTGGCCTGAGGCTCAGCAGTAGTGCTTCACCTCAGCCAGGATATTATGCCATACTACAGTAAAACTGTTATGTGTTCCCCTGCAAGGATGCAGTAAATTTAATGAGATGGAGATGTTGCCGCATGAAGAACCAGTGGACCAAACTGTGGAGATATGTAGGACAGTTTAATCTTTCAGGGCTGACAACACAGCAAGGGACATTATTGTTAATTCGTCATCAAAGAAGCATCAGAGTCTTGTCCAGCTCGTCCTTCCCTGAGGTTGAACATTTTCAATTTTCATAATAACAGGGTGACAGAAAAATCCTATTGTAGAGAATTATCACCATAACAACTACTGAAATTATCCCAAATACCTGTAGGTGCACTATAAAAAGGCCATGTGTTGAACAGCTGTGGCAGCTCCTCAGACTTCTCTCATCCATCCCTCCCAGGATCAGTAATGTCCTCTGACAGCTGTGTTCTTAACCTACATTAAAGGAGGACACTGGGTCAGTCGATGCCTATATGTTGCATTTATATTCAGTCTTTATTTGTGGACCGGAATAGCGACTCAAACCAGAAACGGGTCTGGTTTCGCTCCTTCGACGATAAACTGGGGACTTAGAGAGAGTTAAGGTCTTGTGGTCCACCAGAATGTTTATTTGACTTTTCAACCAAAATAAGCTTTGCTCTTTGGTAGTGTTGGCAGTTCTTAACCAGGATATGTATCGTGATCCACAGAAAATCCCCCTTGGGTGCTCTCCCAGTCACCTTCACCTTCTTAACCAATTCATTCAAAACAGCTCCACAGCTGATCACATGAATATGAATCATTGTTTTCAGAGTTTTGCTGTAGGAAACAGCTGTCCATGTTCGCATACATTCAGAGAGTACTTAGAATGCAGAAATACCAGGTTGTTTTTAATGTTGCCCGACTCAAAATTTCACCAGTGCATTACAAAAAGTCTCATTTCTGGTTCCCTTTTTTTAGACACAGAGAACTTTATCTGTGTCTGAGCGCAGAAATAACATGTGGAAATCCTTAAACTGAGAGCTGGTGGTGGTGGTGGTGGTGAACTCAATGTGGCTGTTCTCCTTCTCCAGGCCACACAGGGCGTCTGCTGCAGTCCCTCTGCTTCACCAGTATGTCCTTCCTGCTGCTCCACATCATCTATCAGATTACCGTCAACAGCCTCCTGGCCGGGAACTCCATCACCTCCGACTTCAACTGTGAGTACACTGCAGCCTTTATAGTCAGAGCTCTAAAGGTTGTGAGCTTTGTTAGGTGTGAAGAAATTTTTAGTATTAGTGTGTGTGGCATTATGTTCTTTCAAACATTTGCTCTTGCAAATTAGTATACAAACATGTTTTTAAGGAGACGGGGGCAGACAGTTGATACAGAGTTCCATAAGTACATGCAATTTAAGGTGGTCAAAACCCCTGACACAATGTAAGCACTAAGTGGCTGTCTCAAAGAGAACAATCCACTCACTCTGAGGAGTCATTTAAGACCAACATGTAGAAATCTCTACTTGTTGAGCCACATTTTCACGACGTTGTGGTCGCACACATGTGCCCCTTCCATCATACAGGCCGTTCTTTGCTTAAACTCTGACCTGAGCTATTGATTCAGTGTCCCGGGGTTGTATATCACTAGAGAAAGTGTAGCTTTTTGCCTCAGCCTGAGGCAAAGTTTCCATCCAAAAAAAACGAAGCGAAGACATGCTCCATTTGCAGGAGTAGGTAAAATATGCTCTTTAATAATAATTCACAGTCTCTACACATCTCCCTCACTCTTATTGCATTTTGTCACATCATGAAGATTTATGAATCTAATACACTTCTTAATGTAATTAGCTTCCTTGTGCCATATGGGCGACACAGAAAAAGAGACTGTTGCTGCCAGCAAAGCAAACAGTGTAGGGAAGGTGTTAACACTTGGCGTTGGGCTTCTCATGAAACCCTGTATCAAACTGTAAAATTTGAATGTGTCTAGACAGGACAGACCCTGACCCTGTGTTCTAATGACTTGTTCTTTCTAATGAAAGTAAGTCGCGTTCCACTGTCGAAGTACAGCCAACTTTGCTCAGAAGGCAGAACGAACCTTATCGCCTCAGGCAGAAACACACAGAGCCATTCAGAGAGGGTAGACTAAATATTCACTCAAGGAAATTTTTATTACTGAGGTCTCGAGGACTGCCATTTTTGGCAGATCAAACCCTGGTGTGATGAGACCATAAATTCTCTCCATCTACTGTATGTAACTATGTGTCATCCATCTCTCTGTCTATTGATCTCTCTGTTCATTTCAACAATAGTTACTTATATACTTATATAGTTACTTATTCCTGTTATTTATAAATCACAAAGACCAAAACCAACAATGAAATGATCTTGCTAACAAGTGTTGTCTGTGTAGTGAGAGCCTGATATATCTTCCTCTGTGCCATAAAACACATTTGTTGTCCCAAAACTATTAAAAACACATGAATGAGTCTCACTGTTGCCCTGGCTGAAATGTTTGTTCATTAACATGAACACACACACACTCTTAGTCAACTTCACATTCACTGTCCTAATACTGTAAATACTCACAAAGCCCAGAATGTGTATTAATCCACAGCTGAAAATAGTCCCCCACAATACACTATTTACTAAAAGTAATGTATGCTAAAAAACATCACTACCCAGCTTATGTAGCTGTTTCAAAAAATGAAAGTATGCTGTATATTTGAGAGGAGTCTTTAGCCATGCTAGTAGCTATTGGATGAATTGCCATGATATCTGGTAAAGATATTCATGGTTCCCAGAGGACAAATCCTACTGACTTTAACAATCCCCAGGTGTTTCCTGTAATATCACCAGCATGTTTCCACTTGTCATTGGCATGCTAGCATTGTCATTGAGAGTATATTTGCATGTACACATTAGCAGTTATTTATTTATCTATATACATATAGATAGATAGATAGATAGATAGATAGATAGATAGATAGATAGATAGATAGATAGATAGATAGATAGATAGATAGATAGATAGTTATTTGAAATAAATACCCATAAATATGACATTAGCAACAACAACAAACATTCTATTCATGACTGAAAGAATCTGAATTACACTCATAATAATCAGTGATCAGCTTTGTGGTTTTGGACCATTTGTGACCCTTTTGCTTTGTGTCTACATGATTTACTCAGACCACTTGAATACAGCCTGGTACTGGTGTTACAAAAATGCAGAGTAAGGACTACGGTTATGTGTAAGCTTTTTGTTGCAGACTTCATATCATAAAGGTCCATTGGCTTGGTTTGAATGAATAATATTTTGAGTCTTTATCTGCAACATTTAACAGCAGCGTTCCTGTACGAGCACTGAGCTGCTCACAATAGCTTCTTAGTGAACAGCTGGTGAATCCTGGCTTTTATTTCACAATTAATGAGGCACAGGGTGGAGACATTTAATGTCACACATTCATGATGATGAACTTAATATGGAGCTGAAGAGACACTAAAAAATCACAAAATGTCTGTTTTTGGGGACAACCTGCACCCAATATTACACACTATTTTACATATATATTTGGACATGTATGACTTTGCTCCACTCTGATGATTTGTATACATATTGTTGGGATTTCTACTTCCTGACGTTAATTTTACTCTATTCCTATTTTTATTTTTGGGCCGCATATACAACAGGAATTCAGACATTGCTCTTTGTCCACTTGATCCACCGCCTACATTCTGAGAAAATGCCTTATCTCAGGTTTCTATATCTGGTGTTTAGCCCCTTGACACCCTTTTCCTTTTGGCAGCCAAGTATAAACAAGGAGTCCTCCTTTGCTGTGCGGCTCTTATCCTCCCCCCTGCATAACTTCATATAATTTCCTCTATTCACTGTAGCCAAATGCACCATTAGAGAAGTAAACTGGGTTGAGTATGAATGAGAAAACCTTTCCAAAAAAGCGAACACCTCCAGCTGTTAGAGCAGGTCAGTGACTGGTCACCAGATGAGCCGGAGCCGGCTTCCTTTGGAGTCATCCGTCATTCCTCTGTGCTGACTCAATGTGGTGGGAACTGCATTTACATTTATATTTGCTTGTGAGACTTTGTATTGACCGTCAGAGAGGCTAAGATGGGTGGAGCCCGCTCTATTTCAGATAATATCAACTAAATTCTCAGATAGTGACAGAAAAATATACACTACACTGATTTTCGCATACTTTCCTGTGATTGTCTAAACTTTTTGGCAGTCATTGTCCTTTGTGACAACCCCCACCCATCTGTCCACGAAGTAGGTTAAAACAAACGAAAAGATGTGCAAGTTTGATTAGGCCCATATCTGATGGTAATGGATATTTCACCAGCTCATAAAGGCTAAACAGCCTGTTGAATGGCTGTTTTGTGAGAAGCTCCTCGGGGATAATCTTCATTAAGTCCTGTAATCGGTATATTGTTGACCTTTACCGACCTCCATATCCACACATATCCTGTCCACCATTCCCCAAATGCGAGACATTCACTGAATTCTCCCTCGGCATACAGATACTCTGATAATAGTTATGACGTGCTGAAACGTTGACGCTGCATATCACCAAGCTCTGCAGAAAAGGGCAACCGGCATTAGGCCCCAGAGATAGAAGAGAGAGAGCAAAGAAATGCTGTGCTGAGAGGTTAACGGCCCAGCAAGTACAAAGGGTGTTTTATGTTGTTCACATAAAATCTGAGGACAGGTATTTTTGGTGCCTAGCTGGGGTGCAAAGTGGCCTTGCCTCAAAGAAAGTCTAACACACTGTATTACACAATATTCATCTCTTCATCTCATGGATCAGCCTGGCCTAACTTTACCTCTACGATGGCATTCCTCATGTATGATTTCACACGCAGGGCTTCCTCTAACACCTGGCAGCTGAGTTTGAGCTAGGTGAAGTTAGATGTTGCAGATGTTTGGACTTGGGAATCACTGAAACACGCTCTGTTTTGCCTGTGGTCACTGGACTGATATTTTAAGCCGAAGTATTTCTATTTGAGGAATCAAATGGGGGTATTAGGTAATCTATGAACTTTATCAACCTCTGTGGCTCATTATTTGGAATAAAAACAAGAGTCAGCGACAGTCACAACATTAGTGGACCTTATCTCCTCCTGTGCAAGTCTCTGGATCTGCCCTGCATCCTGTCTGCTTAAGATAGACACAAACTAGTGGCTCGCTAATTAGACTAAAGACCCAAAAACTGTATCAGGTAGGGGTAATATTAGGCTGGCATCAAAACATTTACTGGACTTATGCTAAGAATCTGTCAAACCCAGCACAATTTGCTTATGTCAGTGTGTTCACATTTTGTTTTTGCTTCATTGAGGTTCAAGTTTCATTGAGCTGTTTTTGAGCACTATGGGCACAATGTTAAATAAAAAAACTTATCAAGTCATAAGGCTAACATGTTAGCAAACAGGCAGCTACTGAAACATCCAGCAGACACAGTCTGACACAGTGCAGCAAGATTCCTGTTGGAGTCGTGTTTCCGGTGACCTGACAAATTTAAGTCTAATATAAACTGAGCTTTTGGCTCTGGTTTGGTCTCCGCCATCTCCTGAGAAAAATCAGCATGGGTGCAAAAATACTAAGATTTAGGATTTTATGAGCTTTTCCTAATTTTATGAGAAAAACAAAAATCAGTTTATACAGTTTAACATGTTAACAGCAGCATCTTCCAACATATCATGAAATAAATCCTAGCTATTGTCAATATACAATAAAGATCCATGATGATAAAATAAAAAAGAATAAGGTGCCGATGCTTCAAGAGAATCAGTGTTTTAATATAGTGTAGTATAGTATAGTATATAGTATAGTATTTTACTGAGGTCCATTTGTAAGATCATCATGTTATTGTCATATTACCTTTCTCTAGATAATATATCACAGTGAAGTGCATTACCAAAATAGTAATTATTGTTTTGCATTAGGTGTTTTGTTATTTTTGGCCTTTACAGGGCTGATGTTTTGCAGCACAGTTTGGTCAGTCATGGCAGCGTCTGCTGTCCGTCACTGAGTAGGAGTAGATGTGCAGAGGCGGACACATGAGTCTGGTGTCTTAACATCTCAGTTGGAGGAGGAACGTGGGTGAAGTGTTGATGTCAGATGTTATGTTAGAGAGTTATGTCATGTAGGTTCCTCCCATCACAGATGTTTTGTTAAATTTCTCAACTCTTTCTTTTGTCTCATACCCACACCCCTTTCTTCTACATCTACCCCAACCAGAATTAGTTTTATTTGTGATAATCTGTTGATCTCAGAAGGAGAAGGCTAGGCCTGGCGATCACACCTTCATCCAGGCCCGAAGGATTTAGAAACATAACATCTGTGATAGTGAAGCTATTCTTGCAGCTGTTTTGTCAGTAATGAGTAACAAAGAAACAATGGGATTTGTGACGATTCGTCGCTGTTTTATCCACCTTGAGTGGAATTCAGGGCCTGTTTCCTGTTTCTGACAAGGTGCCTAATAGTGTGTAATAGTGTGACTCACTTCTTTACTGGATACTTGGTGCATGTGTGTGTGTGTGTATGTCAGGAGAAAACAGATTATTTTCTTTTTAATCTTTTGACATCTTTTTCTTTTTCTGCTTTACAGTGTATTTATTTTTATTATTTCAGAGATATTGAACCATCATCCCAAAGTACTGGGATTCTGTTTTCTTACTCCAATATTGGTATATGCCACTTTCACCTACTGTTTTAACAAGCAAACCATTTATAACCTTAACAACCTCCTAAAAGTAGCTGCAGTTTGCACACAGGTGACACAGTAGATAAAATCTGTCTAATGAAGTGCTTTGTTTGCCGTCTGCGTTGACTTATGCTCGTCCGAGTCGAGCGCTGTCACTGAAGTGTGTTTAACATCTTCACTCTCCTCACTGCGCTCCATAAACTTCAAACTCCAGCACCGCAGCAGCTAATTACTCTCCCAATACACCAACAGAATGAGCCGGACATATCAATATGTCATTGAGTTGAGATCCTTGAGTCACAAACCGATGCCATGTTTTCTCTGGCAGTTGAACAAAGGTTAATCAACCTTGGTTGGTTCTTATCAGCGTGCGAGTTGAATACCTGGAAATCTCTCTTTGAGTGCTGGAGTGACGTTCAGGAACACTACAAACAGTCCGAGCTGTGGAAACAAAACTCACATGAAATGTTTTTATTTTCTTGTTCTTACATATAGGTTATCCCAACAGTGAATAAAGATTGTTTTCCTTCACCAGGAAATTGAATATCAGCTGAAATGAAAAGACATCATTGATTTAAAGCAGGATTTTATGACTGTTTTTGTCAAAGGTTGAAAAGCAGCTATAGCTCTTTTACAAACTAGATCATCATTCCTCGCAGTTATAAGCTGTTGATACACTGGATACAGTGATGGAAATGTGAAAGTTGTGTGTAACAGCTCTGCTTATTGTTTGCCCACCTGTAAACACCATTGTTTGTTTTTAATAACTATGATTATAAAAGTGTTATTAAAGGTGTTAAGGCATATTTCTTTGCCACACAATATCTGTGTCCACTAAATCACTTCTTATTTGTCTGTTTAGGTTCCACATGGGAGAAATCCATAAGACAAATTGGCTTTGAAAGGTAAGATTGTAACGAATTCAACACTTTCACATCCAGTGCATTCATTAAAATAATATGTGCAACTAATAATGATATTGAAATATATTTTGACAGTATATTTATTTTGTCACTCATTTAGCAGAACACAGATTCAAAATACATTTCTCCTGACGATCATGCAGCATAAAGATATGCAAGTGTGGATTTTGTTTAATTGAACATTAATCTTTCTCCCAGTTGGGCAATTCAGAAGCTTTTTCAGGAGGTGATAGGACTCAGCTCAGTGATAGCTGGCTGATGAAATGGGGGGTCAGCAATATCATAGCCCTTCTGCAACAAAATATGATGATAGCTTTAATGGTAGTTCTTTAAAATAGGTGTCTTTTTCATTTAAAGTCAACACCAAAAAAACATCTTAAAGGAAATTTAGCTTCTTCTGTCAAAGCTCATTCATGTAGTTCTTATCTTCTACTTATTTTACAGGTAGGTGGATGCATTGTCGTTGCAAAGTGTCCTAAATATAGCAGCCACACAATTACATTAAACACTGCTTTTTTGCATTTAGCCACACTGGCTCGTCATCTGACAAGGATTACAAACCCTTCCTGAACTGTCCCTGTGTGGATTCGTGATGAACACTAAACCCAGTTACGTCTGACAATAAGTTGACAGGCTTATTTTTCAAAGCGTTTGCCGCTGCGTCTGTCTCCTCGACTCCCCCACCCCCCCACCCGTGATCGTATTAGATGTGGTTTCCTAAGTACGGGAATGTCCGAACTCAGCCACGTCCTTTTTCCAGTACTCAACAGCCCTCGGTGGACGGTATGCTGTAAGTGGCGGAAGTAGAGCCGTAAACATTTTATCCCATCTGCATTTACCTGTTTGTGTTGAGGACCATACACAGTATATACAGTATTTACAGCTGTATTTGCTGCATAGGTGGATACTTTCTCCCTTCTACTGCTTGTGTGGAGGACAATGCAGAGCTCAGGTCAGATGTATAGGAGCCTAAAGAGAAGAGCTATGGTGTGTGTTTTCACAGAGAGATACTTCAGTTTCCTCAAGCGTGACCTTTTCAAATTCTTAATAAACACCAAATATTTGTGTCATAGTGTAGGGAATATTTTGTGGTCTCCCTGTTTTTTTTTTTTGTTTTTTTTTTACCGCTGCAACCTGAGGCAGTGAGGACAGATCTTAGCGCTGCTAGTGTTGTTGTAATTCTCTCACATGATAAGCAAGGGAAAGTAGGAATCATTAAGGTTGCTGGCTCAACCTTGTCTGGCTCTGACGGTTTCCATCTCTTTCATCCATGTGAGGATGCACAAAGCTTCACAACAATAAAGCACATGGAAACAGACGTCCTTGATTAGATTAAACTCGCCAACAGCAGCCAAAGGCCCCAACTATTTATCTGAGTGTGGGTTTTCCATCGTCTTTGATTAGCACTCTGTTTTCAACTTGTTACCTTTTATAAGCTTTATATCCATTCAAGGCCGCAATGAGATTGGTTCTGTTAGAAAAGGACCGGTTGTTTTATATCTCCATCCAAACATTTGGTCAGCTTTTTCTCTGCAGCCTGTGCTGCAGCAGAATCACCAGTATGTTTTGTTTATTGTAAACAGTTTAATTACACTTTGAGCTCAGCATGAAATGTAAAGAAAACACTGCGGTGGCCAAACACAGGATGCAGTGTGATTGCTGTAAAAGCCAAAACAGATATTGGTTTGGATGATAAAAGTGAGTTTTAAAGGTTTTTGAAACCTGTTAGCCATTTCAAGGACAATTTTTATTTGCTTTAATTGTACATATAATCATGGCACCTCATAAAACTCGTCCTCAGGCAGCACAAATACATCACACTGGATCATTTGAAGCCTGTAGCTGTCAAGGCAACAGTCGTCCGCCACTGTTTAGCTTCCTGTTTGAACAAACCTTTTGGTATTTAGTTAGAGGTGAGCAAACAGTCAAATCACAAATGTTACAAAAGCTTTGTTTGCCCATGGAGATATAACTACACTACTTCAAATGATGTCATATTTTAGTTGATTAATGAAAAACACACACCGTGTTTACCAAGCTGGAATAAATACATACTCATTCTAGACTGTTATAAAATGCTTGTTTTATGTTTATCACACAAAGACCAGTTATCAAGGAATTAGGAAACACATTAAATCTGTAAAATCTAAACTAGCTTCAATTCTTTTAACTTTATTTTATTCACTTAAAGTAGAAAACAGGTCTAATTGTTTACACTACCTTTTTATGAACAAAGGTTGCTATTCTCAAGGGAGTAAACATGTTTTTCACAGTTCAGTAAAAAAAAAAAAAAAGAAAAAAAAATTACCACACTCTCATGGTCTTTTTGTTTGAATGGAATTTCACTCACTTGTTAACAGCAATACATTTAAAACGGGCAAGCCTGATTTCATTAAAGTGGGTGGTACGCCATATAAAAGCTGAAGCGTTCAACACAACAACACATATTAAAAGAACAATTGAGTAACGGAAAAATCCAGATTCCCATGCATTCATGTGAACAGGTAGTGTTTCTCTGAAAGATGTAATTGCTGCAGTTAATATCTGTTCCCATGAGTTTGAGCGCTGTTCACAGATTGCAGGGAGATGATATTCTGTGACGATTTATATGCAAGATTGTTGAATGGCTTGGCTTTTTAAAATGTGTCACAGACACATGAAAGACTGGGGCAGACAGAGGGAGGTGACGCGTGACACGTATCCAAGGCCAGATTCAAAGACAGGACAGCACGAGCTATTTGTGGGCCATGTCCAAGTGAACTAAACGAGCAACCGCTAGTCCCTGGATTTCTCAGAAAAACTGTTTCATATTAGTCCATGTGCAGTTAAGTTTGTTGCACTCTATCCCATTTTCCGTCATTTGGTCATGATCCTCGCCTGCGAGATTGCTCCAAATTACAATTGCGGGGAGATATTGGGATTCATCAGTTCTTTCAAGAAAACAAGTGTCTGCTTTCTTTCAGTGTGTATCCTCTGCTTTTCTGTTTGTCCCCCAGTGTGATTGGTGCAGATGCGGGTAACGGCATCCGAGTGTTCATCCCTGACATCGGCATGTTTGTGGTCGGCTTGGCCATCTGGCTGCTGTGTCGCAGTCTGGTCCAGAAGAGGCCGACTGAGGACATGGCCCAGTACAACGCTGACTTCGAAGCAGAGGAACAAGTGGGTTTCATCTGTGGTGACGTGCAGTGTCCTGAAAACAGTGTCTTACTGTACTCAGCGATGAACTGATTAGATTTTGATGGTCAAAGGTCAAGATCAATGCGCAGACTGTGATGTGTGGGTAAGGCAGTGTATTGGAAAAAATATCTAAAACATCTAGTGTTCATAAAACTAAACTGTCTCATGTTCTGAGACCCCAGCGTAAACGTCTTCACACTAACTGATTTGAAATATCTGGACAAGGAAAAGGACTCCTGAACTGTTTTTCACTCTAGAAGCTTGTCAACATTTCCAGACAGCAGTTTTTGTCTCTGACAATTCAGTCATAGTAGATGACATTTAATTCTGCCCTCTGACATTTGATGCAGTCACACATAAAGTGCTACCCTTAAAGGACCACCATTGATCAGATTTAATTAATATTGTGATAAACCTACAGCAATTTTTCTACTTGCTGAAGTGGCCGGTACAGTGGACAGTCTCATGTCCTGCTCTACACACACTGTCTGCATTCAGCTTCATAAGCCGAGAGGAGCAGAGCAGGCGTTTGAATAGAGAATTCCCTGTGAGTGTTGATGACTTGGAAAACTGCCCCCATCCCCTGGCAAGTCCTCTCTTCTCTTTATGACTCAGTGTTAATTAAATCCACATTCACTTTCACTTCGACTGTGCTGCTTACGCTGGCACAGATGGCATCGCTCACCATTACTGAGAAACACCAGAAAATTCATCCATAGAGCCTGCGTTGTGTTCAGGCTTTTATTTCTTTTCAGTGATCCATCTGAGCTGAAACTGTTGTTTTATTCAAAACAGGACTTGTACCACCTGCTGCTTTCTTTGTCTAGTGCCTTATGTGTCATATATAAATCATCGTGAATGGCCCAATTGTTATTATTTTCTCTATTTTATTAGACAGTTGGAAAAGAGGGACGCATAGTTTGTTAGAGGCAGCAGCCAAAGAAGAACTGACTGGATTAGATTTCAAGCCAACATGTGTTTCCAGAGGAAAACATCTGGCAACAGTGGCTAATAATGTCCCATGCTGCTGCACAGAGCACATATATGTTTAATTGTACTGTGCTGCATGTTAAATCTGCTAAAACACCCTCTAAGCTGAAAGCAGAGACAAGAACATTCACCCACATGACAGACATGGTGTACTTTTCATAATAGTTGATTATGCACAGCGATTGTTGTGGTAGCGCTACCTGTAGGAAACAGTTTTCAGCACCATGGAGAGCTCTGACCTCCAGACTGCATCATTCATCATTCAATACTGAAATGTGTTTGTCACTCAGGAAGAAGAGGAGAAGCTGAGCCTTGACGACAACATTCTGCTCGAGGAGGACTTTGAAGCGGGGTACGAGGCTGAGGAGGACGAGGAGCTGGATGAGGAAGAAGAAGATGAGGAGGAGGAGGAGGAAGGAAAGGAGAGCACAAAGATGAAGATCCTGCGAATCCTGGCGGAAGTTGCATCCAAAGTGAAGGAGATCATCGGGAATTTGATCACAACTGCGGGGAAGGTGGTGGTCACCATCTTGTTGGGCATGACAGGTGAGCCACTCCAGCTGCTATACTGTGAATCTGACTTGTTGAAGACGTAAATACTGTATGTCAATTGTGCAGTGTGCCACATTTAACAAAACACTAAGTGTGATAGGGTTGAGAAGATTCTGGAAAAAACATTTTTCAGACTTAACGGTTGACCTGATATGCACTGAAATGTTGTGATGTGCTGCATCCCGCCAATTTGCTGCTCCATGAAGTTGATAAAAATACTATATAAACTTGGTCAGATAATGAAACCACAGTCCTCTGACTTTGTATCTACTGCTTTTTGTTTGTAGGCATCATGCTGCCCTCGTTGACATCGGCTGTTTACTTCTTCATCTTCCTCTTCCTGTGCACCTGGTGGTCCCTGTGCCGGACCTTCGACACACTCATCTTCAGCTGCATGTGCGTCTTGATGGCCATCTTCAGCGCTGGACACCTCATAGTCCTCTACCTCTACCAGTTCCAGTTCTTCCAGGAGTCCATCCCACCAGGAGATGGCTACATCAGGTCAGACACATGTGGAGTTCAACTCAAAAAAAATCTCAATCTGTTAATATCCTGTTTTAAAATTAAAATTTTAGTTGAAAGGGTCAAATCTTATTCTTTCAACAAGTGTTATATTTACAGTATCTTTGCTGATTAAGCTGCTTTAGATAAAAACTTAAACTTTGGCTAAACTTTGTAGGTACACTTGACCACTGCTCTTCCTACAGACAGAGATGAATCAAACCATAGCAACAAAATACAACCAAACACAAGTGAGCCAAAGTTAAACTTGGCAGCATTAGATCTGTCTCTCTCATCACACTGATGGATTTTGGAAACAGTATTTCTCTGTTAAACAGCACAGGCCCACACTGACGCTGTCTAACTCCTCAATAATGTGAAAATACGTGACATGATGAAAGAGCTCAGCGGCCAGAGCTCCTCGGACTCAACAATATTTATTTCGCCCAAAGCAAGATTGTTTAAACGTTAATAAATATTTACTGTTGCAAACAAGAAGGCAAAGGAAAAGGCAAACCCAGCTGAAGGGGGGATATATCAAACTCCTACTCACAGCGCATCGATATCGGAAGCAGAGCTTTTAGGCTCTTCACTACAACCAGTGTTGTTTTATTATGCATGAGAGGGGAGACAATCAGCTGTCTGTGGCTGCAGCGCTGAAACGTTGTGGTTGGAGTAAAACCACATCGTGCCAACACATGTAAGTCACAGTTGTGATGAATGCAGACTCAGTAGTGGTGGCTACCTGGGTCACTAAGCTCATTGGGTTTGATTGACAACCTGGAATTTCCAGAATGCTGTTTATTTACTAAAATAGAAAAGTAAACATCAAGGCTGCAACCCTATTTGACAGCTTTCTGCTGCAGCAGTGATGAGAGTGAGACTGTATGGTGTCAATGTAAAAATCATGGGCTAAATCTGCTTCAGAATACGAAGTATACTGTAAGTACACTGTTGCCCAATTTTGTTTTCAGACACAATCCTCTGTTTATTCCTATTTAAATGCATCAGTAATCACTTTTGAACAGGTGCAATGATAACATTATGTGTCTCAATTACCCAGGTGAAATAAAATAAATCACATTGTCACAATCATTTCATGGAAAGAGGTAAAAAATATTTTATTCCAACTTTATGAGCAACAGTGTATATACACAATTATTGAATACATGTGTAGTAGTTAATGAGGAAATCGTGATAAAAAAAAATACCCCATACCACGTCATTATTACATTTATTTTAATGATATTTCTGTAATAATGATGTGTTTTTTAAACCTTACTAGTAGCACTGTAGCTGCTGTAGCTGTTGTCTCAGTGCCCTTGGTGTTGCAGGGTTGTATTGATCTCATGGTTTCTCATTTGAAAGCTGTGGTGCTGCGTGTCAGGACCGAGGCTATTTACAGCTATGTATAGCTGAGGCTGCCTTGGACAAACCTTGTGTCCTCTCATCCTTCTCCTGCCTCCGATGGCAGATAAGGTGTGAATACAGTGTTGCATTGGCAGGTTTCTCATTCGAAAACAAACTCATTAAAATGAATGGACTCCTCTCACACCATCTGTGCTGGCAGTGGTAGTCTGCATGCTGTAATGACCATACAGTAGGAGTAACATCTAAGTCAGTGGTTCTTAAAGTCGAACCCAAGATAAAACAAATGATTAAAGGGATTAAAATGATATTTTTTTCTTGTGAAATGCTGGAATGCTGCCTCTAAAAAGTAAGTAAAGTATTAAAATTAGTATTAAAGTCAATATATATATATATATATATATAGATATATATGTATATATGAAAGTCAAAATATTGTATGGTATCCCCTTTTTGGGCTTCTACAAATCTTTAATATTTATAAAATGTAAAACCATTTTCACTAGATACTTTCACTACTTCAGGGCTTAAAAAATTTTTGAACTAAGGAAATACTGGATACTTTTACCATATTGGGACTCTAAAATTAGAAAAGCAAAAAAAAGCTGAATTTTCACCAAATAAGACTCTTTTATACTAACTCAGAAACGGTCCACATCTCATTTTAGAAAGAAGCTCTTCATTTGTGTATCTGAAGACCTAGATTTGGAAAGTTTACCGCAGCTCTAATTCCTCATGAACAGTCCAACTATTTCATCATCGGCTGTCTCCTCATCCATTCATGTTGACTTTCCACAGCGCTGAGGTATTTCTGTCTACTGCTTGCATGAAAACTGAGGCCCAATGTGAAGATAAAAGGAATACGTTCTCTTCTGCTCTGGCCTGTTTCCTCTCTGCACACCCTCAGAGGGAAACGCTTACCGCTGTAAACGTGTATTATATGCCTACTGGACAATAGGCTACCACAGTGCATTCCCTAATTTTGCTTGTTGACAGTGACTTGGCCTTGCTGTGGGGCCAGTGCTGAGTGAGACTGTTGAGAGGCCTGACTTCCACTCTGCTTCCTGCCTCCCCGCCTTACAATGGAAGTCCCCAGTCATGTGACCGGCAGGCCTTCCCCAGCTGTAAGAAGAAACCATTCAGGAAGTGTGGTGGGGTCAGAGGAGGGTGTTTACTCCTCCACATGGCATAGAAGAAAAGACTCAGGAGGCTTCTAAATCTGTGTGGCTGTCACTGGAATACGTCAGTGTGGTTCCTGTTGAGTAGATGACCTTTGTTCTACGCAGAGGAAAAGCACTGAATCAAATGACATCCTCGGTGGTACAAACAGATTTTTAGCGTCAGTGCATTGTCCAGGTTCCAAGGTTTGGGTTGATTGTCCAATCTAGCATGTCATGTAGCATTAACAGTAATGGAAGAAGTAGTGAGAACCTTTACTCCAGCACTGAGCAGCTGTGTTTCAGTTTGGGATTGTTGTGACAATGTATTGTGCTGCAGGAGGCTGTTCAATCCTTTTTGATAGAGTTTCAGGATGCTTTCACACCTACCTCGTTTGGTCTGGATCTTCGGACTTTTCAGTTTGGTTCGAACCAAAATATCACCTGTGAAAGATGCCTTAGACCGTGGTCCAGATCTAAGGACCAAAAACGGTCAGGCCAAAAGAGGTGGTCTCGATCTGGATCAAACTGTACCATGGTTTGTTTGCAGTGTGAAGACACTTTTTTGGATGGTTTGGGCATTTGGATCAATTACAGGAAGTTGAGGCAGGCTTGTCACCCATTGAACAATAAAAGATGAAAAATAACTGGAAGAGAAGTAAAAATGAACTGTGGTAGCACGTGGGGGGAGGAGGAGTCAACTTGAGAAATAGTAGTAAAGCCGCCACAATAATAAATGTGGCAACAAAATGAATCTGTCAGTTCTTCTTTTCTCTTAATCAGTTGCATTTAACATTAGTTTTACTTTTCTATTACACTGAAAAATTATCATTTCATCAGAGAAAATTAGTATAATGACCTAGAGAAAAGTAAATTAAAATTTGAGATTATTATCATTATTATTGTTATTTTGTTAACCCAATTATCTTTTTGACCTTTCCGATTTCACTTGAGACGCAGGTTGGACACCAGCGGTGTCGCGACAGCATGACTCTGCAATTCCCACATTATAACGTTTATATCATCTCGTCCATCATTGCCTTTGTTTCTAGAATCAATAATTAGTTTCAAAGATGAAGAGCCCAAGGACTCCTGCATTAAATCGAGAGCAATGAATTGAACAATACACTTATCTCAATGAGAACAGTTGAACCCACTGATTGATGACACTGGGCCGGTTCACAAAAGATCTAAGCTCAAGTCCTCTATCTCTCTCTCTCTAATCCATTTTTCTCAACAAAGACTTGAAGCTCTATTTTTGGTCAAGGTCTAAAACAGCATAATTTGTTAGAATAGTGATTAAAACTGTGGGAGACAAATAGAGTATGGCTTCAATTAATGATATTTTCATTGTCAGTTATTCTGCCAATTATTTCCTTGCTTAATTGATTAATATATTTGTCTATAAAACATCAGAAAACAGTGAAACTTGACCATCACAGCTTCCTAAAGGCCAGTGTAACATCTTCAGATGTTTTGTCAACAGTCCAAACCACCAAAATATTCAATTCACCACAATAAAAAACCAAGATAAGCAGCAAATTCTTACTGTTGAGAACCTGCAACTATCAGATTTTTTTTTTGCTTGAAAAATAAAGTGCTAAATGATCAGTCTAAAACAGAGACATATTTTATAGGAATAAAGTTCTATGATCTTATTTATTATTATCAAACACTTGACTGTTAATGCTGACCTCCATGTGATTAAAATGATAAGCTTTGTTTATGATCAGTATCTATGTTGATATGTCATGTCACGCTGATTCATACCCAAAGCTCCTGTTTAGTACTCAAACCCTGGCACAATCAGCTGTCCCTGTCCTCATCCACCTCTTTGTCTGTCTCTGCAGCACATTCGGCATCTCCCCCATCGTCCAGAGCAACTGCTCCTACACATGGAAGCTCATCGTGCACCCGGAGCGTAAGTGGTACCACTTTGTGAATCCCATCATGCTGCTGATTCTCTACTACACTCTGGCCACGCTCATCCGTCTCTGGCTGCAGGAACCCATCGACCAGCTGACGGTGAGCACCACAGACTGAGTGTTGACGCTTTTAGTTCACAACAATGTGACATTTTCTGTTGAGTATGTCAATTATTTGAACGATACAGGTTCATTATATTAGGTGAATTTGAAGTGAAAGAGATTGTACAGGGTATCTGTAGGTCTTGAAAAGCCTGAATTCAGTTCCCTTAAAACAAAAAGGACTAATAATATATTAAAAGTCTTGAATATTTTCAGGTGGAAGAGGCAGCATCCTCAATAGACAATGCACTGCAATGCAGTTTAACATTTGCATGTTCCATACATTCATTGTTTTTGTCATTCAGTTTTCACTCATTCTCTCTTTGACACTATCTTCAATTTTTCCTTCACAAGAATCCCTGGGAATTCTGGGAAATGTAGGAAACAATTAAGTGAAACAACAAAAACAATAGAATAAATTACAAAATTGCAGCTAAAAAGTTATGGAATATATATTATAAGAATATTATCAGTATTAAAGCATCTGACTGTGAATTTTTTTTTTTCCAATTACATCAAGTTAAACGAAAAGGGTGAAATGCAGAGAATGAGCCTAGATTATAAAATAAAATCCCATGCATGTGTTTAAACCTAGACCAGTTGCAGCCAGTGGGTGTCAAAGATGTTTAGTTGAATTCAGCACATGACACCTCCGTCACACTCCACAGTAAATTCCAGACAGTGAACTGAAATAGATCCAGATTGAATTAAATGGGCAGCCACGTGGCCTTGTGATCAGAGAAACCGTATCGATGGATGATTCCTGGACGATCGATCGCTGGCTGCATCTGTCCGCTGTACGGAGCTCAGGTGTTATCTGAGAAACTGTTGGTCTAGTTTGACAAACCATGAAGGGAGGATGTATTTTGGCACTATTTTCCAGTGTTACAGCGCTGCCTGTAAGAAACCACAGGTCTTGATTTGATTAATTATGAATTAATGATGTATTATTATTTCTTCTGCACCTCACTGCTGTTGTTTGGAATGATTTATCTGACTCAGACTGCTGAAACCTCTTTAACCTCAGATAAATGTTGGAGTGCATTTTTTCCCAGAATGAGGCCCAACTATCGTTGAAGCGATTGACAGTATACAGGACATTTTTTCTTCACAGTTGAAACTGTAGTTAAATTCACTCTAATTGACTTGGTGAGGGAGATTTAATGAACATCTTATTATAATGTCTTAAAATTTTAAACTTTTAAAGACCAGAACTGCAGTGCCATTAGATTTGGATTGAACTTAAAGGGTCAGTTGACCCAAATGACAAAGCACGCCTTAAAAAGTTTTTATAGGACATATGTCTTTGATAGAAAGTGGTTCCATTTAAATCAGTTCAGTGTGTTTTGTGGATGTTTCAGAGTAACTAAGGATTAACTGGAGATCTTATTTTTAAATGTTGTGTGAACCCACTAACGAAATTCCATTTACCATTTAGGAAATCTCTGAGACAAATATAACAAAACTATCGACATGACTAAACACCAAAACGAGAAATTGTGTTTTGTCTTCGGGTGAACTGACTCCTGAAAGGACTTTAACTCCTATCTTCTAACTGAGTGACCCCAAGAAATATCCAATTGTTACTTTTACACCTTTGTTTGATACAAACTCTTTGAACACAAACTGCTGCAAATAGCAATGAAGTGTGGTAATCAATGGATTTTAATGTGAAGAAGACCCCCGCTCCCGAATTCACCCTGTCCTCCTTCACCTCAGACCTCGAGGCTCAGCTCCTCTGTCCTGTAATGGAGTTATAGATCAGTGTTTTTATAGAGGGGTCAATACTTCCCTGTAAACCTGTGGGGCTGTATGCATTATTGATTTCTCCACAGAGGGGTATGTGTGTGTTTTCACCTACTCTTACACTTTAGCAGACGCTAATAATAAAACATGATTACGACATAAATCAGCAGCTGACAGGTTTGTTCGATAGTGGAGATGTCAGATTATGATGGATTCATCTTCGCCAAAAAGACAAGAAAAATCTGGACTCACTGTCATCACCTCTCAGTTAATTTAACAGTTGACTTGTAGCTCATCATCTGTGTTTACTCAGCAGTTGCTCACCAATGCAGTGAAAAAAACAGAATGATTCAATTAAAAAAAGAGAAGAAGTATCTTAAGAAATGAGACAATCACACAGAAACACAGCGCCCGTGTAGTAATTAGTTCACAGAGGAAACATTTTGATTGTGCAGTCAGAGCTTCATGTTAGTTTGATTGACACATTTTTGTATTGAATCCAAAAATGTGTGATTGCTCCAAGAAAAACTTATTTAGCACCATAACCAGCACACACGACACAAGACCAATGATGCAAACTGTAATTCTTCCTCAGGCTTCTTTATTTTATGGCATTTGAGCTACTAGGACACTGCCAAAATTATATTCTGTTTTTTTGTAAATAGAACACAGAAAATCAATGGTGAAAAATGCAGATACTGCACTCCTACACTGTTAAACAATGTTCAATAGAAGCTGTCATTCTTGAGAGTATCATCTCTGCTGTACAGCAGTGAACTGAGTTCATAGTCCAGTGTGTGAGATAGCCATCCTCCAACTGTCTATCTATGTTTTTTCAGGACGACAAGGACAGCGATGCGTGTGAGGAGGAGGATCTGGTTGGAAACAGAACAAGTAACTCAGCCAACAGGAAGAGACATTTGTGGTGGGAATCACGGCAGGGCACCGATGAGAAAAACGTACGTGAGGGTTAAGTCACACATTACTAACAAAGTCCGGATTACTGGACAGGTCATGAAGTAATCATCCTTTGGTTAGCATGCCATTGTACAATACGAATCCCATTGTAAAAAAAAAACGTGACTGCGTTGCTTAAGGAAGCACATGCTGAAAATCCAAACAGCCTTGAAAATATCTTGAAGATCTGTTTAATATTTTTCTTCAACTGCTAAAGTGTTTTAACTTCTTTCAACAAGCTTGGCTGCTAAAAACCCAAATAACACATTTCCTTCTTGTTCTTACAAATGGTAACTAATGTGGCCCTCTAACAATTTAATTCAGTTGAGCTGTTAAACAACAATAGAGTAGAATGGGAAAATGCTGTAATACTTTTGTTCAGCAATAGTTTAAAATAACAGGAAACTGACTCTTTGTTGAACTGTAAACTCAAGCTGTTGCTGTCGATTGCGTTCACAAGCTCACATCTTGTTTTACCCGAGCTTTCACCTTCATAATAGACTCATCCCTGGGAAGATTTCAGCTGGAAATGCACATGCACACACTGACCTTGTTCCCATATTAAGGTCCGTAGTCTGCCTCCACCGTCCACCTCCTGAGGTTTAAAAGCTTTTAGGGTGTGCAGACACAGATGAGTGATGGGCTCGATTTGCAGAGTAGTGCTGCTCGGCTTTGTTCCTGCTTATCAGTGACTATAAAGAAAAAGGAGGCCTTTGACTTCAGCAGCTCATCGATAACACACCTTGTCTTGTATGCTCTTTTCTCCTCCTAGCTCCTCTCCACCCAGGATGGCATCAGTACAACTGAGGTGGGGGCTGCTCTGGATGTGTCTAAAATCTGTGCATTTTTACCCCCATTCACCCCTCAGCCCTGCTGCAAGAAAAGGAATCACTGCAAAATGCTTTTCACACTGCACCCACATAGACTGGGGCTATCCCACAGCCAGTGTTTAAGAGTTTCCCACTGTGAACCTACTCTTTAAATTTTTATCTTATATTTCCCATATTTTCAAAAGCCCAGGAAGGCAGAGCAAATATCAAAGTTATTCCCTTTGGATTTTTATTTTATGAAATGCTCTGCAGCTCAGGGTTATAAGACAGCTTAAGTCAAAGAATGTGCAGCGTGAAAAGTAGAAAAATCTTCCTCTACCGCCCCACAAAGACAAAGTATAGTAACAAAGTTGCTACTGAGACTAAGAAAAAACTTTTGCTGGTTGAAAAGCAGAATATCCAGTTAGTAAATCATTTAATCACACAAAATGAGTTACTCCTGTTTGTCTTTGTGGGACAGAATGCTATATAGACGTGTGATCCCATAACAAATCAGTTCCACAGTCAGAAATTTTATTTGTAATTTTTAATGATGATCTACAGGTTGTGCCGACCTCCAACGGGACGTCCTTTGACTTTGTCACAGCCGAGAATGGACCAGTCTGCCTGGACTTGTACTCCACCCCCCAGTATAAAATGGACCAGCCCAGTGACGGTACAGGTGAGCTGTTTAAACATTCATAAACAGTATAAATATAAACTTTATAAACATTATATTTTTATATTTATAAACTATATAAACGTTTAATAAATGGTCTATAACACACTATAATGTAGTTGTAAGCAGGTGTCTATGTACACCAAAGAGTGGAGGCTGGTGTATAATCAGAAAAACAATATAGTAAAACACAGTTGTTAAAGGCAATATAGCTGCTTACAACCACATTTTAGTGTGTTTATTAAATGTTTGTGTACCATTAATGCTAAATAATAATAATAATAATAAATGGTTGTCTTAAAATAGAGTGTTACTCTGTCTTGAAAAGATCTGACTGAATGGAGTTAAGCTTGAGAGGAACCACAGTAGTAAGAATACTTAACTGAATATCTATAAGATAACAAGTGTCCTTACAGGTGGGTGGTGTAACATAGTTAAGTTACAGAGGAATTTATTGGAACCTGGTCTTTCTCTATAGATGCTCTCTAAACTGGCCCTGCCAAATTATAATTAATTAATGTGTTAGCTTAATTAAAATTAATATATCGTTTTTTGTGTGCTGAGACAAATTCTGAGACCCACATTGAGAAACCTCCTTTGAAGCCTGGTGGATAAATAAGGTTTGTTTTCCAGGTTTCTTGAATGTTAACATTAGATAAGCTGAATAAAATGTATAAAAAGACAACATTAACATTTTGCAGATTAATGAACTGAATTATTTTGCTCTATTCACAGAGACAATTCCAATAATTAACATTGCTATAGAGTAAATGAAACCATCCAACAGGTCATAAAATGAGTAAATTATCCAAAATGCTTACATGTGACTTCATCAATACTATTTATTCAGCAGAATAATATATAATGTATAAAGTGCTGCGGATCTCTTCTGCTGCCCTGGATTATATTTACTTTACTTTGTGAAGTCTGAGCAAATGACTTGTTTGGGTTGGAGACTACAGCTTTTTAACAAAAGGCCTGTGTTACAAACTGGGTGTGTGCAGTTTGAAAAATGTGATCCAATAAAGATCGAATGTTTTTAGTTTTTTTCCCCTCCATACTCAGGTCTAAAATCAGGAAATCTAGGCTTCTCAGTTTCTACCATTCCTTTTGCCCCCAAAGTACAACACCAAATCACAGGAGTGCCTAAATTAACTGAGGAGACGAGAGCACTGTAACTGCTTTAGTAACAAGTTATGTTTCTGTGTCTAACCAGAGAAGAAGAATGAGTGTGTGTATGAAGTGTGTTTGCCCCCGGAGGATTCAGTGTTGGAGGGAGGAGAGGAGAAGTCTGAGGGAGGCGAGGATGGGATGAAGAAAAGAGGAGTCAGCGCGATGGTCAAAGTCTTCCACTTCATCATGAAACAGAGCTACATCTGTGCTCTCATTGCCATGATGGTGAGTAATACAGCCCACAGGTGGTGTAACATAGGAGTTACAGAAAAGTGGCTGCATTTGTGTCAAGTATTTGTTGGATGTTGGGAAGGGGAGGGGGGGTCCAAAATCACTTTTATTTAGTTGCCGTTTCTAAATAGGACTGCCTGTGTTAGAAAAAGAAAATCCCCTAAACAGATCCTGTGTATTAAAACTATAGCAATGAAGATGTGACTGTTGTTTTCCAGTTTGTGGTTTGTGTTTATAGTTTAATCTGACGTGACATGAAAGCAGCATTGTAACCAGAAAGTAACAAATTAAAAGCCTCAGACCTGCTGGTCTGGAGTGGTTAGCAAATGCCTCCTTCGATTAAGATGCCCTTGAGCAAGGCACTGAACCACTCTGTGCTCCAGTGGGACTGCTGGCTGAGCAGCAGGAGGGAGCTGTGGTTGTACTGGGCAGCTTCTACAACTCAATGTGTGGTAGGATGTTACTGAAAAAACATCTGTTCTCAGTTTAAACATTCCTGGATGAATCATAGTCAAAAAAAAAAAAAACCTGACAGTTGCTTAGTTTGAGTTTGATTATAACTCAGTAACAGACTGAAATGTGTTAAATGGTTCGCTCTTTTAATGCAGTTCAGAAATACAAGTAATTCAAATCGTACCTGTAGTTAGTAACAAGTGAGTAACACAAAGTAACTACAGAGTAACTACAAAAACCTAATATGGAATAAGACCATATGAACCCTTACCACCCAGTTGATGCATTTCACCCTAAAGTTTGAATCCCTTCTTCTCAGAGTCCTGACTCTATCTGTTTTTTTTGAGAGATGTCCATAAATCTATTTAGAAATCATGTAAGAGAGTAAAAAAAGCTATCATTGAAGAAACTGGGTTCATCTTTGTGTTAGGTCAGGGTTTAACAAAGGGGAGTTTGGGAAGTTTTACATTAAAAAACTTTAAATTGCTTTATTTTACATATCTGTAAAGTCCAGTTTATTTCCAAATAATCTCCTGAGAGTGATTGAATAGAGAGTGATGAGTTGGTACACCTCCAGTCATAAATGCTAAGCTAGCACAACCTTGGGATTTCTATTTAGAGGATAACAGAAAGCTGAACATGCAAAATGTGAAACGTGTCTACAAACAAGCAAACAATTCAGCACAAATGAAGAATAAAGCTTCCACTTAAAAATGCATGAGTAAAAATATTCACTGGGGCTTAAATGGAGCAATTTCTTTCATGGAAATTCATCTGGAAATCAGTAATAAACTCATCACAACTAATCAAAGTAACTGAAATAACAGTCTCAGACCTTTGTCTCTATTTTTCCTGCAATTAACACCAAACTACATGTTTCTTCCCAGGAAAACTTCAAGAAAATATTAGGAAAAGGCTGACCTGTAAAATACAACATCACTCCTTTTCTTTTCCAGTATCTATTCCAGTATTTTTGACCCGGCGTCTCTCCACAAGGATTCAGTATATTGACTTGAATTTTTTAAATCCTAGCAGCATGGAGAGGTTTCATTTTGAGAAATAAAACAGTCGCACTTTATTTAATAGGTAGCCATAACTTCTTAACAATTTCCTTAGGAAGCAGCTGACTCTCCGACTGAATGGCAACAATACTCATTGGTTTCACCCAAAGCATGATGGGAACTGAAGTGCCAGAAGTCATTACATATACATCCCAAAAGAATATAGGAAAAAGAAAAACAATAGGACTAAATCTATCCACGAAATTCCACTTTGTTCTCCTCCCTCCATTCATACACAGAAAGTTACTGTGTTGCAAACCTGGAGTTACAGGAGATGCAGGCAAGAAACCCAAGTAATTGGATAAAACCTGAAACATGAAGTACCATGCACATGCCAAATTATGCCATTTCTGAGTAGCTGAACGCATGTGGAAATATATGACATGCCAAGCTATGTCATAAGTCATTTTGTACCTCTGTAAATAAAGGGAGTGAAAACTGTGTTCTGTGATTTGTCCTCTTCAGGCGTGGAGCATCACGTACGTCAGCTGGCTGACGTTTGTCTTCCTCATCTGGTCTTGCATGCTGTGGATGGTGAGAGACCGGAGGCGTTACGCAATGCTGTCGTCTCCCTTCATGGTGGCCTACGGCAACCTGCTGATAGTTCTGCAGTACATTTTCAGTTTTGAGAACATGCCTGAAGTCTCTGGCTTCTTTGTCAGGAAGAAAAACCCTTTCCACTCGCTTTCATCCAAGGTTTGTGAGCTACAATTAACAGCCTGATCTTAAAACTGATGGTAGTTAATATGTGCAGTCATTTCTTAGGCAACAGGTGTACTCTCTATGCAGCCAGTAGCATATATTTTAGACTCTGAAAGTAACCTTTTACTAAATGGGACTGTCAAACTCTCAATTCATTTAATAAGAGAGTCATACACTGTACTGCTGAAGTAGAAGGTCAGGTTTGCAGTATTCTGACATTTTGGAATCGTCTTTCATGTTGGCAGCTGCTGAACCTCAGCTACTTGCGTCCAGAAAAACATTTTATACATCAGTAGGTAACCACAGACTTGCAGTGGTGTTGCCCTTTTTTTAATCGCCCATACTACTGTTTTATTAAACACTGCATATGTTCTTCCCTTCAGAAGCAGAGGTGCAGTTATATTTCACACCTGGGTCAAACTTTATTTTAAAGTTTATTCTAAGTCTCAGATGAATGCAAGACACGTCTGAAGGTTTAGACAATTCACTTTAACTTTAGAAGCTCAAATCTGATTTACTGTATATACATATAATGTATCTGTACTGTACCGTACTGTCTCAGCATGTTAAAGTAAATGCAAATGATTTGTTGGTTCATCTTTTCTTTTCTTGCTAGTCATCTGTATGTCTAAACATTTTATTTATTGTGTGTAGGCCCTTTGTCTGCTGAGCTTCTGGCTGCTGCTGAGACAGACCCTTACAGAGAGATGGGAAAAACAAAAAGAGGACAGTGCTGGTCTCTCAGACGTTCATGTTGAGGATCAGGAGAAGAAGGGTAAGCCCTGGTCTCTTATTGTGTTCAGATTATAGTATAAATACTATATGATATTGGTTACAGTATAACTAATTTTGGAAATTACCACCAGCTGCTAGCACCACCCTTCCTGTGAAAATGTTATGTTAGTTAGTAAATATACAACTTCTACCAGCCACAACTATTATTTGCAGGTATCTGAACAAGAACATAATAGAGCTGGTGACTTTCGGCACTTACTAACATTTATAGATGGTGGATAGAAATGATTGAAGTTTCTTGTTTTTACCTTCAGGTTTATTTGAGTTTGTTTACACTGGACACATTATACTTTAATTTAGTTTGATTTCACAATGAGGGAGGAATGTGGAGGCTGTTTTGTAATTGATCAACATCTGTACCCTCCCTGCTCACGAGGGCAAAAGGTTTGATTACCATACTATTAAAGTTATTCATTCATACTCTACCAGGCAGTCTAAGCATTTTCATCTTCCAGTGTGGTTCCAGCGTTTACATATAGAAGCACTGTTTTGTGGAAGACAATCTTGCATAGTGTCCACACATAGCAAATGTAAGCAGTATATAAACATTTGATACAGTTTATATCCAACTATAATATAGTTGTAAGCAGGTATAAGTTGGTGTTTATTAAAGTACATCCTCAGTATAACTCCTCCTGTGGGCACCCATAAGTGGAGGCTGATCTATAAAAACGGATAAAGAATGACAGTATAGTAAAGCACAGCTATAACAACATGAAATATGTTTATTCATACACATTAATTTATCAGTTGGTGCAATTTTCTGATTCGCTGCTGTGTTTTATAGAGGAGGACTCTGAGGAGGGAGGGGAGCAGGACACCATGCAGGTTCTGGGCAACATGGTCATGGCTCTGCTGGTCAAATACTGGATCTACATCTGTGGGGGGATGTTCTTCTTCGTCAGCTTCGAGGGAACCATCGTCATGTACAAGATCATCTACATGATGATGTTCCTCTCCTGTGTGGCAGTCTACCAGGTACCAAAACACACCAGTGACTGAGAGCATTCATACATTACGCGTATGTGAGCTCACACAAAGACAGACACTTGTAGTTACATGCAGTGTTTTATGGCTGCCCTGCTGTGTGTCAAATCTGTAAATAAAAATAAAATAAGATAAAATAAAATTCTCTTTAATTTGCACAAATCACCAGACCAAAAAGGTTTGATGACTTTTTCTTTTAGAAACTAAATTAAGTGTATTCAGTATTCAATATTAACAGCTGTTTACTTACCAGTGTAGAAGAAACGTTGAGACTTCAGCGTCAAACTTCTTTCCTTTACTCACCAAGAGCTGTCTCTAACAATGGAAAGCAGACTGTTTGTTTTGCTTCTATTTCTATCACTTCTTTTCTTCTGCTGAAGTTAGCATGCTAACCAGCTAGCCACTGCCCGTTCCAGCCCGTCTTGTCACTTTCCGATAGCGACTCACTGGAGCCTCCAGTCTGCCCTGAAGACGTAGCGCTGCTCTGAAGTAGCCCCTTTAATGTATTGTCACCATTTGAAGTAAGGCTAAATAAAATAAGTGTTATGGCCAGAGTTTATTCCAAATTTTATTTATATACATAGGAAGCTGTTAAGATTCCAAATTCAATTTCCCAAAAACAGACGGTGCTGACAATTTTAGTAGTGTCATAAAGTTTGTGTACAGCAGGCTTGTAATCCACACTGTATTCTTGACTGTTTTATAGCCCCAACTACAGTACAAAAAAGCAGTCTCCCTAAATCCAGATGTCCTCTGGCTGCTGTGTGTAGTTTAACGCATTATACCTGTTAATGTCAGATAAATCACACCCTCTGTAAAACAATTACTATTATTTTTATCCAGGTGCACTATGAGTGGTGGCGAAGGATCCTGAAGTACTTCTGGATGTCAGTGGTGATGTATACCATGCTGGTCCTGACCCTGGTCTACACCTTCCAGTTTAAAAGCTCGGTGAACCTCTGGTCCCAAATGACGGGCCTGGACGAACAGAGGTGAGCTCCACTGAGCAACTACAGGTCTGAGGAGCAGGTTATGCACTCACTGCTGGTCTCACTCTCTCCAGACAGGCAACAAGGACGAAACTTCTATTCTCTCTTTGATTTTAACTTGTAGACCTTGTTGGTATCCAAAACACTGCCTACATTATAGGTACCCTGGGGTTTTAGATAATGGAAGAATATGTATTCATGGAAATACTGGTGGTTGCTCCAACACACATTTTATAGATAAAGTTTCAAGCCTCTGAAATGTAAAAACCACATGTTTGACTCTGACTGATTTGCTTTTTAGCTTCCTAACACAATTCTATTGTTTTTTTAACAGATAAGAAGACGGAAGCTCTACAGGATTAAAACAATGAACAATACATAAGAAAAAAAGATACATAATGCAGATGTAAACAATAGGCAAACGGTTAAATAGCTTTACTTTAAGGACGAAAGTGCAGGTTGGTTGTGATTGTTTGAAAAAAAAGAAAGTTGTTCTCAAGGACGTAGTATCTAGTAACATGTATTTAAAGTATCTAAACGTTGTTTTAGCCTCAGTTTGTAAACAGTGTATTGTTTTATATGTACATGTGATGTGTGCTTTGTGTAGCAATACATACTATAATGGGAATCACTGTTTGAATGATATCATATGACAATACTGATAATACACAAATCTTTATCTTATGCCAGCAGCAAAGAAAGGAAAGCATTTGATTCCCTCTTTAATTTTTATCGACTCATAGAATTTTGACTTATTATTGACGTCCACCTTTCCCCCATATCTGAGAGCTTCCTCACCCACAGATACCACAAACAGACAATATCCTCAAATATCAGTTTCTTTTATTTGTTTTCTCTAAATCTTTCCATCTCTGCAGCTTGAAGGACCTGGGCTTGGAGGAGTTCTCTGTGGCCGAGCTGTTCACCAGGATTTTCATTCCTACTTCCTTCCTGCTGGCATGTATCCTCCATCTGCACTACTTCCACGACCGCTTCCTCCAGCTCACTGACCTCCAGGCTGTAGTAGCCAAAGAGCAGAGCACTATCTACAGGTGAGACACATACTCTTTGTTTTTTTAGACCCCAGTTATGATTGAAAAGTTGACTTCTTTGTTCTTTTGTATTTGGTTTAACTTAGTTCAAATGAGTGAATTATAAACTGTAAAGACAGTCAAACAAAAGTTAAATACAAAGTATTTCACAGAGAAGTTATGATATCCTGCCTTATTAGAAATGGGTGAAAGGACAACAAAGTTTAATGTAACTGCAGTCGCTTTTCTACTTGGTGTTAAAAAATGATGTTAAATGGGGACTTGGACTTCTGGGAAAACACTACATCATGTGTGAATGTATCTACATGCAATTACTGCAGGGCTGCCACTAACGATCATTTTCATTATCGTTTATTTCCTCAATTAATCAGTTGCTCTATAAAATGTTTATCCCAGTGTCCATTATCTTCAAATGTCTTGTTTCGACCATTAGTCAGAATCAATTTTGCAAAAAATGGGAAGGAAACCAGCAAATATTCATATTTGAGGAACAAACATCAGAGAATTAAAAAAAATAACTCAAAACTATTATTCAGTTATCAGAGCTGTTGCTGATTCATTTTCTAATGATTGACTAACGGATTCCCCCTTTCCCCTTTATTTCTTCAAATCACTGCAGAATTAACACCTAGAGCTGGGAGATATAATTGAAATCATCATCAGGATACTAATGAGGATATTTTCAGATAAATATATTTCACAATATGGCAAAATCACATATAAAATACTAAAACTGATGTTCTGTTAATGAACCGCGTTCTACTGTTATGCAGTACATCCGACCAAAGGTGGATCACCAATTAGGCAAAGTGGGCAACTACCAGTATATCAATTGGGTGTTTGAGGAACTAATGAAACTTTCATGTACAGTGGGGATTAGCCGCCCAACAACACATTTTTACCCCTGAAGAGGTTAATTCGGCCCTGCATCAGACCTAACTCTGTGTACAATGAAAAGTTCATTAACATCACAATTAGCTCCATTTTCTGCCTTTTTGCGTGTTAACATTTAAATCAATACCCGACCATCCAATGAAATAATGGTGTAACTTGAGAACTCATTGAGGTGGTTAGAAGTGTCTCTGTACCTTTGAAACAACAGTAAGTGCTGTTAAAAAAAAATAAAAACTCTTGTCAACTATCAAAAAATGAAATCTCTCATTTGTGTCACTCTGATCATCTACAACACAATAAGAAGTCAGAGGCCATAGTCAATGTTCAGAAATACAGTTGTTATCCTCTGTGACTTGAATGTGATGATACATGAGAGGCACAAACTGGGCTTACATCATAATAATATGATTCCACTCACAGATGATAAGCAGTAATACTCAATTATTACCCAAGAATGCCAATTACTCAACAACAGTAAATGAAACCCAGCAAAGATAAAAAAGCATTCATCCCGTTTCATCCCCCTCTGTTCTGGATGATCACACTCGCACACCCTGTTGAACGCCCATTATAACCACTGTTCTCATCATGCATCTGTCACTGTGTGCTCTGTCGTGCAGCTCTGTCTTATAACATTCACATGTTGGCAGTCTGCGGTGTGCTGTGTTTAACTTTATTGTCTTGTTGTTGTGGATTTTCCATCGTTACGCCGCCGCTTGCTCTGCTTCTCCCTGTGACCTGCTGCCATCTCTCCTCTGCCACCATTTTCTCACAGCCATGCTAAAGTCAATGAGCGTGTCTATCTGATCATGAATAGGTGGGTATTTGCTCGATTTCTGTGGCATCCAACCACATCCAAGTTCACCTTGGAGTCTGAACTCCCTTGTCCTACATCCTTTCCCTCCCACACTGAAGTTTCCCCTTTTACCCTTTGCAAGAGATGATACTTTGATGATCTTCTGGAATATTTTAATTCCTGTCACTCACATGAATGATGTTCTTTTTCAGGTTCTGTATCGTATTATTTTGCCTGTAGCCTTCTCTTCTCATCTTCTCTGTTAGATTTCTGGATCTTTAACCCCCCTCCAAATCCAAACCCTTCTTCTTCTGTCCAATGGTTTCACAAACTGTCTGGCCTCTGTTACAACAACTTCTTTCTCAAGCATGTTTGAATCTGTAAAAAATATTCTTCCCTTTGGGGATCTTGCCAATGATCTTCACCCCCCTCTGTGCACTGAACTCCCTTCCTGAAAAAAGCTTGTCTCCCCCAAACCACAGGAGTTTTTTGGCCAGTTTTCATGCGTTTTAATGTGGATATTTTAAAGGGGTTTTTGAGTGTCAGTTGCAGCCTGCCTGTGTCGGTCTCTCTCCTCACTGTTATCTTGACTTTATTGTTCTGAGCAGCATCAAGCAAAAAATTCCCCCTCAGCAAAGCAAGTAAGTATGACCGCTGGATAATGAAATGCCTGCCTTGATGTGCAGCCGGTTCATGCAAGCCAAACCCGACCTTTGACCTTGCGCCATTGCCTGAGAAGATTTTAAAGGGTTAATGCCTCCCTTCAGCTATTATGGTTTATCTACTGCAAGAAAAAAAAACCTCTGATACCCAAACAAACAAACAAACAACAGAGATTGTTTTAAAGAATGCAGAAGGAATGTGCACTGCTTTTTCGATTACAATGCCTGATGAAACGCTGCTCTGCTGTTCAGTTAGCGGACACAGAGCAGACGAGTCCATCCGAATGTTTGCATTGGAGCCTTTTGAGAATCACCTGGACCATGTTTATGAGTATGTGTTGTGTTTATATACTTGTGAGGACAGAATACCTTCAGAAAGATAGGAACGAAAAATCCCAAAACACCCCCTGCATGTATACATGTATATTTCAGTCTGAGACACTACCATCAAGGAACAACCATTTATTGAAAATGGTTAAGGTTTAATTTGTTAGGAAAAGGCTCTGTACTGAGGACAGATCTCTTCTGAACAAACACATACGTGAATATCACATCTTAGTGAAGTCAACAATACTGAAAGCTTAACACTTAGGAGGAGGCTGAGCTGGTGAACGGAGCTGTGAGAGCAAATGGTGTTGTCTAGAAGATATTCATTGTCAGTGAGGAGGACCATGTTATAAAGACTGAATATGAATATGATTGCTGTTATTACTCAGCTGGTAGCCAAGCCACTGATGAATGAGCCACTCCATATATTTATATAAAACAAGTTCTTTGGCAATTATTAGTAAAAGGAATTGTATTAAAACAATATTTATGGCTGCAAATTGAGTGTTTACTAGCGAATATGCAATGTGAATGCATTACTTACTTGTTGAGATTGAAAGTTTTTTTCGCAACCTTAAGCATACATGGACAAGAAGTGATAGAAAATGGAAATTTGACAACTGAGCTGAGGAAGATTGTGTTTTAAGATCAAAGGCCTCAAAACAACTACTAAATAGATAGATTTATTTATCCCCAAGGGGAAATTCATGTGCTGTGTGTCCATTAGCTCATTGTTGATAATAATAATAATAATAATAATAATAATAACAGTTGATAATAAATAAACAATAATAATTAGATTAGTCCACTTCCTTTGACTGATGTGTTGTATAGCCTGATGGCAGTGGGAACAAAGGATCTCCTGAACCTCTCTGTTCTGCAGCGCAGTGAGATGAGACGTTTGCTGCTGTAGCTGCTTCTCTGTCCTGCCAGAATGTTGTGGAGAGGATGGTTGGTACTGTCCAAGATGGCCTCCATCTTACATTGCATGCGTCTCTCCACAACAGTTGAGACCTAGTGGTGACCTGTTATTTACTGATTGCCCTTGAAAAATCAATTCCTAAATACCCCTAAAAATTTAGCAAGGAAAAAAAAATCCAAGTCACTCAAAGTCCTCACAAGTATAGAAATACACCTGTGTGTGTGAGTCTGCATGCATGTGTCCTTGTGTGTAATACTTTCTTACCTGTCTTCAGACTGGTGCACCCGGACAGTCTGGCAGACCTCACCATGCTCAGCGCCACCTCGGTGGATGCAGCACTCCCCAGAGAGGAGGAGGAGGAGGAGGCAGAGGAGCTGCAGGAGAAGCAGGAGGAGCAGGGGGAGTGGGGGCTGGAGAAGGAGAAAAACCAGGCCCTTGTGGTGGTGATGGATGACGCTGACTTGACTGGCGAGAAGCCCAGGAGCTTCTCTGACCCGCGGCAGTCCAGTACAGAGGATAGCCACCACTGCAGTGCGGGGACCGAGCCAGAGCCGAGCACCGAGCAGAGCTCAGGTACTGAGAAGCTGACGATGCAGTGAAACATTTCAGGGCTGCAACTAACAACTATTTTCATTATTAATCAATCTGCTGACTATTTTATTGATTAAGCTATTGATCATGTCAGAAAATAGTGAAATTGTTCATCAAAAAAGCCAAAGATTTGCATCTTTGATGAAAAACACAAACCTCACATTTGAGAAGGTAAAACCACCGAATTCAAGAATGACTCAAGTGATCAATCAGTTATGAACTCTATGTTGATTAACTGTCTGAAAGCCAAATAATTGATTCATCATCTAATCGTATCAGGACAAAATGATTTAAATTCAGCTGCACCCAGTAGGTGATTTATTATTAACAGGCTGGAGGGCCCAATGGGAGCATGCCCCTGCTCCCACACCCATGTACACCTCCCAAAGGACACTGTTGCAGGGTGCCTGAACCATGACTGTTACATTTGTCATTGGCACCCCGCTCATCCCCTCTCAAATTGTCTACTAGCAGCACCTTGCTCTAAAGCTCTCGGAAGTCTGGAATAATTCAATCACAAAAAAGTTTTGAGAAATGGAGGTGCAGAATTTTTATTTGTTATGTCCAATCACAAACATTAACACGTAGAGAGCTGGTATCAAAACACAAAAGCCAATGGTGCAAATTATTTTCTAACTTGCTGCCAGTCCAAGTTTTGAGATGGAATTTTCTAGATTTTTATCAGACATGGAGGACTAACAAGAAAAGTATGAGACACCTCAGTAACTAATGCTGTTCTATCAAGAACCTATACCTGCTGTAAATGTGTCATTGAGGCACCCTGATGGTTTAATTGGCACATATATCATGTAGTGTTTGAAGGTGTTGCAAAACATTATACTCTCTTTCCTAAAACAAATTTAAAGTGCTTGAGAAAAACAAATAGACAAACCAATTCATATTAAAAATGTTTAAAAAGTTATTGTCGAGGTGTTGTTACATCGCAGAGTTTTATTTAAACAGTTCAGAATCTCATGTGAGCTTTTGCTCAGGCTGTTCCCACACTGCTGGCCATGTTTACCCCTCTCACATGTGCTGTTTTATACAGACAGAGCACCTTCAGTCCTGAGTGTAGAGATGTTTTCTCTCAGATCTCTCTCAGCCTGTGGCTCTTCAGTCTGCTCAGAAGACATATGTTACGCACAATCTTTAAAGGCCAACGCTCTCTTAAAGAAGCTCAGTCTGCTGCCCAAGTATCTGCTGCCTGTACTCTCGCCAACCGGCCATTAATCATCCCAAGCAAAGTTGTAAAAATGTGTTGTATTGCACATTTTTGGGTTCAGTGAGATTTATCTCCGGTTTTTTGTTGTGACACAACGTGTAGCTCAAGTGCTCACTTTCACCCATTACATCTCCCTGCTAACACCAGCTAAAGCTGCACCATTAGCATATTTACACAGACAGTCACACTGGTCTTAAATTAAAATGTTGTTTATATACACAGAAAATAAAATAGGTGATAAAACACGACCCCGCAAGGCCTCTCAGTTAATAATGAGCTGCAGGCTATGCAGGCTATATGCTCTCAGAGTCTCTTATCCAAACAATGAGGCCTCTATTAAAACCTGAGATAATATGCCTTTTGTAAAAACATAAACCCACCACCAAACTGTGGCTGGAGTTTTTATATCCTTTGTGAGAATATAAAACCAAATATTAAGTCTTCTTCTCAGGTAATTTAAGCAACAGTTTGGAGTTTGTTAATACAAGATTTTAGGTATGTTTCCATCCATCTTGATCTTGTGTGGGGAAAAAAATTACATCAACACCTTTGACAGCTTCAGAATCCGTATAAAACACGTGTTTGCCTTTTACATTGACCCTAGTCATACTTGGGTTTAAATTGGAAACATACAGTATTGTAATTTGTCTTTCCCTAACGAAAATTTCTTCCCTGATTTGCATGTTCAGTGGTTGGATTTACTTTCCATGTACATATCTTTTATAAACTGTAGGTGAATTATAGGGCTGCAACTAAGGTTTTTTATTATTGATTAACTCACAGATTGATTTCTTGATTAATCGATCATTTGATCTGTAAAATGTCAGCAAATGGTAAAAAAAAAAAAAAAGTTTGTAAAATGTTTTGTTATGTCGGACCAATACTATCTAACTAACTCAAGAGAATCAGATTTACTATCATGGAGGACAAAGAACACCAGAAAGATTTTTTTTTTCCAATTTTGCTTTAAAAATTTGCTTCCCTCCTGTTTATTGTCTGTCAACTGTCTCAGCTCTCATGATGTGTATTTATTATTTACAGTTATAGTGGTCAAATGTGTCTCTGACAGTGCTACATGACTGAAATCTAAGTCTGACATAACAAAAACTTCATGGTGCATTTGTTGGGTTATAATAAAGTGAACTAAGAAGTAATGCAGGAACATGTCACCTAGTGCTATAGACCTCTGCAAAATAAAATATACCAGGCTTTGGCTGAACATACAATACCTGAAAGGTCATTAAGTGGAATCCAGTGAAAAAGCCTTCGGGTAGATGCATTAATCTCTTTCAAGAGGGGAAGCTGCACATTCTTGAAGCATAACTTGACAGTAAGAAACATGTAGAATATCTCCAGACTTATTCCTGAGGTGTAGAGAGAGAATCACATTCTCAGCTGTCCCAGCTTTAGTTGGTGAATGAGAAGACACGTTTTTTAATGCCAGGAGTTGGATAATGGTGTTTAAACAGAGGACACACTGCTGTAATTGTGGTGTCAAACCTGGAAACAGTTTCCATTTGCACCTCTTCACTTTTGTTTTCTTTCCGTTTAAAGTGTATCTGGTTTGTATCTCTCCTACTTCAGATCTGAAGAATAAGTGGCACCTGGTGGTCGACCGTCTGACCGTGCTCTTCCTCAAGTTCCTGGAGTATTTCCACAAACTGCAGCTGTTCATCTGGTGGTTGCTGGAGATCCACATCATCAAGATTGTGTCCTGCTACATCATTCTGGTCTGTGTCAAAGAGGTACGAAAGCTTGGGATTCCTCTAAAGAAAGAAGTGTGACTCAACTCACTATGTGCAGCGACAGGGGCCACTTTTCCTCCATATTTGAGTTTGTATGAGTCAGTTCTACAGTTACCTGTCATCACAGGTGTAAGTCTTCCAGATGTTGCTGCTGTTCCTTTTCTTGCCCTTGAATCTTGGCTTTACATTCAAAATCATTAAAGAAATTGAATCCATGAATTGTTTAGATACTGCAAGAGAGGGCCGTTCTGTCTGAGCGTCTGAAAAACAGAACAGATATATGGAAGAAAGTGTTTTTAATGATTCGAGGTTTCGAAGATTTTCATCATGGATTTTATTTTGTGTTTAAAGTTGTTGTTAAACTAAAAGTGTCTCTGGAGCTTTTCCTTTTTTGTGCACTTTGCAAGTTTTGTATATAAATGACTGTCATTACTGTCTAGCTTTTTATTTTAATCATCACAGTTACCTACAGTTGCAGGAGTCCACTGTCAAAGGTTCTTGCTGGATTTTCTTGCTCAGACGCTGTTTAAATCAAGTCGATCACTTCATCTTGCAACACTGAGCCATCTTGAACCAACAGAAAATAAACCAGGATTGTCTGCTACACTGCAGACTGTTCAGATAATAATCTGCGGTTGTTTGAGCAAACTGTGATGATTATTAGTTACTGAATGGAAAAAAAGTCTTACTCAGAGTTTTCTTGCCATTGGGGCTGTTTGAGTTTGGCTGAATGGTTTGGCGTGGATAACCTCCTCACATTTAGTTTGTTAAATTCTTATAAAAATTTACTTCTATTGATTTAAATGTATGTAATGTAATTTTTTTTTTAATTTATAAATCTTGACCTCCAGTTTTATGTGTACATTGTTATGTTTTTGATTTGCCTCACATTACTCTTTGCTTTTTCACCCACTTTTTATTTAAAATACTTTTACAAATGGCATTTAATTATGCTTTTAAATGAAAAATGAGAAATGAAATGAATAATTCTTATTACTGGTAGTAGTAGGACGAAGAGGATGTCAGTGGAAAAAGGATTTATGTGAACTGTTTTTCAGTCCTCATCGCCTGTATTATCTCCTGTGCAGGTGTCTTTGTTCAACTATGTGTTCCTGGCTTCCTGGGCCTTTGCACTGCCCTACAGTCAGTATCGGCCCCTTGCTTCTAGTGTTTGCACTGTGTGGACATGTGTCATCATCGTATGTAAAATGTTGTACCAGTTGAAGTCCATAAATCCCCCATCCTACTCCAAGAACTGCTCTATGGTGAATATATTTTTTCAACTTTAATCATAATTAGTTTGTACATGTTCTAAAACTTAGATTTGCTCAGAGCTAACAACACTTATTGTTTCCGTCCACAGCCGGTGGGCTACAAAGACGACGAGAGGACTGTGATGAAGGATTCTGAGCTGTATAAGGGACCTGTGGATCCAGCCATCTGGGTTGGCTTGAATAAGTCTAATGACCTACTGGGCTACCTCTGGGTGAGAAGTGGAAACATTCATCAGCTCATAGTTTTCAGGACACACAGGACATCATCACAGCAAGGGAAAGAACATTTCAATTGTGAAAACACAAATTTAAAGTAGCAAAAATGAAAAGTGTATTTTGTTCATCAGAAGTGGCTACAGTGTTTTTGTAGTGTACTTGAGATGAAGGGGGACATCAGAAAAAGTTTGATTACAATATGTTCAAACTGAACAAGTTGCACACATCACAAGTGATGACTTAAATTGTTTTACTAAATCTAGTTAATATCAACTCATGTTTTTTTTTAATAAAAAAAAGTGTTTTTATTTGATAAAACGATGTTCTCATGTCCCAAATTGTTTAGTATTTCATGTCCAATGTTCTACATCCACTGTTACTCTCAAACTTGTGCTTTTTTACTTCCTTTTGCCTAAATTTGTATTCTACTCTATACTACTTAAATTATGCACATTCTGTGCAACTGGTAATTAGACTTGTCATGACTGCACTGTAAATGATTGTGTATGTGAATCAGCATGCAGATTCAACAAAAGAAATAAATGTTTCACACAGTAAAATCTTCTCTCTGTCTGTGCAGAACAACCTCTTGATGTTGGCTCTCTTAGCGTTTGAGGTGACCATCTACCGCCATCAGGAATACTTCAGACTAAGGAACAAGCTGTTGCCTCCTGCCGCTCGTGTTATCTTCCATGACATCACACGGCAGCACCTGGACCTCGGCATCATCAGCTTCATCAAATACTTCATCAACTACTTCTTCTACAAGTTTGGACTTGAGGTAGGGACAGTTGGGAAAAGTGGTCTCAGACTTGTGGACCTCACTGTATATAATGTTTTATCTAAAAACTATTAGCTCCATCACTTCATGTGTTAATTCTTTGTGTGTTTCCCACAGACGTGCCTGCTGTTGGTGGTGAATGTAATCGGGCAGCGTATGGACTTCTACGCCATGCTACATGCCTTTGCCTTGATAGCTGTCATGTATAGACGAAGGAGGAAAGCCATTGCTGAGATCTGGCCCAAGTACTGCTGCTTCCTGGCCTGTATGCTGACCGTCCAGTATTTTATCTGCATCGGGATCCCACCTGCAGCCTGTAAAGGTCGGTGTCGTCAGCTAGATCAGAGTTATCTTTTAGTAAAAAATGTGAAAAAATGCTCAATGCAAGTCCCCAAAGACCAAGGTGACGTCTTAAAAGTTCTTGTTTGGTGCGATCAATTGTCCCAAACCCAAAGTTTTTCATCTCTAATCATATAAAGAAAAGCAACTAATCCTGACATTTTAGAAGGTGACAACAACGTAGTTTAGTTTTTTTTGCTTGACAAATGACATAAATGTTTAATGGATTATCTTAATAAATTTTAATCACCTATTCATTTAGCCCCACCATGATGGACAACTGCTGTTTTAAGGTGATATGCCCTGGTGCTCCAAGTCTCACTATTAAGTGCATATAACTTGTACAGTAAATAAAATTCTAGTAGAACACAAATACATGTCTGTGGAAAACGTCTTCTCTCGACATCTTTGTCCACTGCTACACTGAGGCTTTGAATTTGTTTTTTTGTATAAGGACATCACATAACAGCTGTTGGTCCACTTCCTCCGTGATGCACTTTTCTTGGTTTTATTTGTTACCATGTCAACGCTCTTATTGCCAATTCTGTCCTTTTAAAGTGCTCCACAAATAAATCTGAAGTCTTTACATTTTTTATGATAATGGTGCATGTTTTCATTTCAGACTATCCCTGGAGGTTTCCCAACTCTACTACAGACTCCAATGTTGTCAAGTGGCTCTATGTTCCAGATTTCCGCACCAGGCCCAATTCATTATTCCTCATCTGTAGGTGTCTTAGTTATACAGGAAATTTGTTTGAAGGAGAAATAAAAGTATTCAGATCCTTTACTTGAGTGAAAGGAGCAATAGGGCAGGCAAAAATACTCCATTTGCAAAATGTACTTAATATATCAAAAGCAATTATGATTCAGAAAAATACATCCTGTGCATGAAACTATTATAGATTACTGGTGCATCAATGTGTAAGAAGCATTTTACCGTTGTAATTGATCAAGATGGAGCTAATTCGAACTATTTTATACTTTTTTAATGTGCAACAAAGCATCATATTTCATTAGCTCATCATATGTTTTGTATGTAAAATCTTAATCTGTAAAGTAACTAGTAACTAAATCTGGTGTAGTGATGTAAAAAACATTCAATTCTTCAATACTCAAAATTGTAGTCGAGTAGAAGTATGAAATAGTATGAAACGGAAATACTCAAGTACAAGTACCTAAAACCTGTGACACAAGTTACAGTAGTTGAATATATGTACATATGTACGCAACTAAATATTACTGAGCTAATTTTTGTTTTAGAGCTAATTTTAGTTGTCTTCACTGGCAAAAAGAAACAATTGCATATTTATTATAAAGAAATGATGCTGTTTTCTTCTGCTAAATTGAATAACACATGTTGATGAACTTATTCCGGTACAAGAATTACAAATACTTACATTACTCCTTGTCTTCTCTAGATGACTTCATGCTGCTGCTGTGTGCCTCTCTTCAGAGGCAGGTGTTTGACGATGAGAACAAGGCGGCAGTTCGCCTCATGGCCGGAGACAACGTGGAGATCTGCAGAGACCTGGATGCAGCCTCCTTCAGCGTCCACAACCCCGTCCCCGACTTCATCCACTGCAGGTACAACAACTCACACTAATGTTATACTACATTTACACTGCAGCACTAAGTGTCCCGAACATGTCGTATTTATTCCTATTACGGCTATATGGATACAGTATATGGCCATGGAGCCATGGAGCCCATGCTTGTGTTTCAACACTTAAATTAGATTAGATTAGATTTTACATTAGATTCACATGAAACAGATGTCATAGTTTTGGTGCCACTGGAGTCCGACTGAACCAGCATTAACACAGAGGACAACAACACACAGAGACGGAGAGGAAGTGAAGTAGCCAGCTTAATTGATGCTTAACCATGTTATATGGTTACAATAAAGCCCAAACTGAAATGTATTCAAAACAAGCAGACCTATTAAACGCATGAGTTCATGGTTATATTACATACAGATTACTGAATATAAAAATAGAACAGATAATAGAATAAAACTAGACATTTAAAAAAAGAGCAGCAGTTTAGAGTTAAGCCTGAAGATCTGTGTTCTCAATCTACACTTTTTTATGATGATTTAACTTAACCGGCAAAAAAATTAGAATAGTTTTACATAACCTCCAACAACTTTTGACAGACAGAAGCTAATACTAAATTTGACCATGCAATGCTGTTTATATGTGTTTCTTGATCCACTGTTTGACTCTTGTCATTATGAATGTGCATGATTTTTGTGGTCTGTGCGATTTCTTTATCTTGTCAACGTGGTTTTCTTAAACTAGGATAAATGTGTAAGTGTACCAAAGAGTAGGTGCAAAGAGACGGAAATAATGCTAACTTATCAGAGAGCTTTAAAATCACTACAGGACTCAAAGGTTTCAGAGAAGCAGGCCAGGAACAGATGGTTTATTGTGTTGATTTGATGCTATTTGTTATTATTATTACCATTATCTTTATAGCGCCTAGAACAAATTAAATCCAACATTGTGTCAAATATCAAAAAATACTTGGGATTTTAAATAAATATTGTTTAAATTTTTAAAATTATTAAAAAGCATCTTCTGAAAATAGACTTCAGATTAACTTGATCTCTAAATTTTAATTTTCGCCTTTTCTATGCCATTCTAATGTAAGCTAATGTTGATAAGAGTGTAGCTGTTCTGCGTGGTATTGCCATCATGTGTGTGTAAGTGTTAAGTGTTGTGGTTATGTTGACTTGTATTGGACCTTTGGATTAATAGCTGTTGTATACAGCACATAACAGGGATCTAAATAAATTGGAAAACAAACTTGTTGGGTAAATTTGTAAAGAAATTTCAGCAACAACCAATGAGGCCCTTGAGAGTGAGACACTCACTGTGTACCCACATCTCTCCAGTGGAGCTGCCCAGAGGCCAGCTCAGTAGAAAGCTGTTGTTGTACTTGGCTGCTAACTGTGTAACTGTAGAAATCTTAAGTGGGTCGGTGCTGAATAAGAACGTACTCGCTCAGCAAATCCTTTATCCTGGATAAATAAAGGTAAGAAAAAACTGACAGATGACAGTAGCTCATGTCAGTATCTTAGTCAGAGATGTTATTGAATAGCCACTGTATATATAACTCAAAATTTTGGCCGTGGTCCAGTATTTGAATCCAGAGCTACATACTGACTTTGCACAATAAAAACGGGTGAACAGACGATTTTGAGAGGCAAGGAAATAAAGAGCGAGTTAGAAAGACAGCAAGAGCATCCTGACCTGTCCACAGTCATTGATTATGTGCTCTTCACATTCCACTGTTTTGATGCGCAAAGTGGACAAGTCTTTTATTAACGCACTCTGTGTCCATCAACAAGCCCTAGTAGAGAGAAAGAGAGCTGTACAGCCCGTCTGTCCACGCCACAGCAGCTCTGCACTTATTCCATCGTTTCCCTCCAGGATCGAATTACGGATACGGGGTGGGGGAGAAATCCATAATCCACAAAAACACTCTGTCCGTCACTCCGCGACTCAGACGCTTTTGCCCTGTACTCTAACTCAATAAATAGCTTTTAAGTATGGAAAAGGTATTTTCTCCCCCTGATGAAGAAGGACTCTCACTCAGCTATTCCGGCCCATCAACGCGTCGTCCGATCCAAACCCACTTCATCAGAGCCGCTTCCTCAACAGTGCAGCTGTTGTTGTGGTCCCATGTTTTCCCCAGGTCCATCACATTAATGCAGGTTGCTTCCTATGTTTTCACCGTACACATCACATTAATGGTCTCTCACATGATAGCACAGGATCCATACGCATGTTTTTAGCATGTCAGACACACACACACACTCACAGGACATGCAGCAGTGTATACCTGTTCTGAGTGACAGGAGTCAGGTTTCAGCTCTGGTTCCCATTCATTGATTCGACTCTTACCGGTGTCCTGACACTAAGTGATACGCTAAGTGTGACTGATGGGCAGATTATGCATGCAGCAACAAAATGAACTGAAATGTTGTTTTGACTTTTATTATGTGGTAAACATGCATCTTATTAGCAACTTATCTTAGCTGGCTGGCATTGTGCCATATATACATATAGATAAGGCACGTATAAATACTCATATACTTATACTTATGTACATATCCCATCTCTGCACTGGGTTAGGTAAAGCATAAATGTTACACAACAATGTAGATATTAAAGCCACATTTGGCAAAATCATTATGTAAATATACATTTATAGAATGTGTCTTTATTATTAATGGGAACAATAGCTTTCTAAAATGTCTTAACTTTGGCATATGCTCAGGTGTCATGGACTTCTGTTGTTAAAAACCTGTGAAAAATAGCTTGTAAGTAGACCCTCAATTAAGATAATTTTATCAAGATATTCAGGTAAAATACAAAAATGCAGAGAAGTGAAAAAAATATTTTCAGTGTGCTCAGCTCTGCTGGATGTTGACAAGTTGCCTGTTTAAACGTTTTATGTTCTTTTTCTTTTTCATTTTTACCCCCTTTTAAATCAAATCCAATAGTAACACCGACACAATCAGTGCAGCTTTTAAACCTGTTAATGAACTGCTATACATATGTACAATGATAAAAATCAGCTTATTTAGCGTAAGTTTCTGATCAATAGATGTAACTATAGAGTCGAGGGAACCTTCTTGGAAAAATGTGTGAATGCTTCTATGTTATAACAATATAATGTTTTATTCCCATTCAGCTGCCTTGACATGAATGCAGCATGAGGATATGATATATTAACATCGGTGTTAATATATCATATATTAAAAGTTAGCATTTCTTACCGAAAAATGGCACCAACTGGTTATTAGTTTCCTCTCATGATCAGCCTCCCTCACCTCTGTCCTGCAGGTCCTACCTCGACATGCTGAAGGTCATCATGTTCAGTTACCTGTTCTGGTTCGTCCTCACCATCATCTTCATCACAGGAACCACACGCATCAGCGTCTTCTGTATGGGATACCTGGTTGCCTGCTTCTACTTCCTGCTCTTCGGTGGAGAGCTGTTACTGAAGCCAATCAAAAAGATCCTGCACTACTGGGACTTTCTGATTGCCTACAACATCTTTGTCATCACCATGAAGAACATTTTGTCTGTGAGTAGTCGATCTCAAATACTTAATGAAGATGAATTGATTGACTACATGAGATATAAAACATCTGTTTGCATGAATGTGTGAACTGAGGAGGAAAAAATAATTACCTATAAACTTCTCTGTTCTCACTGTTTAATATATGTCATAATTCATTCTTTATTAAATTATCATTTTCTTTTAATCAATCGCTTAGGGGCCATTGTATTTTGCCTTAATTTTCATATATTTATTTTTAATTTTATTTAATATGTAAAATTAAATGTTTTATTCTAGGGTACAATAAAGGATTATTTTGGTTTTTCTGTGTCCATAGATCTTGGCTTGTGGCTACATCAACTCTCTGATCAAGAAGAAGTGTTGGTTGATTCAGTTGTTCAGTTTGGCCTGCACCATTAAAGAATATAACATCAACACCAGCCAGGAAAGTCTGTGTGAGTGAACTCAACATGTAATGTCTTGTAGAATTGTCATCCATCCACCCTTCCGTTTTCTTCCGTTTATCCGAGGTTGGGTCGCGGTGGCAGCAGGTCAAGCAAAGTAGTCCAGACGTCGCTCTCCCCAGCAACGTTTTCTCGCACCTCCCGGGCGATCCCGAGGTGTTCGCAGAATTTTTATTCATTTATTTTTTAAAAGAATGGGTACATGACATGATGAGATATATCCCTCAATATTTGGTGGAGCATATATCCCCAATTTGGCTTCTACCCTACCATAAGACGTTGGTGAGATTTGCAGCTGCAGATTGTGTCCAAGAGCGTTTCACAAGAAGCGGAAATGAACTCCACGTCCTTGTTTATTTTTCATCTTTAGGGCCAATTTAATTGAGTGCTGTCTTCATCTTAACCCCACTGGGAAACTCATTCAGCTGCCACAACACTCAGTGAAACAGTAAGGTGTAATCAAATACAGATAACAGACTACATTAATATCCCTAATATGGATGTCATCACTTTCATGTGTCATTAGAGCCAGTCAATCAACAATACTGTCACTTTGACAATAATATTTATGCTCACATTCAAGGAGACGAGCTGTTTTACCTGCTGATCACGTTGCAGATTATTGGATGTAGTCCAGCTGCTAATTAATCTATTGTGGTGTTAAAAGTCATTAAATTACTAATACTTTACTCATACTAGATTAGATTGTGTATGACTGTGTCCTGTTCCAGCCCCTGATGATCACTGTGAGCTGCCCAGTAACGAGGCCGGGATCATCTGGGATAGTATCTGCTTCGCCTTCCTGCTGCTGCAGAGACGAGTGTTCATGAGCTACTACTTCCTCCACGTGGTGGCTGATATCAGAGCGTCACAGATCCTCGCATCCAGGTACACAGCTGCTCCGTGCAGAGACGCTGTAACCAGGAGGGTCACGGCTTTGATACAGGGCCGGGGGTTTCTGTGAGATATGTGGAAAAACCATATTAAACCATTGCAGGGAAACTAATGCTGAAAACAGCTGATATTTTTGTGTAACCTAAATATTAGTTGTTGCATTGGATTGTAGTAATTTCCAGAATGGTGCAGGGTCATTAATGTTATCCGTTCCACCTGTGTTTTTCCAGTATATCATTTTTATAACTCAAAATTTCATCTGTGGAAAAGATCTAATAATATAATTCAGGTTAGCAAGATTTATTCAGAAAGCAAAACAACATACGAATTAAAAGATAGATAAGATGAAATTTGACATTTTTTCGGCTGCCAAAGTTGTGCAGTACAGAAAAAGTTTGGGAAGCGCTACGTTAAGGTGTCAGTCACAGGTTCTGTTGATGCAATAAGGTTTTTTCGTCATTAAATACTAAAATAAGTTACTGATGTGTGTCTGTGTGTTTCAGAGGAGCGGAGCTTTTCCAGGCCACTATAGTGAAGGCGGTGAGGGCGAGACTGGAGGAGGAGCGCAAGTCTGTGGAGCAGCTGAAGAGACAGTGAGACTGAATATTTAACATACTCCATGTGGTGTAATGCTGTAGTTTTGTTTTTTATGTGCAATATGCAATACTAGAGGAAGTTTTGATACTATAGATTTGATAGGTTATTGCCCAAGATTTCTGTATAACTTCAACATTTATGTGTTTTTACATAATCTCTGAATTACATTAATCAGAGTTAAACAGCAGGGTTCTTTAGAGCCACTACAGGATTATTTCAAAAGAGGTTTGTCTCCTTAACAATTAACAAAATAAGAGACCAAAAAACATACACAAAAATATATGATGAGTAGTTTTCTGATTTGTCAAAAAAGTTCTATTTATAGGATCTTCATTCTTCGTTCACACTGTGGAAGTCAATGTTTTAAATATTTTTCGTAGTGAGAAAAAAAAAAGAGATATATCTTCAATGCTGCCCAGTACTTGCAATATGGTTGGAATTATTCTATTTTTTGTATTGTCGATAAATCCCTTGAAAAGACCAAAACCACCAATCTGTTAGTGGATCGAAAAAAACTGTAATTTTTAGCTCAAACAACAGCTACAAGAGCATTCGTCAGGGACTATTTTCAGCTGTGGATTAATAAACATGTGATGTTGTAGTGAGTATTTACAACAGTGGAGTGGAGTCAAAAAACAAAAAAATTACAATATGTGTCTTCACTGTAATGAAGGTACATGCCTTCCAGTGCAGCAGTTTGTGCTCAGTGTTTTAATACATGTAGTTGTCAGATAACAATGGAGCTCTATGATAGATAAGCTGTATCTGCCGTTTTCTGCACAGGTAACACTTGTTAATGGTTTTGGTTTTTTTCATGGGATTTGTTGACAATAAAAACATATGGAATCTATATTTCATTGTTGGAGTATCTTTGATGGGTCTCATTAGGTCTTATTTAGTTATTAAATAAGAAAACATGATTCAGAGAATGTAAAACTTTTTCTGGATTAAAAGCAGCGTCTGACTCAGTCTTTATTGTTTCCTGGGAGTCAGCTCTCAGTATATCATACCACATAAAGTCAATGTATTTCAACCACTTACACTTACCTCAGGAGTTACTCACAAGCTCTGATAACATCCACTCACCCACTCTAATGAGCACTCCGCTGTTACATAACATACACTAATTTCCATATGAAGCCTGGAGATGTTTATGGTCAGTCTGTTAGACCGTCAGTGATGTTGCTCTGTGTCGATACTTCGTGTCTCTTCACCGTCTCTCTGATCTAATCAGGATGGAGCGCATTAAAGTGAGGCAGCAAAAGTTTAAGAGGGGCAAGGAGAAGATGATGAGCTTGGCACAGGAGTCTGGTGATGGACAGACCCTCATCCAGCCCGAGGACGATGACGATGGTATGACGAAGCCTGCCAGGGCCTCTCACTGTGCAGTCAATATGGAAAAAGTTTGTGTAATTAATAACAGACTGAAGCCATGTTGTGTAATAATGTCTTTTCATTGGTATTTGAGCTAAAAGAGCAGCTTCATACAGTAGAAATATGGCTTGAAGTTTATAGAAAAAAATGATTTTCTTATGAAATGTTGAACTGCTGTATTTGTGAAATTTTAGGAGCACAGCGAACGAAAACCAAGACCAAAAAAAAGCAGTGGTGGAGGCCGTGGGTTGACCATGCTTCCAGTAGGTTGACCCCCCAACCCTCTTATTTCTCTTCCTCCACTCTGATTGGCCCTTGTGTCCTTGACCAGAACGCTGAGGATTCCCATACTGCCCCTGGGCTCTGAAGGCACTGACAAACAGTAGCTTTTTATCGCATCCAGACTTTAGTCCTTTTCTGTCTCTATTTAAGGGCCCTTGTTACCTGCAGCTCTCATGTTACTGCACACTGTGTGTGTGTGGAGAGGCACTTCAGTTTAAGATGATCTATAAAACTGTGTCAGTATGGGAGCAGGGTTTCCTTAGATAGGCACAATGAGACGATGTAGAAAGGGAAAATGACTAACGGCTGGAGGTTCGTACTTGACGTTGTTTAAAACATGAATTCCAGCCTCGGTCTCACCTGAAGAGCCCACAGTAGAGGATCACTATGTTGTAAAACATTTTCACGCAAAGATATGAAGTCGACTCACCTTTATTCTCAGTGCTGGAATAAAGGATGGAGGGTTTGTTCATTCTTTGCCTGTAGACATGATCACCAAACAGGACAGAGTGAAATGACAGGAGCCAGTAATCGAGCATATAAAATGACGACCTTTACAGTCACTTTGTGGTAAATACAAAAATAGCAGCATCTCTCTGAGTCAATACGGTGGTCTGCCTGTTTGGTTTGAACTCATGTCTCTTATCGTACTCCATCCCCACATGACATTTTCAAATTATTTCTCCATTTTTATCTCTTTGTCATTTGATGTTTCATCTCCATTTCCCAGCATCCTCCCTCACCTCCCACCCACTGTGGTTCTGTTCAAGGACATAAGTCAGCCTTGTCTATCCCAATGCTTCTATCACTTAACCACTGGAGTCTGGAGTCACTTGCTCTGTCAAGTAGCTTAAAGGCGACTGTACTTACTGGAATAAACAAATCTTCACTGTGGCTTGTGCTCATAGTTATATCAGTCATACTAACATTTTTGATGCGGTGTGTGTGTGTTTTCTGTTTCATCCTCTCTTGACTCTGATGTGTGTCTATATCATGTGTTACTGTAGATTCAGATAAATGTTTAATATGTAGTAAATGAAATAGAATTCAGTGTTAGGTGGTTTGATTTTCCTGCCTCTTTCTCTCAGCAGGGAACCTTCACTGTGCCTTAAATTACTGTTATTGTGAAAACACGATGAGTGACTGCATCCTCTGTTTGACTGAATGTAACAACACTTTACCCTTTGCCCCTCAGTGGTTAGAAGTGGAGACTATTACTTGTTTGAAACTGACAGTGAGGAGGAAGAGGAGGATGAGGAGAAAAAAGACGATGAGCCGCCAAAGAAGTCAGCATTTCAGGTGACTCCAGGGTGAAATTAAATTTTAATCCCACACACTGCCACAGCTGTGTAATCAGGTGATATTTTTGTTATTGATGAGGATGTGGCTCTCAGCAGAGGTAAAGTATAATGAGGTGTTTTTACTGAAGTGCAGCCACTTTGATTGAACATCTCCATTTTTTTATGGTGTTATATTTCTTCAGAGAGAAATATTGAGCCTTTTACTTACATTTACTGTATCCACTGCAAGAGAAAATACTCAGATGTTTTACTTAAGTAAAAGTACCAATACAAAAATGTAAAAATACTCCATTACATTTAAAAACCTTACTAAAAGAATAGAATAGAATAAATAGAATAGAATAAAAAACTAAAAGAATAGAATGGATTGCTTGCAATGTAAGCACAGCTTAGACAACATATCAGTAAGCAAGTTTGTTTTATGTTTTGATGATTCAGAACATTTTAATGTTAATTCTTGTTCCTTGAGTTTAGAATTTGTGACTTGTGGTATTGTTATTTTCACCAGGGATTTTGAGGAGTTTTGAATACTAAGAGTATAATGAACTATGTACATTCACCTGCATGCCGTCCTGGACCACTAAATCCTCTTGTTCAGTGCCTCCTAACACAATTGCTCCAAATCTTTGATGTTTCTAACAATATGAAATGTTTCCCACTAACCCTCTCCCACTCTGTTCCCTCTCTGTAGCGAGCTATTGGGAAGTTTGTCTCTGCTGTCCTGGCTTTGCCCAGGTCTATCATTAAGCTGCCTAAAACTATCCTGCACTATGTAGTGAAGGCAGGCAAGGTACTCACCACCAGAACTAACACAGCTTGCTTTCTGCATCATCTGCCAGCTCCAGTAACAGCTAACACCACATCCCACTGAACACTCCAGCTCATGTCTGCTGCTCTGCTTTGCTGCAAATAACCAGATTTTAAACTAATTGTTTTATATAATAAAGGACACTAATTTGACATATGTCATAAAATCTGATTTGCAATCGAAATGCTTTGAACCTTTCGCTTTTTTTTTTTTTTTTTTTTTACTGCATATTGTTATTGTCTGACTGATTCTCTTAAAGTCGTTTGCATGAACTGGAGCTTTAATCTGAAATGTTTTGGAGATGTGTTGGTGTTTCCTGTTTGTTTTTTATCCTTTTCCTGTGGTGTGCTGCTCAGAGAAATTCTCAGTTAGATCATGATCATGATCAATGAAGGAGAAATAGAGGTAGCATTTAGTGTTATGTGTTAATATGGCACTGGTGGTCCTGCATGTTTCAGAGCTTTCATAAAAAGTTATGAATTCTTGGTAATATTGCTGACTATTTTCCTTGGTGTGTCTATATACTATATACGACAATTTCTTTCACAGTTCACTGTGAAAATCAACCTGCAGATGTAAAAATCAGCTTTCTTTAGATGAGAAACTGATAACAGTGAATATTTTAACATTTGTTTTTGTTAAACTTGTGTCACATTCATGAGATAATGCACGTGTGATTGTTGACTGTTTTGAAAAGGCCTCCATGTTGGGGCATTCAAGGAAGCCCCAACATGTTGCGTGTGAGAGTCTTCTGCATTTACAAGCAGTCAAAATCTGGAACAGAAATAAAAGGCAACCATGAAAAGACAAAAAAAAAGAGTCAAATAAAGAATAATATAAATGTTGTTGTTCCTTGTACTACAGTACAACGTGTGCTCTCAGCCAACCTTCTCTTTAGTTAGGGATATTAGTATTCACAGGCACTTGAACATACCGTCAAGCCCAAAACTGAATCCCACAGCTGATATGACTTTAAAAAAAAGTGAAACTAAATAAATGAATTATTAATTAAAGTAGAGTTCACTGTGTCATGCTTGAAGCGTCTGCACATTGATTTTTATACTGAACTGATAGCTCAAAAGTGGGAAATCATTTTAAAAGGACACGGTATGTTTTGGAAAGCGGTAACAAGCATGCATGCAGGAACTTGCCTCCTCGACTTCACATCCTTTCACTAATACTAAACTGCCGCCCTCTGTTCTCCAGTTTCTTTACCATGCCTGGATCACAGACCCCAAAGCTGCACTGAGGGCACGGGGCAAAGAGAAACGCAAATTTTGGAAGAAATACACAAAGGGAATTAGACACAGGAAAAGTAAGAAAGATGGTAAGCTAGTTCCAAGAGCCAAAAAAACTCACATTCAACAAACTGTAACATTAGTGTGGATAAATTTCATGTTCTTTTTATATTTTAGTAAAATCTCTACTATACAACAGCAGGTCACGTGGCCATAGAGGTTGGTGAGCTGTCTGATGGGCAAGAAAAAGGAGAGGAGCGCAAGCAGTCTGGTGGTCAAGGTTGGTTTCACCTCAAGAAAATTGTTTGATGAGACCTTGAGAGAAAAGTTGACTTGTGCTGTTTAGTTCCACCTTCTGAAACTTAAAACACTCTAGAAACTGGATGGGGAACATTGATGACGTGTAAAGGAAATGCATAGATTACTATTGCGTATTTGTTCTAATTGTCTTTCTTTGTCATATAGTTTCAGGATTTAAGTGAGTTTAACAACACAAGTTTTTTTAATTTCACGGCCACATCAGCATCTTGCAGACGAACTCCTTATTTTCCTTAAATAATACCTACTAATACAAATTCTGGTGTCAGGTAAGGTACATTTTTAAAAGGTGATTTACAAACTGTCTTCCAAATCACAATAACCAAGTGCCAAGTTGGACGTAAAAATGTTGCCTTTCTTTTCCCTTTTGATATCCTTTGGCAGTTGATATTTTCACAGATTAATCAGGATGATAATCATCATTTTGATTGATTTCCTGAAATTGCTTTACTTTATGTGGCTGTGGTTGTCCCTCCCTCAGACAACATCATCAAACGAGTGTTCAACATCATCAAGTTCACCTGGGTGCTATCTAAGACGACAGTGGACAGCTTCACCAAGTGGATGAATGACATGTGCAGAGAGTACATCGACATCTCCACTGTGCTGCGTATAGAGCGCTGCATGCTGACGCGAGAGGTCAAAAAGGTACATGATCCTCCACGCTGACTTTTGACGTTTAGAAAAAGAGTCACTGTAACTTAGTTTTAAACATAGTTTTGATGTGATAGCTTCAGTGATCCTTTGACTTTTAATGTAGCACAACCAGGAAGTTTTTATTTCACCCATTTCTTTGGCTTATGACCAAATACCTGCACAACTAATGACATTTCCATCAACCTCAGCTGTACTTTGATTTGTTTTTTTCATCTGACTTATGTTTTATCCTAATTAGCAAATGTTAGCATGCTAACAAGTTAAACTAAGATGGTGAACATGGTAAACATTATACCTGCAGACCATCAGCATGTTAGCATGCTGACCTTACCCTTCATTAGTGGTGGAATGACTAAGATCTTTTACTTAAGTAAAAGCAGCAATACCACAATGTAGAAAATACTCTGTTACAGGTTAAAGTACAAAAGTATTAGCATCAAAATGTACTACAAGTACCAAAATAAAAGTACTCGTTGTAGAATAGCGCATTTCAAAATAATGTAAATGATGTTATTGGATTATAATTATTGTTACATTAATATGTAGACCACCTTAATGGTGGGCTAATTTTATTGACTTTATTTACATAATCTTGCAAAGTTCTCCCCTAATGATCAATTAAGTCTTATTTTAACCTATAACGATGCATCATAATTGATTTGTTGGTTATATTTTATATTATTTTATATAACTTGATCAAGTTATCTAATAAATATAGTGGAGTTAAAAGTTCAATAGGTGCCTCTGAAATGTAATGGAGTAGAATTATACAGTAGCAGAAAATGAAGATAGTAAATGCTTCAAAATAGTTTTTAAGTACAGTACTTGAATAACTGTTCTTAGTCACTTTCCACCACTGCCGTTCAGCTCAAAGCACCACTGTGTATGAGTCATGTTTTTGTTATAGTTTATAATGAATTAAACATTTCATCAAAATGAGAGGGAGAAACAGAAAGTAATGAACTCCTCTCCTCCCAACAGGGCAACGTGCCTTCCAGAGAGAGTATCCACGTCTACTACCAGAAGGCCATGAGGCTCAACATGTCCAGGCAGGCCAGTTTAGATGCGCTCAGTGATGACGAGTTTGTCTCCAGCTCCAGCAGGGTCAGACGGAGGCGAGGAGGCCTTCCCATGGAGAGCCAGGACTCGACGGCCTCCAGAGACAGCATATCCAGGTACACAGAGCCTGACGGTGGTCCTCGGCAATGCAGCGTGGGAGAGTAAATGAGTCCTCATCAGGAAATAGTGTTTAAGAGTGTTTAAAAGAATAGATTCTAGCCTCATGGCATTTTCCTCTCTCAACTTTTTGCCTTAAAAAAAAAACACACAAAAAAAAACAAACTTAAACTGCACTGAAAGCAGGCATTTGGTTTGTTTTTCAGGGTTCCAGATTAAGCAAATGTGAAAGAAGCAACGGAAACTATAATGCAAATAATGATTGTATATACTGTATACACAGCAATGCATTAGTAAAGACATCAGATTCATGTTTTTTCATTGAACTGTTTATTATAAGAAGGGATAAATCATATTACTAATTCACTAATACACGTTCCTCGTGGATGCTTGTGTGATAAAGTTGTCTTCAGTTAAATTCACATGGCAGTGGATGTGCCATGATTCACACATTAAAGGGACAGTTCATCCAAATTACTAAAAACATATTTTTACTTTCATGTACCTCTTGTGATGTCTAGAGATGCAGTTGGATTTCCGCATACACAGCAGTCACTGATAGCAGTAAGATGTTGTTCAACACCAACATCTTGTGGTTTATCATCACACTGAGCCATTTCATCCACATTCTTTGGCTGAATCCAGATGTTCGGACTTCACAGCACATGCAGACTGGGACTTCACAAACTGTTAAACTATTGCTGGGAAGTCAATGAGCAGTTCAAATTCACGAGGGGCCGTAAATTTGCTTTTTTTTTTGCTTTTTTTTTTATAATATTCTTTTTTTGAAGACATCTGCTTTTATTGTTTTTGTTGCTGTAGTAAGGTTTCGTATTGCACATACAGAATGTGAATAGGCTGAATAATTTGGACTTGTTATCATTTGAAAAGCTATGGGCAAAAGTATTTTTTTTCTGTGGTGTAAAAATCCTCAGTTGAAGGTATAAAATTGTGTTTGGCAAATTTTAATCTCCATTCTGACCAGATCTGTTATGACTACTATGTAAAGGACAAGTTGCCAGTATCAGTACTGTGAAGAAAAATACTTTGAAATGAGTAACAGGCTCAGGAATATCAAGACATCCCCATGGAAACACATGAGGTCTTTGAGCTTTTCATCCCCTTGCGATCCTGCAGCCTCACACACTTGATGTGACACAGGGAAGACTTCAGTGTCCGCACATTTGGATCCAGTTTTTGCTGCATTTACTTTTCTGTACGTGTGACATGGTAAACAAGAAGCTAATTTTCCCGCTCATTCTTAATGTTAGAGTTGGTTTAACTGCCTTTATTACACAGAAGATGGGGAACATCCTGTCTGTGTAACCTAACATCGATCCCATCTCATCCCTCTCACCCCCCCTCATTCCATCTGTCACTCTCACCGCCTCTCAGTGCCTTCACTGAGGCCACCACGCTGTTATCTCGCGAATCCACGCTGGACGACCTCGATCCGATGCCAGAGTGCATTCCCAAAACCAGCGAGCGTGCTAGGCCCAAACTGCGTAAGATGTACGGCCTGGACGTGTCCAATTCATCAATGGACAGCGCCAGCAGCTTCATGTCCAGGTGCCTGGCCTCTGCATCACCCATATACAAACCTGTGTCACTGACATGATTAATATCAGTGCATCTCCTGACTCGTGTTTGTTTCTGTTGATTTCTAACTTCAGCCGAATCATTGCATGACTTGTAGTTAACCCGTTTTGTTTACTACATCCTGTCAACAACCCTAATAAAGTGAAAATAGTTTTATAATGTATAATCATGAGCATTTCAGGAAGCGTTGGTAAGCGTTTGGTAACACTTAACTGAAACTCCTTCTCTTCAGCATTAATAAGCAGTATATTAGTATTTAACAAATGTTTGACAACTCATTATAATGTAGTTGCAGGCAGATTTAAGTGTTTATTCATGTGTTTGTTAACAACTATAACTCCTCCTGTGTATAAGTAGAGGCTGGTGTATAAACAGATAATGACTGACAATGTAATACTATAAAATATGTTGTCATTGGAGAAGTTATACTTGTTGACAAATACTGCTTGTTAATCTTTATATCTACGTACAATTACATTGTTATAAACAATTTATTAGTTGTTTATATCCTGCTGGTGTTTCCGTTTGATATGCCCTCATCCATGTGTAGGGTGTGGTAGTAGCAGTCAATTAAGTCCATTGTTAAAAATAAAAAAAACCCTTCAATAAATATGGGCGAGTACATTATAAAAATACGTCCATGCACCCAGAGGGAGGCAAGTGTGCAAGTTGTTTTTTATTTATTCTGCGTAAACTGGGAGACTGATTCTGTCTGTTCCATCTGAACAGGTTGACACAATCCCTGTTGTCTTTGTCCCCTGCAGTGAAGCCACCCAGTGTATCATGCTCTACTCCAGGCAGGGCACCACAGAGACCATAGAAGAAGTGGAGGATGAGCAGGACCAAGGGGAGGACATGCAGCAGGTTCCCTGGGAATCACAACAGCTGGATGACAGTGAGGGGCCCGAGGGTGGCCCCTGGAATGACCCAGAATCCAGGGAGGAAGAGGAAGAGGAGGAGGATGGTGAGGAGCAGGAGGGGCTGGAGGGTGAGGAGGGTGAGGAAGGTGAGGAGGAGTTAGAGGTACCAAAGGACCAGGAGAGAGAAGAGGCTCCCTGGGAGTCTTTTGGCCCAGGCGAGGGCCCCTCCTGCCGGCTGGAGGAGGCCTGTACCCACTCTGTCCAGGACAAAGACTTCATCACTGAGAGTGAAGACGGAGGGGCACAGCAGGACTTCATGCAGACAGAGGGGCGAGCAGGGCTGCTCTACACCCCTGATACAGATGCTTCTAAAATGTCTGACGCCGACGTGCCTCCCAGCTACAGCAAGGCGGTCAGCTTCGACCGCCTGGAAGTCAGCGATGACGAGAGTGACACGGACAGGAAGAGGCGTATGATTATGACCTCTGACAGCCACTCGGACAGCAGGTCAGACATCATGCTGCCCTCTATGACCACTGAGCTGACCGCCAGCGAACTGCTGCTCAACAAGTAAGTCCCAAAACAACTGAAACCATCAAATATTTGTCTCCTGATGATTTGTTGCAATTAACACCTAGTTCATCGCTAAAGTTGTACGGTGTAAGTTTGTGCTATCCACAGGTCTGAGTATTGACCTGAACACTTTTTGAGTACTTCCCAAAATGTTTCTGTATTCCCTAGTATCAAAAACCATCAAAGTTGTTTTTAAATGCTATCTTCTTACCTGATTTTAATCATAACATCTTCAACAAAAAGATATTACAATTTGACTATTACATTTTGGCAGCCTTCATATGTGGTTAAATCACAGTTGAGGATTTTGGCGTATTATACTAAATGAACAAAAAAGGATTTCATTGTAAAACATTGTTCTGAAGGTAAGGTATGAGAAGATATTTGTTCGTATTTGTACCAAAAGCTGGTAATGTATTGGACCTGAAAGGCCTGAATGTCTCTTTGTGGTCATTTCTCTCTCTTGTAGTCACGGTGTGTCTCTTTGTAGTTGTGTAGTTTTGTAGTCATTTTGCGTGTCTTTGTAGTTGTGTTGTGTCAATCTCCTGGGTCTGTTCAGTAATCCATCTGTGATTGTAGGATTTTTGGTGAAGTGACAATAGCCTCCAAGTTTGTATAAATGCAAAGCGATTGAATAAGTGAATTTTTAAGTAAAGGATAGCATGATCCCATTTATTCATACTATAGAACCATAAAAAATAATCAAACACCGATCAGTCCGTCTCTCTGTGTCTGTCCAGGATGTTTTTTGACGACGAGCTGGAACAGTCAGATAAGTTCTACCAAAGCCAGCCTCTGATCCTCCAGCTCTGCTATGCCTTCTACAACATGCTGGTGGCCCACTCGGAGATGGTGTGCTACCTGGTCATCATCATCAACCACATGGTGTCGGCCTCCTGCGCCACCCTGGTCCTTCCCATCACCATCTTCCTCTGGGCAATGCTGTCCGTGCCCCGGCCCAGCAAACGCTACTGGATGACTGCCATTGTCTATACTGAGGTACAGTCAGAGAGTTATTAAATGATGTTGTTCCAATGGTGCATTTTAGCTTCAGTACAGACCTGAACCAAACTGTTTCTGTCGTCCGCAGTCAAGTTAAGACAAGCACAGACAAGATTCATTTGTTGAATGTGTCACTTTGATTCTCAGACTGAGCATAAAACATGAAAACAGAAAGATAATTACATTGCAGTCTTACAGTAATATCACATTCAGTGTTATTGATATTTATACAACAATTTCTCTCAGGTTTCACTGTAAATCTTCATCTCGGTCTGTAGTCCGGAAAGCTTCACTTACACTGATGTCGTTTTCCCTCTAGGTCACCATCGTCATCAAGTACTTCTTCCAGTTTGGCTTCTTCCCCTTCAACCAGAACAAGATGGATAGGAACAAACCGTATCACCCTCCCAACATCATCGGTGTGGAGAAGAAGGACGGTTACGTCCACTATGACCTGGTGCAGTTACTGGCTCTCTTCTTCCACAGATCCATTCTGAAGGTACTTGCAACCACACATATTAGATTACTCTAGTGACGTTCAATTCTTTTATTTTTGTCAACAAATCCCATGAGAAGAGTAAAGCCAGCAGCCAGTATTGTGTCATAGACCTTTATTTTTCTCCAGAACTTGTTTTAAATCACAGCTTGAAATAGTCCCAAACAGATACACATTTCATCCCTGTTTGAGTGACTTCTGCTACAGTGCAGTTGGGGACAAACTGGTATTTTTTGCAAGTTTTGCAAGCTAGCTCGACGTATATTTTTCACAGTATTTAATTATTTAACTGCTGATATTCAGTATCTTTGAATTTAACTATCATCATGCATCAAAATCACAATAGTTCTGTGTCTGTATATAAAATGAAGCTGTCACAGTTAGAAAAAGCCTCTGAAACTGCGCAAGGTTGAAAAAAAAAATTCACCTGAAACACCAACTAATTGAATATTATTTGATTCACATGTATTGAATTTTATGGCAACACATAACTGCTTTTAGAATTAAATAGGAATTTGTTAAACTGAGATTTTCAACAGAAAATGTGTAAAATTTGCAGAGAAAACTGCAGGTTTTGTGTCTGTGGTCTGGGAGGAGTCTTCATCATATCAGCACTGTCAGCTTGTAACACTGACTGACTGATACCCAGTATTGAATAAAAGACCAGCATTGACCTGATGTAGATTTGTGTGTCCCTGCTGTACTCAGATTGAACCATTTCTCTCCATCTATTTCTGGAAGTTTTCCTTCTTTCTCAGCAAATGAAAAAAAAAAAAACTAATCAGAGTGCAATGTTACCTCTTTACGGGACGAACACTGTGACTGTGCTTGTTTGGGACGTGCTGTGAAATTTCATCCATACAATTACACTCCCTCTCATTTTCATTTCCAGTGCCACGGTCTGTGGGACGAGGACGACCCCAAAGACAAGAAAGAGCCTCCTCATCAGAGTGAGTCCGAGGACGAGGGAAAGGACAAGGAGGAGAGCGAGAAGGAGTCTGAACCTGCCTCCTCAGTGATCAGTGAGACCAGAGGCTCCACTCACACCTTAAAGTCCATAAACTTTGGGACCTCCATAGATTCAGGACATGTCCAGGTGCACTTCCCACAACAGCAGACCTACCAGCGTCGCAAGAGCTCCAGCGGAGGCTCGCACATTTCTCACCGATCTCTTCACTCTTCTGCACGGTCAAAGAGAGGTGAGGATGCTTTTCTATTTCCTGTTTGCTGCTGCTGAATGGTAGTGTATGGCGATTCCCTGATTCCCTGGAGAACTGGTTCAAATATGAGAAACATGAAAGTCAACAATTAACACTCTGTCCCTAAAATTAAGCTCTTCCAGCAATGATAAACAGAAGGAATTATCTGGACTCGTGTCACGCAAAAACATTTCTTGTGCTCTCTCTCCTCCACCCCTGGATGAGGTCTCTGTGTGGGGCTGTACCAGTGACTCACGGTTCATTTACAGCTCGAAATGTAAATTGTTTCCACAGGAAGTACTGCCTCCCACAACAGCAGCCGCAAGGATGGCAGCGAGGCCAGCGTCCACCAGAAGACCCGCAAACAGATGATCATGGAGAAGCTGAGAGAGCAGCTCTACAAAGGAAAAGCTTTCATCATAAAGCGGTACGATCAAGCACAGTTGGGTTTTTTTTTTGTTTCTAAAACTCCACCCACAGATGCTCCACATTTTGAAATGTGGTTGTACAAGAAAGTGTGTAACTTTATGAGGCCACTGATGAGAAGTGTGCTCAGCAAGTATTCTGGATGAATAATGGAGGATGCGCTGTGGAAAATGACATCAGGGATACACCAGCTGAAACCTTTCAAAGGTCTAAATTTAGACCCTTAATTATAGCATTCCCGTCCGGCCAGTCAGTGTAATTTTTGTAAGTGCTACCACGGATGATTCAAAAATGTTTTTGCTCTAAATTTAATCACCGTGGAACCACTGGTTTCTGAGATATTATGTCTAAAACAGCAACTGAAACGCACCAAAATGATGCTTGATTCCGTCACGAATAACATGCACATGACACACAAATATCCAAATATCCACAAAACAAAAAAGAAAAGAGAAAACCAAAACAAAAAACAGTGATTCAGTCCAACATGGGACCTGAACCATTATCACCTGTTTCCTCAATCATAACAACACAAACTCCTTCCTTGTTGTTCCTTGTAGGTTCATGGAGCTCTACCTTCCCATGAGGCAGTTCTTCTACAACCTGATCCATCCAGAGTACAGTGCCGTCACAGACGTCTACGTGCTGATGTTCCTCGCTGACACCGTCGACTTCATCATCATTGTGTTTGGATTCTGGGCGTTTGGTGTAGGTTTATTTACATTTAGATGGGATTTTTCTTTCTGATCAACAAAATCTAATAGAACCGTCCTGTGCACCTTTTCCCCTGTAGAAACACTCAGCGGCAGACATCACCTCGTCTCTGTCGGAGGATCAGGTGCCGGGACCCTTCTTGGTCATGGTCTTGATCCAGTTTGGGACCATGGTGGTGGACCGGGCCCTCTACCTCAGAAAGTCTGTCATGGGAAAGGTTATCTTCCAGGTCATCCTGGTCTTTGGCATCCACTTCTGGATGTTCTTCATCCTGCCTGGAGTCACAAAGAAGTAAGAACCTAATCTGCCCTCAAATTAAATATAATCATCTTTTAATTTGAAGTCATTTAGTCACTTGATTAATTACTGAGGAGCCATGATAGCACAGAATCTGTGTCTCACAGCAGCCTGAGAAACTTGCTCAAAATATGCTTTAAATAATTGCAGATTTTCTGTAGAGCTGCAACAATTATCTTAATATTATTATATAAATCAATTAGTCAATCATCAGAAAAATAATAGGCATCAATTTTGATAATTAAGTTATTGTCTAATTCATTTATGAGGCAAAATTGCTTTAGATACAACCCTAATTTTCTCATTTTTAAACGTAATAATGCCTCTCAGAGAGTTCTTCATTGGAAAAAGCCTCCATCAATACCTGTTGTGACAGGAGTTTGTCTAGTTAAGTTACTTTGTTTCTGACAAAAGCAGCAATGTTAAGACGTGGTGAGTTTTTTTGTGATGTCTATAAATTCCATTTGTGGTTTTATTCATGTTTACACAGTGTGTGTCTGTTTTGTCTTCTCCTCGTAGGCGTTTCAGTGAGAACACAGTCGCTCAGATGTGGTATTTTGTCAAGTGCATTTACTTCGGGCTGTCGGCCTATCAGATCCGCTGTGGTTATCCTACTCGCGTTCTGGGAAACTTCCTCACCAAGAGCTACAATTATGTCAACCTCTTCCTGTTTCAAGGGTGAGTGATGCTGGGAAAGTATCATTTCTTCCAGCTGGGCAAACAGGTCCGAGGCCCCGGTCATGTCAGGACATGTGAGACAGCTGCTGCTGCAAAAACATGACACCTGGACTTGACATGTGTAACCAAATACTTGTGAAAGGGGACATCAATATTTCTAATTGTTAGTGTTTGTCTTTTGCATATGTTTGTATTCAGCTCTTTAATGTCATATCTAGGGCTGAAATGATCTGATTTGGGTTTTGGTCTGTGTCTGAGAAAACGAGCAAATTATAGTCTTCAGTCCTGCGTGCTTGTGATGGCCATTTTTCACAATTTTACACAACTTACTAGCTTTTTCCAGAAGTTTCATCAGAATCTCAGCGGGTGACAAGTACAGTAGTCGTCATCCGCTGAGACAGACTGTAAGATGCTGTTGAAAGCGCCAGAAACAATCTAGCACGTCAAACCTGACTAAAGATTTTCGTTCCAGAATGAACCTTCACACTAATTGTAAAGCAACTACCAGAAAGGTGTAGGCAGAAGCCACAACCTGTGACACAAGCATGACTTTGTGATTTAGATTTAATTTCGTTTCAGTCACTTATTTTTACCATGATAACTGAAACAGCTCTGTTGTTTCCAGTTTCCGCCTCGTGCCATTTCTGACGGAGCTGCGAGCCGTGATGGACTGGGTTTGGACTGACACCTCTCTGTCTCTGTCCAGCTGGATCTGTGTGGAGGACATCTACGCTCACATCTTCATCCTCAAATGCTGGAGAGAGTCTGAGAAGGTGTTTTTCATCGAGGCATTATTCTGGTGTGAAAAGAATTACCTTCAGAGCCAAAGCCCGTCATGTCGGAATCCAGGCTTGAATATTTATTTTTGTTGAAGTAGATCTTTTTTTTCTATGGCTCCTTCAGGCTCGTGTTTGTTGCTTTGTGACTTTTGAAGAATAAATTCTGATCTGCATTGGCTGGGTGATGGCTGAAAGCAAAAGAAATATTGGCTCTAATATTAAATAGCAAAGATATGTTGTGTCCGTGGTGCCCACTAAAAATGTATTTATTCTCTGCCTCACTATAGTAAGTAATACACTCCTCAATCTTTACCAGTTCTACCTCCAGTTACCTGCTGTATTAAAGTTTTTGTTCCATGTTTACAGATCTAACCATGATCCAATGAACTGCCTAATTCTAATGGATTTCAAAAGTAGCCCTGGCATTAAAAATCATACAGCCACGGCCTTCAGTATGAGGGCTGCTGGAGTAAAGCTGGCACAAAGTTTCAGGAGCACTGCCTGTGGACAAACTGCACTGTACAGTAAAAACAACAACTCTCCTCTATCTAATCCCTCTGCAGAGGTACCCCCAGCCGCGAGGCCAAAAGAAGAAGAAGGTGGTGAAGTACGGGATGGGAGGGATGATTGTGATGCTGCTGATCTGTATCGTCTGGTTCCCGTTGCTCTTTATGTCCCTTGTAAAATCTGTAGCTGGAGTCGTCAACCCGCCGCTGGATGTCTCGCTCAAGATCACCCTGGCCGGCTTTCAGGTGTGGACGCTGTTTCTTTTGTCAGATCATTTATAGCAAAACAAGCCTGCCAAGTGCTTTACTGAGAAACCGAAAAGGCCAAGAAGAAGTAACAAGAGACCAAAGAGATGGTCTGCCCAAAGCCAAAGCCAGAGCCTTTTAATGTGACAAGAAATCCTGCCTCTGCTTTCTCCTTTTGAGAAGGGTTCAAGAAGATTTTGATCAAGTAAATAAATCTGTGACTCATTCCACGGCAACAGCCCAGGGTTTTATTTGAAGGTCTTGAAGTAGAACTTTTTGGTCAGTGTTTCAGGTACTGTTGGCATGTGGTGGGAGAGAGAAACCAGATGAATGTGATATAGTTTCTAGGTTGAGTATCGTGGTTGCAGGGTTCTTTGACTGTTTGACAGATTCAGTGCAGTTACAAAGATCCTTGACAAGATTCTGCTCCTTTTTTTTTTATCTCCCTTTTTTTCATTTCCTCTTCTCACAGCCCATCTTCACCATGAGCGCTCAGCAGAAACAACTGCAGAATGTGACGCCAGCTGAATTTGAAAAGTTCACCAAGATATATTTTGATAACGATGTAAGTACAAGAAATACAGCACAAATGTCAGTTGTTGTCTTCTTCTGATATGAACTCAAGAATTGCCTTACATGCGATTTATGTGCAATGTGTCAGTGTGTTTAAACTGTTTTTATAATTCAGTGTGGAGAAAAAGAGGAGTGGGAGATTACATTGTACATAGATTTACATTGATTGCTCTTTCTCTGACTATGACTGAACTTGAAGGTAATTCCTTACTTGTCATGTTTCCCAGAAGATGTAGCTTGTGTAGATATGTCCTAATTTTTTTAAACCTTATTTTAAACCCCCTTTATAAACACATATTAAAAGTGGCTATGTGTACAATTGAAACATTTCTGACTCAAATTCTGGTGTAAAACAAGACAAACAGTCTATAGCCATGCTAGCGGCTCTGAGGCTGAAATTTTGACCAGATTCAGAGGATCACCAAAGGTATTAAAATTCATCCTGAGGGAGACGTGAACGGCTCTACCAAATATCATGGCAATCCATCCAATAAAGACAACGGCAGGAAGTCATCAAAGTCAACAAAGTTAATTCTGTCCCAAATTTTGGGCCCATTCATCAAGTGGATGTGGAGATGTTTCCCAGGGTAGGTGAAAACTTTGGGGTGCAAGAGTCAGGGGATCACCAAGTCAGTAGGATTCAAACTCTGGAGACTATGGATATCTGTAGAAAGTGTTTTTGTGTTGGGGTTAGGAAGCCTTGCAGTGGCTGGAGGGCTACATGCCAGAGGACCTGATCATCGCTGAGCTGAAAGGCAGCTCCAACTCTCTGTGGACCATCAGTCCACCCAGCAGAAACAGCCTGATAGACATGTTGAACTCCACTGAGGACTTCCCCATCACTGTGTCCTGGTCTGTGCAAAGGTACGCAGTGACAACATATTCATTCATATTATCCATTCACCGTGTGTACCAGTTGCTAACTATGTGACAGTTAGTATCAGTTTGTATCATTTAAAATAACCAGTTAATATTAGAAATGAAAATGTAGCACACTCACAGACAGCTGCTGTAAGGTCAGCATCTTCTTCCTCTTGTTGTGATCTCAGGAACCTCAGTCTTGGTGCCAAGGCTGAAACCGCGTCTGGAAAACGAGTGAAGCCCCTCGACCCAGAAACGAAGCAGGCCCTCATCAGGCTCCTGAAGGAGCCGGAAAAAGAGTCACAAGTGTGAGTACATCAGCTGCGTCTGTGGTCTTCTCCACTGTGCTGTGGAATCAGGAGTTCAGTTCTCATATCAGTCAGTCAGACATGAGACAGTTTCCTCCTTTTTCATTTATTTCTTTTTAGTTGCAGGATTTGAAGGTGAGTACTGTGTGTTATAATGTATGAATATATATATAAGCTGTATACTATACTTATGCTTGTATGTATGTTCTGAGTGTGTGATAGGACATTTGAAACACAGAAAAAGATTTTTAACAGACACATAAATTATAGTTTGTAGACAAATTATCAAAGAATTATAGGGTCAAGTGGACTTTCTTCACTGTTAAACAGGACAACAATTACTATGAGAACTACACAGCGCCACAGTATTGGACCCTGAATCTGTCTTTTCACAAAAATATAGCAACTGTTCATCTTTTTTGCAGTTGTGTTCCAACACATTGAGAAATAAATGAGACAAACTGTTTTCTGCTGCAGTAACAGCCTCTTCTCCTCTGCAGGACGCTGAGAAACATCTTCCCTCGTTATATTCGAGCCCCCAGTGACTCAGACGCCAATCCTGTCGAGCAGCTGAATAAAGGTGAACGTCGCCATCTTGTACCGCTGCATAGACTGGACTGACTGTGACCTTTGCAGAGTTTTTACTTGATTTAGTGACGGCAAAGTAAAATTTAGGAGCCTCTATTTTAAATGGAAATTTCACTTTTCAGTAAATTGGCACGTTGTTTTAAAGTTCTTGCACATAAATATAATGCATTGACTCATCTTTGTACATTTATTTAGAGTTGTAACATTTCTGACGATGCTGCTCCAGTGGCACCATCAAACAAGAAAGAACGCCATCACTAACACAAACCTGTGCCGTCAGAATAATCTGAAAGATTTTAATTTTACAGTAAAATTTTACTCATATTTGCAAAGTTACAAATAACTGCTTTTAAAGCACAGCTTTTCCCCCAAAATGGATACATATATTAGGTAATAAAGTAGAAGTCTTTATTCTCTTTTCCCCCTCATCCTCTGAAACATGCTTTTTTATTTTTTATTCGGATTAGAATCACTAGCATCATGTCGTTCTTTACCGTTGTAGATGAAGAGATGTTGGACATAGACGTGACGTTGAAGCAAGCTAATAACCTGTCAGATCAGAACCAAGAATGGTGGATCGTCAACCAGACGAAGCCCGGCCCGATAGAAAAGAGGAGTCAACAATGCATGTGTGATGCAGGTCTGGAGGTTTACATATTCAGCGACCAAGTCAGCCCGCCCAGTCTGGGCTTCCTGGCTGGATACGGGTAGGTAGTGATTGATGTTAAAAACACTGTGGATTTAAAAAAATAAATAAAAAAGATGTGTCTTATCTTGATTACATTCAAATTTCAAATTTCCACTCCACAGTCGACTTAACACCATCTACCGGCTGGGGAAATAAGATTATAAGGAATCTAAAAACCGAGCATTTCCCTTCCTCTCTTCCCCGTCTAGGATCATGGGCCTGTACGCCTCGGTGGTTCTGGTCATCGGCAAGTTTGTGCGCGAGTTCTTCAGCGGTATTTCCCACACCATCATGTTCGAGGAGCTGCCCAACGTGGACCGGATCCTCAAGCTGTGCACCGACATCTTCCTGGTCCGAGAGACGGGGGAGCTGGACCTGGAGGAGGACATGTACGCCAAGCTCATCTTCCTCTACCGCTCGCCAGAAACTATGATTAAGTGGACCCGGGAGAAAACTCAGTGAAACTCAGCGAGGGTACGTTGAATTGTGAAGGCGAGTCAAAGCTTTTTTCGGAGACGCTGGGTGGTCGCTCTGTTGGTGTGAGCCGCTATTTCAGCCCATTCACCAGCTGAGGACCAACTCTGTCCTCCTCAACTGAGCTCTGATGGCAGTGACACAGTGTTAGCTCCACACAAAAACACTTTCTGGTATTTTTTACTCTCAACTGATGGAAAACAACAACAGATTACAGTCATATTATTAACAATTGAGCACAAAATTTGCCGGTGCTTGTATTTATCTTGCAAAACATGGCTCAGTTTGGCATCCGGTGGACAAAATAAGCAGCTGGTGTTCAGTTGGAGATGGAGAGAAATCTTTTCAGACATTTTTCCTAAGATATAAAAAGTCTTATCCCTAACATAAAGGTAGATTTTTAAAGACCCCTCGCCACTCTTCGCGTCTGTCATCATCACATTATCTCAATTGAACAGCAGGCGGAGAGAAGCTCGAACTGGCTGCAACATTACTCTTTAAGGGCTTCCCACCAACAAGTAAGTGCACAACAATGACAACATGAGCACAATCTTATATTTTCTCCAACTGGAACACTTCAATTGTGGGAATTGTGCAATATCGAGCTCTCGATTCTCCACGGGGACCGAAAGGAAAGGGTGGTTCTGACTAAGACACATGAACATAGCCCCACCGTTTCTTCTGTTTGTTTTTTTTTAACGTCAGAGGCAACACGTGGGACCTCTCCAGACACAATGCAGAAAACATTATCAGACAATCTTAACTTGCCTTATTTTGTTTGTATGAGAAGAACTGAAACTCTCATCGACTACATATCTTTCTCAGGAAGAGCTGTTTCCACAGATATTCATTGTATGAGTTCTATGTTACGATATGTAGGCTTTGATGGAATCTAAAAGAATATGAGATTGTAGAGAAGATGACAACTGTTTAAATGGCATGACATTTAATGTGGATATTGTTCAGTTGGACTGATGCTGAGTTTGTTTACTGCAGAGTGACGCAGTTTAAGGACGTATTAAGAAAGTAAACGTATCGCTGTGGACTTTTTTTCCTCACACAGAATGAGAATAATTGCCAATCATCCATGTTCTGAATCATCTACAGGTTGGCTAGAGTCGCAACCAGCAGAGGGCTGCTTCTGAATCAGGGTAATGTGCATTAAGTGGTAGACTCTTGCACAACATTTGTGAACCTCTGGCTGTTTTTAACATTCACACTCATGAAAACTGTGGCGCCCACAGCTGTGCATCAACATCCTCATCAAGATGAAAATTAAAGAGACTCAAAAAAGATTCCTCACATAAAGGGCTGCAACGTGAAGCCCTTTGGTCCATACTATGCATTAGAGGACACTGTAGCATGGAAGAGAAACTTCATAATTAATTTTCATTAAATGTACATTCAAGTGTAAGGGGACAGGATATGCCACGGGGGAATGAAATGTGAAATTGTACCTGTATGTTTAAGGCAATGTGGTATGACAGAGGTCCAGAGATCTGCAAATAAAACATCTGGAAAGGTGTTGAGTTTTTGTAATGTGCTGCTCTTTGCTTGTGGAGACAGACTGTGAGTGAGGAGGTAGAGAGGCTGTTTGCTGGTCAACAGCTTTTCAACAGGGTTTTGATGGAAAACAACCTGGGACCCTCCTGGGACCACTGACCAAACCAACCCCAACTTATTTTATTTTGATTTTCATATCTTATACAATGCACTACAACTTAAATACATTTTTTTTGCTCTCTTGTTCTATTTTTCTTACCAATGAAGTGACAGTGCTCTAACAAATATTGTGAATGGGAAGTAAAGAAAGAACATAAGGAAATGCATTTAGAAAGTAAATAAAATAAAAAATAATGAAAGGGGATAGTAATGAAAGTTATAGCGGGTGTACATTATACAGTACATTAATTTCTACCCTCATCAATCTACACTCTATACCCCATAATAACAAAGAGAAACGAAAAGAAGGAAAAACTGAAATATCACATTGACACTTTGCTATGTCAAATGTAGCTCAGGTTCCTCCCATTTCTCTTGATCATCTTTGAGATGTTTCTACACCTTGACTGGAGTCCACCTGTGGTCAATTCAGCTGATTGGAGTTGATTTGGAAAGACACACACCTGACTATATATAAGGTCTCACAGCTGACAGTGCATATCAGAGCAAAAACCAAGCCATGAGGCTGGAGAGGATGTCCACCGATGGGCCTCAGCTGACCTGACAGAGCTTGAGAGGATATGCAGAGAAGAACGGCAGAAAATTCCCCAAATCCAGGTGAGCAAAGCTTGTTGCATCACACCTGAGAAGACTTGAGGGTGTAATCACACTGAGTGAAGAGTCTGAAGACATGTCACTGCAATGACTGCATGTCAATTTCTAATATTTATTTATTTATTTATTTTAGCGTAAGGCTGGTACACAAAATATGAAAAAGTTAAAGGGACTGAATACTTACTGAATTCTCTGTATGTCCTTTTACTTTTGAATACTTTTACCTGTATCAGAGTATTTTACAGTGTTATACTGGTATTTTACTCAAGTAAAGGTTGTCAGTATTTGTGGTTTAAGAGGGTAGAATGGGTTGCACTGCATCAATAGGACGATTACAGGACTCCACCTCTTTTCAGATCTGGGCCTTTTGAACTGTAGTACATATAATTTATACAGATGTTACTTTAGAAACGTAGTTTGAGTCACGTGAACTCTCAGCAGTTAATTTGACCAACTCATTTCAAGTCAAAAGACTTAATCAGAAATTTTAAGTTGAATTAACTTAAAATCAATAAATATTAGATGAATACACGGAATACCTAGGGCTCTATTTTTTTTTTTCAGTATACTTTCGCCCAATCAAATTACATCTTTTACAAATACTGTACACACAACTTCATACTACATTTAAGGTTAATAACTGACACAAGGAGATGTGCAGCATTTTTATTTTCACCTGTTACAGCGTGTACTGGTGTGCAGATTTGGTCTTGACGATGCACAGACGCACTGCAGAGTCATTCAGAGTGGGAGGGAAACACAAGCAGCACGACGTGCAAATTAAATATCGCTTACCAGGGAGAGAGAGAGAGCGCATTAGCCTCATCAAAGATAAATAGGTCTAAGGAAGCTACACAGTCATCACACGTCTGTCGGAGGCCGGTGTGGTGCAGACACATTCTCACTGATGTGGAAACTGTCTGCTAACTCGTTTAAGAAAATGTACAGACCATAAAATGCCACACAACGGAAATGTTTATTGATGCATGTGCAAAGTTTGGACATTTGCTTTTGAGGAATATACAAGAAGTGGGCAACGGTACAAATAAAAAATGTAAACAGTCCCTTTTTTATTATTTTAGTGACAGAATATTTTTGAATTGGCATTTAAATGATCTTGTCTGTAGAGGAATTCTCGCATTCTTTGTATGAACACTAAGATAAATGACACAAATTCAGTATTTAAAAAGGAAAAAAAAATCACTGCATGGTCCCTTTTTCATGTTTAAGTAGTTTTAATTTGAGGATTGTACTATGGAAATTGGTAGACACAGCCATGAGGTTTTTTCTTTTTCTTTTAAAAGGTGGATAACGCACACCTCGAGGTAGACAAACGGTCTACAATTGGCTACAAGCTGCATCATCATTCCTTTTTTAATTCATGAATAAGCGCTTATGTTGAAAACGGATTGAATCATTTTTAAGCATTAATATTAACCAATTCATCACAGCATTGGTTTTGATTTCATTATTCCAAACATGCATTAACTAACTGCATATTGTTCCAGCACTTTTTCAAGACTGTATCCATTAATATTGAATAAATTAACTACAAGTAGTACAAAGAAACACCTAATATATTGATCAACTTATTAGACATATTTCTTAAAGTATTTGATTTTTAATATATCTATAGTAACCTTTCCACAAGCAATAACAGCAAAATGTACAGCTTCACAGAAACAAGAAATGGAACATTTACATACAACAGGCTTTCATACATTATTGAACATTGAAGAGTGATTTTTCATTACACAGAGGATCCACCTCAAAGAAATGCAAATTAAAAGGCTGTTTGCACTTGACTCTTCTGCAACACCGACTGTAACTGTTGGGGTTTTAAATGTGTTTTTTTTTTTTTTATTATTATTTTTTGCACGATAAAGATCAAAACAGTCGCCCATCTGGGCTTCAGAGCTGAGAGGGTTTGTCAAGGTTTTTAACTCGTACACAGAGGGTGTAGTGCTGGAACAGTAGATAGGTAGAGTCAGCACGTTGGAGGCTAACACAGCCCGCCCTCATAATCATCATCCTCATCGGCGGCAGCTGGCGCCCCACTAGCACCACCCTGTGGAGCAGCTGCAGCCTTCTTCTTCTTTCCTCCTCCTCCGGGTACCCTCAGGGAAATGGCCAGCTTGGCGTACTGTGAGGCAGCAGAGAATAAAAAGTGTCATCAGGGGCTGGTTTCACAAAGATAGACTTGAATATAACAAATAGTCAGACTTCAGATATACTGAATTTATTCATCCTCTACAAAGCAGTTTAGCTCTTGACTATCTTAAGTCCTTACAATGGTAAAATGAATTCTGGGTAAATTAACACTTTTTTTTTGAAAATAAAAAAGTGGTCAACAAGGGAACCACATCCAACTGCTCAGCTCAGTTAACCTTAGCAGAAAATGTTTTGTCTTTTGGAAGAATTCAGCAGTTACAAGGATGTTGTACTTTGGAAATTCAACAAAGAAAGAAATGATAAAAATAAAATCTGATTTGGTCTCTAAACTCTTTTCTCAGCACTCTCTCCATAACAATGTCAACAAACGGCAAATTATGAACCATGTTTTCCTGTTTGTTGTTGTTGGGTGCTACTGCTCAGCACAGGTGTCATTGATTGTTACCATGGTAACATAGGTCTTAGGCCTAAGTTAGTCTGGGGATAAGGTGTCTGTTTTTGGCTTAAAATGAGTCGGTCCTTATTTTTGTGAAACAGTCTCACTAACATTAGACTGATCCATGATCTCAGACATAAAAAAGGCCCTGAAACCTTCTTTTCTCAGTCAGCTTCTTACTGTGAATAACAGGGTCCTTCATGAAGACCACATTTTCAGAAGCAGTTCAAACATTTTGGTTATTTCATGAGATTTTCTTGAATTCCTGTTTTTGTCATTAGACTGAACTGGGGTGGGGGTGGGTGGGGGGGTGTCTCCAGTCACGTTTCGAAACTTTAAACCTGTAAGGTTGTTTGCTTATGCTAAATCTGATCAAACCAGACCCTCACAGCCCTTATGAGGCAGATTGAGTGTTAAAGTCTGTGCATGCAACTGGATTTATTTGTCATGGGGAGGTGGGGTGATTTTAAAATTACCTGCATTTGTCAGTGATTTATTTATTATTTTTAAATCCTGTCTGGAGCATGAATAGTTGTATGAAGTAAGCTGTGCAAATTACATACTTGATGTTTTTTTTAAGTGAAAAGAATATACATACAACCACTGCAGAAATCATATTAGAAAATGAACCTTTCTCCAAATGTTACTTCACTGTTACTTTGCATTTAAAAAGAAAATGTAACAGTAATTGTGACATGCAAATGACTTGACTTAAACATAATTGAAAATCTGTGGGTAGATCTTCAACATGCTGTGCCTGCAAGACAGGTAACATATCTGAGGTGGAAGTGATCTGCAGTTAGTGAGGGATAATTCTTAAATCAAGAACAGAAAGACTCACTTAGCTGACACAAAAAGTGCTTGCAAGCTGTGATATCTGCCAAAGGGGGCTTGCTAAGTCCTGACTTAGTAGAGCGCCCAAACCTTTGTACAAGCCACAGTTATTGTTTAAGTTCATGAACTTAAAGGTAACAGTGCTTTAAAATCTGAAGATTTGCTGCAGGGTTTGAATTTGTTTCTTTTCACTTCAAAAATCAACAAAGATGCCAAAACTCTAAACTAATCACCATCCCATCCCAATGACGATTACAGCAGCAATTACCTACAGCTTTTCTGTGAACTAACTGGTCCTCCTGTAATTTAAAACCCTGACCGGAGTGAAGAACTGTCACATCAGTGTGACATTTGATTTTTGTGTGAAAATGGAGGAGGTCAACAATGTTATGCTAATCTGATAAACAGAAACATGCTAACAACAACAACAACAGCAACAACACATTTGCCTCATTGGAAACCAGTAATTCAACTGAAAATAAATAAAGCTATCAGGAGAGCAAGATGCCATTAAAGCTCAGCAAACATGCTGTTCTAAGGTCAGCTACAGGTAGGGACTGCTATTCCCGTTTGGCTTTGTCCTGCTGAATGCCCTTGTCTACTGACCACATCCCTTTCTCCCTGTAAAGCTCATTCTGTCTGAATGTGTGGGAGTTTTCCTCAAACCTTAAATACAATTTTTAATGTATTCTAAATAAGTTTGGATATAATATAACTTTGTCATTTTATCCTATTAGATATTTGCATCATTACATCGTGTCATTATCAGCGTATGAATTCTTGAGTTATGGCCAAAAACGTGTTTTATGAGGTCAAAGTGACCTTGACCTTTGACCACCAAAATCTAATCAGTTCATCTTTGAATCCAAATTAACATTTGTACCCAATCTGAAGAAATTCCCTGAAGGACTTTCCTGAGATATCGTGCTCATGAGAATGAGACGGACAATCAGAAAACTGCCTCCAGCCACGGCTGTTGCTGGCGTGGAGACATGAAAAGCCACTGTTTGTTTAAAGAACTTCCATTCAGCAGACCATAAATATAACTACTCAGTAGTGTCATAGCAGTTTTTATATATTCTACATTGATGTGCTAGGAAATCATCTAACATATAAAACTTAAGTGCATTATCACAGCCTTGCAGGTGTATGCCTCCGCCACCAAGTCAAGCTGCAGGAAATATGGTCAGTCTCTCCTTCCTGAGTTACAGCTTTGAATAATGACCAGAAGTGTTTTTGCAAAACATTATGATGTCACAGTGAAGTTGAATTTGACCAACTGGATATAAAATGCCATCACTTCATCATTTTATCCTATTAGACCTTTGTGTTAAATTGTGTCATAATTAGTGTATGAATTTATGAGTTATGGCCAACCCATGGTATAATGTCTCTGGCCGTGTGTGTCGCCAGGGCAGAGACATAAAAACATAAACTTATTTGTCAGCAGTACTCACATCATTGTCCATGTACTTCAGTAAAGGTGAGTTGCACACGCGGTAGACCTGGTCCTCGTCCTGCTCGTCGTAGCCCTGCAGTAGCGTCTCCATGGCAATGCAATCTTCGCTTCCACTGTAGCCAGGCAGACTGGTGGAGATCAAGCAGCACTTCATGTAATGATTCTCAGTGTCAGTGGCAGCAGTGTTACACCATGAACAGGTGTATGTCATCACTAAACAAAGTCAGTCAAGAGAGCCAAGCCCGAACAAATTTTAATTTCCTCTCTGATGTTTTTTTTTTTTTCAGATGAAATTTGGACGGGGAAGCAGATGATTTTCCTGTGACCCTTGCTCAAGGCAACATCGGCTCCACGCAGTGGCAGTAGGCTCTGGATTACAGATGGTAACGAAACATTTGAATTCTCATACCTGTAACTTTCTCTGACACATTTATCAGCTGCTACGTAGTCCCCTCTGTGAAGATGAATCAGCACTTGGGCAGTTGTTTTCTAAAAAAAAAAAAAAAAAGAACACACCAATTTGATATAAGTTCCTTAAAATATATGTTCTTTTGTCTTGTCTCCATCCGTAGAAGATCAGAGGTCAGGGCCCTTTAACATCTGGTCAGGACTGTGTCTTGCTCAATGACACATCAAACAAAAGGATTTGGATCCAAGCTGATCAGGCTCACTGTTTAATACTCCAGCCTGCTGCTCTCTGACATTTTCTTCATTTTTCTATTAACAAATTCCCTAAAAGGACCAAAAACAACGATTTACACATCATCCTACCAACAAGTATTTGCTGTGTGGCCACTCAGTTTCATTTGATGACTGTGCAATTTATTTTATAGCAACCTCGCAAAAGCATTTTTTTTAGTCTGTGCTGCTGCGGCACACTGACAAGCCAAGAGACATAAACACCTGACTCTGTTCAACCTGTACAGTATAACCTGCGGAGAAACCATAACATTGGAAATGCTACAGTACCACATTACGTTTTGATTCACGTGCATGGAGAATTTAATGACATAGAAACTACGAGGTGAACCACCTTGAAGCACATGGGGAAGTTCTCGATCTCTTTGTACATGTTCTTCTCTTTCTGCAGAGCCACCGCTGCTTCGTCCAACCTGGTTAGAAAGATGAGAGCGGAGTGAGGACTGAGAGGAGCAGGTACTGCAGTTCAACATGATTATATAGAAACCAAATATCCGAAACTTAATGCATGAATTTAATAGTATTGAAAATGGATAGGAGAGACACAAGTGACATCTCAGTGCTATTTTAATATTACACCATTATAAACATCTCTGAACACTGTCAAAACTAAACTAGTTTTTTATTTTTTTATTTTTAATGCCAATCAAACACAATCTCTTTACCAGTTTTTTTTTAATTACTGAATAGAATAAAAGACATTGAAATTAACAAGCTCATCACCCCTAATACCTTTTTCTCATGTGACAGAATTTAACAAGATTTCTGAACAAAGGTTCTGGGTTTTTCCAGCTTTCTACATCAGCCTTCAACAAATGACAGCTATAACTGATACTGTGTTTGATCAAAAACCACCTCCTGCGGTTTGGCAGCGCAGGTGACTAATGTCAACCCCTCCTTCATTTCCTTTACCTTTTTAACCTGACCAGAAGTCTGGAGGCTTTGCCCAGCAGTTCAACAGCCTGACGCAGACGGTCCTCATTCTACAGACAGAAAACAAGGATGTATTAACTCAAGGAAATAAAAGCAACAACATCAGTGCAATGATTCAGTTATTGTCAGCAGCTCATTGTTACCTCAAACACACCAGCTGCCTTTTGATACAGGTCCACAGCTTTCTCCAGGTTTATAGGCTCAATCAGTCTGAGGAGAAATATGTGTTTCAGTTAGAGGGAGAGTCTCGTTCATGCGTGAAAAGAATTTCAAAACTTATTCTCAAAACTGACAATGTGAATTCAATCCATACAATATAATATACAGTGAAAGAATGTCTCATCATAGTTATAAATCTATCAAACATGTTGGCTGCTTGTTATGCTAACAGCTGAGGGATTTAGGCTTGATCTAATGCCTCAAGTGCGAAGTATAAAGTATTGTTTTTTACTTTCCAGCCCTGTCCAGAGCCATGGCAGCAGTGTCAGGGGTCCCGTTCTCCATGTACATCATACAGGCTTTCTCTATGTACTGGATGGCCTCTGGCATCTTCTTTTGTTCCTGTTACAGTGCAAACACAGCAAAGTTACAATTCTGCTCCATCTACCTGATGTTAATGACCTCAGTGTTAACGCTATGGCTGCACTCACCTTCATCATCATACCTGCCTGTTCAATAGCCCTGAGGAAGGAGAAGAGGAGTGAGAATAAAACAAGTGCTTTTTATGTTTTAGTGTAATATCGGGTAGGGCTGTCATCTCGTCATATCAATGATATAGCGCGCACAACAAGAACAGATGCCCAAATACGTCTGAGAGCGAGAGCAGCGTGTCAGCCTCTCATGACGATTTAGGACCTAAAAAGCGAGCTACTTCAATAGTATGGAAGTGGTTTGGCTACAAGAGGTCAGACCTCCAACAAAGACAAAAACAATACTACCGTGAAAGGTGGAAACACAACAAACTTGTTTCACCACTTGAAGCAAAAACACACCATCGACTTCAACCAGGCTATGAAGGCAGGCGAGGAGGAGATACTAGCAGCTGGTGATGTGCAGCCCAACAGTAAACAACTGACTCAACCGAGCATCGCTGCAGCACTCGCTAGTTGCACTCCATATGATCAAACGGTGGATGGAAATTACTGATGCGGTTACATATTGTTTGGCCAAGGATATGATGCCAATCCAAACGGTGGAAAAGGAGGGGTTAAAGCAACTGTTTAAAAAGCTCGACCCAAGATACAACATCCCAGGTAGAAAGACATCCTCGCCTGCGATGTATGAAGCATGCTGCGACAAACTAGCAGCTACACTATTGTCGGTGGAGATTTTGGGTTAAACTACGGGCATGTGGATTGCTGCTGTTTGTTAACATTTGTACTTAAAATTTGAGGTCAATTTTATCAGCTGACAAAATTGTGCAGGCTCCTGAAGAGTTACAAGGTTAAGTTACTTTAGTTATTGTTATTGTTGAACTAAAGTGTTAAGCAGTTATGTTATACTTAAGATTTCCAGAGAAAACACTACCTAGGCTACTCTTGTGCTTACATTTGACTCATGCTGAGTAACTGTGTATAATGCTGTGTCACTACTATTGCACTATAATGCTGCTGCTGTTGCCACCTTGTGGCAATAGATTCACACTTCGATTAGGTAGTCTGTCATCAATGACAGTAGCTCATTGGTAAAGGATGGAAAATGCACTAATAAATATAGTGCATTATCAGTGCATATATAATATTGTTTGCACTAATAAATGCTGCTGCCTACAAGATGCAATCACTGATAAAACGTTGTTCAGTATTTATTTATTTTTCTATATCGTCATAATATCATTATTGCTAATTTCCTTGAAATATCGTGATATAATTTTGAGGCCATATCGCCCACCCCTAATATCAGGGTTATAAAACAGGGATACTTACTTTGCAGCATGAAAAAGCCTGGAGGGAAAGTTAAGGAAATTAGAACAGATTCAAACAGCAGTAACATTTCGTTATAGGACTGTGGAGAGAGTACAGAGAGGATACGTCTTGTTTTCTGTGTGATATTCAGCTTCCTTCAGGTAAGCATCCTTTGCCTGGTCATACTGCTTGGCATTCTTGAAGCACACAGCTAAAATCAGGACACACTCAGTTAGCAATGAGTAATCTGTGGGTTATCTATTAAAGGGTTAGATTCTAGAAAGAATAATATTAATTTATGTTACCTGCTTTGGCGTATTCTGATGCAGCACTGTCATAATCAGGCTTCCACTTTGTCAGACTTGTCTTTAAGCTACAAAAACATATAATGATGTGCAAATTATAAACGACTTAAACAGACAGAATCAGTTGCATTATATGATTACTGTCAATTACAGAAGAAGACAAAATAGAGGCTAATGTGGTATCTATGTCGCATAACCTTTCTGGTGTAAATGCCTCAGTGGCCTTACAGCTAGCTAACATCAGTGGTGAAACAAACTGGTTTTCTGAGCAAGAAATAAACAGGATTTTCGTCGTTACTCACCATTTTTCCGCTTTAGCTATGTGCTCATGAGCTTCGTTTATCTTCTGAGCGGCCATGCTGTTACTGAAGTCGACGGGATATAATAAATTTGTTGTCGACAAACGCTGTGGATATTGTTGCCTCCGTGTTTGGATTAATATGAACTCCTCCTCAGCCGCAACGTCATGCGATGTCGCAGGCTACGGGCGCCGCAGTGGACAAAAAGTATATACAACGCATATAAACCGACCATGGTGGAACCAGATTGTCAAAATGCAGATCAGTTCAAAACAGGGGCAACAAGAGGGGACTGTATTACCCCAATGAGAAAAAGGGGCTTTTAATCAGTCTACCTTCTCTGTCATAAGATGCACAAGAGTGGAGCACGCATGAGAGAAGTGGACACACACAATTTAGTTAGAGCTCATTTAAACAAATTTATTATTTACACTAAAAAACAATCTGTGCTTTGCTGTCTGCTGTCATCTGTCCCTATCTTCCATCAGTCAATCTGTCTCAGAAATGCCATTCATAGTTTTTTACACAGTGACAGTGACAGTGACAGTTCAAGTTTCATGAAAGTTTCTGGACCTTTCCAGATTTTTACATGATTGTGTATGTGGCAGAATGTTCACTGCTAGAGAGGGTCACAGAGTATTTATTTATGTTATCTCTGAATGGAAATTTACCATAAAAGTTGTATAAGTGCAAGTTGTCGTTCCCTTTATGCTACTCACCTAAGCAAAAATTATACACAGTAAATGAGTGAATAAATAAGATGTCATGAAAATAATATTATTTTTCATGTTGGAGTCTCATCTTGCTATACACCACTGTGTCAAATGACAGATAAATGAACTTTGTAACATTTCACTTATATTGTGCATTATGACATATTTCTTACTATTACCACCCATAAGAGATGAGTTGGCTTTTCCAGTGACTGTACAGGACTAATGAAGATAACTGCCAAACTAATTATAGCCTACATGTAGAAAATACCAATTATGCTGTAAACCTTGAATCCATTGGTTCGCCGGTCCAGTTAGAGAGACTGAGAGGAAATGACACCAAAATGAAATTATAGCATAAACCTCATATAAGATTCCGGGTACCTCTCTTTAAGATATTAAATATAGGACTTTCATTTGTAATGAAATATATTTTCATTGTTATATTTGTGCGTTTGCTTAAATGAAGCATCTAAATACGTCTTCCATCACTTTTGGGAATATGTAGAACCAAAACGCAATATCCATTGATATGATAATGGTATTCAAGAATAGATTAACATCCTCTGACAATTTTGGTTTTGCTGAACTCCACGGGCTTAACTAAATGTAGTGAAATAGTTGTAATATGTAGATGTACTATAGTACATGTCACGCGGTTACTTTCCAACACAGTTTAAAAATAAGTCAGAAATCTGCAAAACTAATGAGGAGTGTAAATTGTGAAGATTGAAAAAACTTGAGCCCACTTCCAGAAGTGATGAGCAGTGATTTTAGAACAGTTGTCGTTATCCTTGCTAATTCTTCACAGCTTTTCTGGTAAAAATCAATCAATAAATAATAATACAAGAGATACAAACAAGCAAACAAATAAATAAATACTACAGACCAAAAATAAAAATGATATGATAAGAGTTTGCAGCGGAAACGGAAATGTTTTATAGCGTGGTTAATGACGTCATGGTGGATCTGGTGTGTGTCTAATGGCTGAACAACAACAACTGTCGGCGAGCGACAAACTTTCACAAACTTCTACGGAGACGAAAGAAAGTCGGATATAGCACACTGGTTCGATTCTATAATAGTTTAGGCGTGTTTGTCTGTTTTTCTTGTTGTCACAAATGTGGAATTACTGATGGATCCGAGATATGATATACCGCGGAGGGCCGCCGGTGGTGGCGGGGGCTCCGCGAACTCGTCTCCCGCTCTGGGGGCTCAGTCGCGCCGCAGGAAGATGCCTCCCAGACCCGCTGATTTTAAACTTCAAATTATCATTATTGGCTCCCGTGGTGTTGGTAAAACCAGTCTCATGGAGAGATATACGGACGACACTTTCTGCGAAGCTTGCAAGTCGACAGTAGGTGAGGACAGGAGGCGTTTAAGGGACTTGTTTTTGTCAACTTTGTATTGACATACAGCAGGGCTCCGTCTACTTACTGGACTGAAGATACCTAAACTACCATGGGGTGGACGTTGCTGACATATTGCCTTCTACTCTACTGTGTAATGGGACTGAACAAAGGTTACAATACCAGCTGTAGCCGGCCAATTTAAGCTAACTGCAACACAACACTGTTCAAGCTAACAAAACTGCCTTAGCGACTTGACTGTGTTTCTATGAAGTGTTTTTCCCAACACTTTTGTTTTTCCTTCCACACGTTTGAGGCTTGAAATGATGCTTGGGTTGTTGTATATTTTAGGCTGTTAGAAGAAGAATTTTACACAGTAATTTTTTATTTTTATTGCAAAGTTGGAGAAGAACAGCTGTACAAACATAGAAGTAAACAAGACGTTCATCATAGTAAAGTTTGACTATCCCAGCCTCAAATTTTATGATACAATTATAGTTTGAATAAAGATTAACAGACAAAATAAACAAAAATAAAGAGGGACATGCAATAAAAAGAGTAAAACTGAATAAGTAAAGTAAAGACGGAGGCATATACTATATATACGAGGTGCAAATCAAAAAGTATTGAGTCAAATAGTTTTATAGATTTCTTATTTTTAAGCAATTTAACAAAGGTGAGTGAAGGGTCTATTTCTGCTCAGAGGTGAAGAATATTCAGTACAAAATCTAGTAGTACTCTTTGCTTGTGTAGGTACCAAGTGTTTAATGTGTTGTATCTAAATAACAGAAAAACAGAGTTTTTATGTTGCACATTGTATACTGTACACAGAGGCTTCTAGAGCTGTCACTGTCTGTAAATTTAGCTTGACGAGTTAAAGGCTTAGATCTTGTGTGAGAGTTTAAAGTGGGTTTCCCTTACTTTGCACACAACACAGTAAGGAGGAGACTTGGCACCCTGCTACTTTCATAGCATGGATCTGCAGCTGTTCAGTAATAGTGTAACTTAATTTACAACTGGTGACCCTGTTTGTGTAATTAGATGAGGATGTAGTTGTGCCCCATCGAATGCCATTTCTGAACAGCCATTTTTCATATGTCTACTTAAAAAATTGATTCATACTGCATTCTTTTACATTACAAAAACACAACCACTCTAACTTGTTGTATCTTAACTCTTAACTCTAACCGTAACCCTTTGAAAACAAGAGCGACTTGTGAAAACTTGTTGTGCCAGAGTTATAGATGCTGCCAACTTAAAATACGTGAGGTCTGTTTATATGTCGAATTGGGTAAACAGTCCTGTGACCAATACAGCAGCCAGCCATAGTGTCCAGTCCCAAAATAGTTGTGCACACAGGCAGCTGCCATTGCAAAGCTCCATTTTGTGTCCTGTCATCTCTGTGACACAGCTCGCAGGTTGTGTGAGCTGTGTGTCGCTAACATTGTGCTTTTTTGATCACAGATAACACAGATGGAATAGTTTGACTAGTAATAGTCACTCAAGCCTGTCTGAAAATGTTGTCTTGTAATTTCTTTGTTTTAATAGATCTGAGATAGTTGCTATCATCGTGCACAGTTTTTAAAAGTATGACACAAGTATGAGTAACTTCCTCAGTCATTGTTTAGGAGCTATGAAACCAAGGAAACCTACCATTCTCAAATAGAAATATAATTGATCCAGATTCAAGACAGAATTATAATTTGCCTTTAAAGCAAAGAAGGGAAGTCAGTTTTCTTCATGCACCAACCTAGTAATTGAAATTATACTGACATAAAGGCAAAACAACACAGGAAATGCTGGTAAATGTAGATGTTCTCATGTGTGTTTTTGATTGCCCTCATAGGAGTTGACTTCAAAATCAAGACCGTTGAGCTGAGAGGGAAAAAGATCAGACTACAGATATGGTGAGTAATTGTACACAAGATTCCAGTTCCTTTACTCCTCTACATAGCACATTTCCTCTGTCTGTCCTATCATGGAGTGTTTCCTCTGTCCTATCATGCTGCAAACCGCTCTAACAAACAGATACTGGTGGCTTAGTGGGTGCATCTCAGCTTTGTATAGTAGGTGAGGCATGTGCAAAAGTAAATACCTTAAATCTTTTAATCATGATAAAATAAAGTAAAGTAATAGCATGTGTATGTTTTGCAAAACTTGCAAAACATTAATTTTTTTAAATGAACGATTAACAGTGAAGGGGTTTATCCAAAGAGCATGTTTCTCCAGTGGGAATCTAACTTTTAAGTTCTACCTATGGAGCAACAATACTCACCCATGTTGTTGTCTAAACAACAACCATTGTAGTCTTGGTAACAACAGGCGATGGTTTATTTGTTACATGTAGTATCACAAGTTATTTTTGTAATGACTTACAACAAGTGCACACCTATATGTGAAAACACAACATATACTCAGTTTCCAATTTATTAACTGCACCGTAGCTGCTAAAACTAATGCAGTCCTGCAATAAACCCTCCTTCATGAAGGTCATAATGTTCAGTTTTTTTTAATGGGGGTAAGCTAAATAACAGAAACATCCTTCTGTATAACACAAGACAGTTCAACAGCACCACAAACTACATCCTCCAAAATGTTCATATAGCTGAATCAACAGCACTTTCAACAAAAACTGAACATTATAAACTTCACGAAGGGAATATTTATTATAGGACTGCTGTATTAGACTGCGTTAGTTTTAGCTTGGTGCACCTAATAAACTAGCAACTAAGTGTATTTTTAAAAGTAAAAAACAAGGTTCAAGGGCAAAACTCTCTTGACCACAGTCTCTTCAGTGCAAACACAGGCAACAGTTCCTGGAACTTGGTTATGCATTTAAACCCATGAAACCCCTTGCAGGATTGCCAGAGATACCATGTATATGAGAGGAACCACATGGTTGTCTACACCAACGTTTGAATATTTAAGTAGTGCCACTAAAGCCAACCATTTTTTATGACCTTCCATCTGATCTAATCTGACACACCTGGAGAATTGATTGCCATAGTCCAAAATACGGATTAACACCATTCACAGATTTGTTTAAAAGTACTAATAAGTAGTAGCAATTTGATTTTAATTTAATTTGACCATTAATAGATTTTTCTTTAAAGTTTTTGCGCAATCATTTTAAGAACAAAATCCATCTTTTGTGACAGTATCCATATCAATCCGTTAGTGATGGAGGTTTGATACTGGTCACTGGAGACATACAGTGTCATTGTTGCTCGATTATCAGACTGAACTGTCTTTTTGTTTCACTTCATTATTTTAATATATTATTTAAATTGCTGAAAATTGCTCAGAGATGTGTGCAGCAATTCAGAAGTCTTGAGCCAGCCTAGTGTTATTCCTCAAACAGACCACCAGTGATGGGGATGATGTTATTTGATTCTGCCGTGCCTCTGGTTGTGTCTTGTGACTTTAACTGGGTTTTAATCACATTTTGAAAACATCTAAACCATCCAGTGCTCTTGTCCAACGGTTGAAAAACTGATTAACATGCCACAGATTACAGTGAGGAAAGCTTGTATATGCCTTTGTGTGACAATGAGTGTTGGGCTAAAATATGGGAATGCCATTGCTTGTTTCACTAACACATCTGACCTCTTCACTAACACCACATCCACCCTCCCACCCCCACATCACATCTGCCGTTTACCACGTCCCATTTTGTTCCCGCTCCTCTACCCTGTCCTCGACCTGTCCGATCAGGAAGGCCGTCCTCCACTGTGTCTTGTCTCTCATGTTGAACTGCTCGCATCAAGCTCCATTACTGCCGCGCCCGGCCTTACCTAACCCTGCCATTGTGCTGCTGTGTCTCTGTCTGCGCTCCTGCTCATAAGCCTGACTGTGACTCACAGGGGGAAACGGGGAGAGACTAGCTGGCTGAAGGTACAGTAACACTTCGCTGTGAGTGGAGCTCCAACTGCTTGTCATGCTGCTAACCCAGACTCAGATGATCAGCTGAATCATAACAAATCCGAAAAAATATCCACTCAGACATTAAAAAAATATCTTTGTACCTTTACATTTATTAAATGAAGAGTTAATTTAAAAAAAGAATCATATCTTCAGTTTGACTTGATTTAATTTCAGGTGCCTGTGATTCCTATTGATCAACCTGTAATTGAAGCTATTACTTATCATTTTAACTAGTGAATGGTTTATAACTCACGCTGGTGTAGCTGTAACTGACATTTTCAGGTGTTTATTAATGCAGGATTTTCAACAACTATACAGTTACTTCTACTATGAAAACTCATTCTGTGTAATCACAGCCGTGTTTAGCCTCGACTTATGGATGCCTACAGGAGGCATTGTAGTTACCGACAAATACCTCAATAAACACTTATGTCTGCTTACAGCTACATTGTGGTGTGTTAAAAGCGATTCACCAAGTGTTAAAGTAAAATGTTACAGAGTTGACAATCATTTCATAACTGCATGTTTCTTCAGATTATGTCATTGTGGAACAAAAGTCTTCAGATTTCTGTTTTTTTTTTGTTTTTTTTTTTAAAGCTAGATACAAGATGATGATAACGTTGGTGCTCATAAAGAAAGATTCAGTGTTCATAAATGAATAGTGTCTAAAGAAATTAGAATCTCATCTATATTGATTAGTAAAACTACATTGATAATACGTTGCTTGAAGCTGATTCTTCTTTTCCTATTTGTTGTTTGATCTTGAGAAAGTGTTCAAGTTCACTAATACATGGTAAAAAAATAAATAATTTTTTTAAATACAAGCCTTAGTCATATTGATCTTTGTATGAAAAACCCCATAAATCAGTCAATCAGTATTTTGGTATTTCAAAATTGTTGGAGGCACTGCACTGCTGTGACTGAGTTGAATAGTGGATGTTATTTTAATTATATTGGGTTTAATTTCTTTCATCCAGGGACACTGCTGGTCAGGAGAGGTTCAACAGCATCACCTCAGCCTACTACAGAGGTGCCAAGGGAATAGTGCTAGTGTATGATATCACCAAGCAGGAGACCTTTGACGACCTTCCTAAATGGATGAAAATGATAGACAAGGTAAACAAACACTGTGGGCAGTTAGATTTTTCTGAAACGTCTCATTAAATGATATATGGCTTTCCTTTGTTGTCCTTCGGTGTGTTCCTGTGCTATTATTATCTGTCAAATATGTCAGACGGCACCTGTTTCTCTTGTACAATGACAAAACAATTCCCTGGGTTCTGCCATGCATCTAGCACTAATGTTTACATAAACATTCAATCCACCAACAGTAGCAACCCAGCCAGCATCCCCTGATGTTCACGCTTCAGTTCTACCTTTGTCTTTAAGTCTCTCTGCAGAGACATGTTTCCATTATAGCCTGACTGATGCTGGATTTCTGATACTGAGTTTGCTGTTTGAGAGTTTTAAAACTCAACTGATATTAAATTTCTTTACACGATATCAATAAACCTAAATTTGTTTGTTTAACACTTGTGACCAAGGCGTGAGAACTGAGCTCCTGCAACATTTAACTGTTGAATAATAAACTTCTGGGGAACAAATGATAGAGAGGTGACACTATTTCAAAATCTTCATCATCATCTTTGACATTTCTGTCCTTCAGTTTCTTGTCATTTATCAGCTGACATATACTTCAACAGCAATGTATCTGAAGTGAGACAATATGGATTTATTGGTTGGCCTCTAGTTTGGCAGAGCCTGTTAGTCTTGTTGCTTGACTTTATTTATTTTAAAGGGAGTGGCTCATGTGATGACTCTTGACTCTGTAACACTCATTTTATGATAACAATAATCTCATAATAATAACCTCAGCCTCATGCAGACATGGATCAACCTGAAAAAATGTATGTCCTCATGGTCCTTTCATAGTCACAGCCCTTGTACCGTAGAGGTAAATTTACCAGAATTGAACTTTTAAGTTCCCAAAAAATGAGTTGTTCACGGTGTCAGTACAGTGCACAGATTTTGTTGCAGTGATCTGGTGTGACTTTTATGAAACGGGAGGGTGATGATTTCCTGATGTGTCTCCTCTCTGCTCTCTGTTTTGTGCCAGTACGCCTCAGAGGAAGCAGAGCTTCTCCTGGTCGGGAACAAGCTGGACTGTGAGACCGATCGTATCATCTCCAGACAGCAAGGAGAGAGGGTGGGTTCAACACACAGCTGCACCCTTTCACTATATCACAGAGCCACATCTTTGTTTTCTATATTATTTGAACAGATTGAAGTACAGTGCTGTGTGACTTGAGATTTAGCTCAGGTGCCTCCCATTTCAGTTTTAGGAGCACACAAAGCGCAATCTATTGGCGTGATCAAATTAGATAAAACATAGTTTTTAGTATTAACAAGCCGGACTGTGAGACTTAAATTCCTTACTAATTATATTTCTGCTCCTATGAAACGAAGCAGCTGTGCTCAGTTCGGCTCTGTGCTAATTTCACACTTTCCTGTGTTACAGTTTGCCTCTCGAATAAGTGGAATGCGCTTCTGCGAAGCCAGTGCCAAGGACAACTTTAATGTGGATGAGATCTTCCTGAAGCTTGTGGATGACATTCTTAGCAAGGTTGGTGTGTAATCATTTCCAGTGTTTTTTTCTGTAAAAATCAACATTGAAGCTGCATTGAATTTGATGTTTTGACTAAAATTAGTCACTTGTGGTTATTCCAGTTGCACCTGGTACAATAGTCTGCTCTGCCTTGCCTTGCTCAGTAGTGTAATTAAATTTCATACAATCTGTCTAAATGAAAAATAGATTAAATACTGTCTTAACTCAGCCAAATACAACACCTTAAAAAAAGCACAAAGCCCTTTTTTTTTTTTTTAAATAAATAAACTAAGAGTTAATATATGGTCACACAGATTGACAGGTAACTCCTTCATTACACAGCTGCATGGACGCACAACTCAACTTGTTGGAAAAATAGAATATTTCCAGGCAGAGATGATTACTGTGTTCACTTTGTTTCACTCAGTTTTTAATACACGGACTAGGACACGAGCACAACACAACTCTTTCATAATTATCCTTACTGATGGGACTGCATTATTTTAAATGATATGATTTCAAAAGTTGTTGTTCTGTCTTTCTCTTCTTTCTTTTTATGATATTCATGTTTTGATGTCATTGTGATAGTTATTTCATTATGTTTTGCAATATTACAGTTTCTGGTGTATTGTCTATAAGGAGTAGCAGGTGTAAGCAATCTGTTTTTACTGTTTCTGCCTTGATGAAGACCCAGTGAGGTTTTAAGCCTGTCTAAGTAAAGGCCTCCTGTTCTGCCTACAGTAGCTGGTGAAAGATTTCACCTTTGTTATTTACAAAATGAGACTTACTCAACACCCAATAAGTTGCCCGCTGTTTAAAAATTGAGCATATTAACCCTGAGTATTCAGATGTTTTTTTCTTTCTTATTGATACAACAGATGCCTCTGGAAGTTCCCAACAAGGAGCTTTCCAACAGTGTCCTGTCTCTGCAGCCTGAACCGGAAGTGCCTCCGGAGTTGCCTCCACCTCGCATGCGCTGTTGCTGAGAGTCAGAGTGGTCTCTCACTCACACACACACACACACACACACACACACACACACACACACTCACTCTCAGCGCTCACAGCTCACACATGCAGAGCATCAATCTGGCCACTAGGGGGCATGACACAGCAGCAGTTTGGAAATATTGACTACTGCTGTTCAAATGCATGGACTCTCTTTAACAACCAATATTATCTTCCCCTGTTTCTTCTCCTGTTTTGTAACTGTACACTCTGACATGTGCCACACTAACACTTAGCGCCTGGCGAAATCACCCACTTCCTACCACCTTTCTGTCGACACTTGACCCAGACTACCTCATTCCTCGGACCGTTAGGCTTGCCGTGCCCCACAGGTGCCTTCAAGGTAGAGAGCCCTCTGGTAGCAGTTGCACATTTTCTATGGAGGGGGATTATTGAGGGCCTTACAGCTTGTTCTCTTCCTGTTTTCTTTTGTCATCACACATACTGTAGACTATGTTTAACATTGTCTGAGTTGCCCTGATGTTTCCGTTATCTGCATTTTCTAGCTCACAGAAAAGGGATAACGATATCTCATGTCTTTTCAGCTTAGGTTAAATTCTGGGTCTGGTACAGTAGTTTTATATTGTTATTAATAGGTTTTATTACCAAGTGAGGAGTTGACTTGAGGTAAACAAAAGCACATGATGTAAATATGGTGTGTTGCTGTAATGACTGGACAAGGTGCAGATTTTTGTGGCCAGCAGAAGGTGGTTTTGTGGTGGTGATCATATCAGTTTGTATTCCTTTGCCTTAAAGTATTAAAGTGGCTGGAACGGCTCTTTTCACATTTGTATAAATCGTAATGTTTTGCACTACAATCCATCTTAACTAGTTAAGCTGACATGCAGTAGAAGAAAGTACACAAGTTGTAGTATAGCACTAATAAAGATCAGCATTGCCGCAGTAGTGGCCGCTCGGAACCACTCTTCCACATCCTGTTAAAGTGGGCTGGAGATGCAAGGAGAGATGGGTAATGTAGTCTTTGAGGGATTGGTGTTTTTCACAGGGACATTTTCCATGTGTGTTACTGGCTTTTCAGAGGGAAATAGAGACAGTAAGAAGCTACACAGACACATGGTTTTCGCCTTCATTTTAATATTTCTAAGTGTTTTTGTTTTGACCTTTTTCCTTTGAATTCAGATACAGTTTAGAGAGGAGTCTCCCTTTGCAGGGTGAGAAATGCAGGAAGGGTTGTGTTGTATTTGAATGACTCAGGAAACTTCGGCTCATTTTCTCTGGCTTTTTATTGCAGACTTGCTTCGAGTTTCACATCAAATTAATAAAGAAACATCTTCATAAAAATCCCGCTTGTGTTTTATAGAGGAGGTTAGCAGCTTTGAATTTATGATTTGGCAGTTTGTTATGGACCAGTGTGGAGATTATGCACATTTGAAAAATACTAGGCTATGCATGTTAAGCCCTCCTTCGTCGTTCATAGACATTGGTCATGATTAAATTCTTCCATCTTTGTTGTGGGATTAATGCAGTAAGACAAATGTAGCGCTGTGGATGTTTCTGTCTTGTTACATGTTGAAGTAAAAACCTGAGGCTGAGGAAGGACGAGATTTGGAATTAATCAAACCGACTTTCTATAGGTTAATTTTATTTTTTGCTGAGGTTTTATGTTAAGTTCAGGCTTTTGTGGACTTAAAATGGCACATTTTGTATTCTAACAAATGAATAGTTTCATACCAGAAGAAAAATGTTGAAAAAGTGAGACTTTTGGCAACAGAACAGTCACTGACATACAGCACAACGACCTTCACATGCAAATGTCCAATTTAGCAATCCGATCACTCGTGTTTTGAAATGCTGAGCTGTGAACATTTCTTCAGACATTGTTTTTTGGAATGAAACCTTTCCCCCCCCCCCCCCCCCGACTTTTAGCATTTGCCACTAACCCTGTTTTAGTAGCCAAGCCTTATGCTACTCTGTGTTTTAAATATACATTAAAACAAATGCTTTTATTTGAAATGTGTATCCTTTAAGATGGAAGACTGTACTTTGTATTAAACCTGTTTTAAGTCTTGGGAAGTTTTGGCATGTTCAAAGCGGATTTGTGGTATTTATAACTTGTGGCATTCTTGAACTAATGAAATGCAATTAAAGATATCTATATTTATTACCAGATTATCGTCTTGATTTAAACGTGTGACTGTGTTTGTCTTTCCAAAAGCTGGATCTGTGGCTTTCAGAGGACCTTGAGTGGATTTTTCTTACACAAAAATTAATTGAAAGATGCCGTAGAGGTGATGGTTTTACTTCAATATAAAGATTAGAGATTTTGGATTGGGGTCTTGAGGAAAAAAATGATTTGAAGATCTGACTGACATCATATTTTCCATGGGAGTAGGAGGGTATTGGTTCCTCCTGACTGTATTTTTGCACCTCACGTGAGGCTGTTCAATAGTGTGTATACTGTATATGTATATGTGTGTGTGTGTGTGTGTGTGTCATTAGGGCATGCGCACCAAAGCGTGTCAGACCTGGTCCCGCCTGGTCCCAGAGAAAACAAGGGGTGTGCTTGGGTTACTTGTGAGGCAGCAGCGCATGCGCCCCGAAGAAAATCACGGCCGTCGAGCTTCACACCGCAGCGATTGCAGATCTTACATGTCAGATAGGAAGGAGTGGGAAAGGGGGTACGAGACACGGGGGCCCAACACGCACACCCCGGTGAAGGAGAGGGATGGAGACCCGGCGTGCAGAGGAGGAAGAGGGCTGACGCGACTCCGACTGACTCCTCTCTTTCTAACTTGAGCCTTACAAACCCTGTCTGCAGATGCAACCTGTCTGTCAGCCCATCCGTCCCAGTAATCCCTTTTTTGTATTGCAGCGTTTCCTCCAAAGGGGGCTACAGGCAGAGGGGACTACAATGACAACCTGGTGAATGCAGACAGGATGGAGTAAAACATCCAGCACAACGCAGGATGCGCATCCCCAGCCCGACAAGGAAGAAGGTAGAGAAACCTGGCTGTTTTCCTGGTGTCGCATGTCAGAGATTTTCCGCGGTGCTGTGGATTGATCGTTTCCTTCAACGCCCTCCTGCTGCCGGTGTCGGTGTATAATGGAGAGCTCCAATGGCTCTGGCAGCGACACCAAACCGCAGAACCACCAGTTGGAGAAGAAGAGACTGAACCGAGCGCCTTCCCCGGCCAGACCTTTCCTCAAGGATGTGCACTCCCGCTCCACCAAGCCACCTGCCATCGTACCGAAATCCCCCAAACTCAACAAGCAGCAGCAGCAGCAGCAGTCTGCCACAGTGCCCTTAGCCCACCCGAACCGCAGCTCCAGACGCAACACCACCGGGGCGAAGGAGAAACCAGCCACGGTAAAAAGTAACACCAAGTCGACTGTCGCGAAAAAGCCCACTAAGGTGCCCCAGCATGCAGCAGCCGAGCCCAAAGCCGCCAGCACCAGACCGGACAGCACCAGCAGTCCGACTCTCGCCAAAGGCAAGAAAGGGAAACTAGCCTCGGGGTCCCCGGGCCCTCACACCCATGGATCCCCGATTCGGGTACCGACCGGAGCGCCTCTCGGCCGCGTCAGCCAGACCGACAGCAGCTCAGACCTGTCAGACTGCCCGTCCGAGCCGCTGTCGGACGAGCAGAGGCTGGCACCGGCCGTTAGTAGCGACGCAGAGTCCGGTACCGGCTCCAGTGACCGGGATCAGCTGGGAGCGGATAATCCCCTGCGGGCAGAAGCTACCGGAGCTGCTGCTGCTGCTGCTGCTGCTGCTGCTGCTGCTGCTCCGCTGCGCACAACAGAGGCTTCCGCCGCCAAGGGAAGCATGTCTCAGGCTCAGCCCGCTCCGGGGGCGCACGGAGAGAAACACAAGCAGGAGAAACCCTCAACAAGCGCACAATTCAAACTGCCAGGCACCAAGGATGTAAACGAGGAGGACCTGCTGAGGGAAATTGAAGATTTGAGATCTGAAAACGACTACCTCAAGGTAAGGCGGTGTTATCTCAACAAGTAACAAGAGAATCAGTGGTGGCAGTGATGCTTATTTGTTGCATATGCTTCATACAAACACCTAGTTCAATTTTACATTTAAAAAATTTTGTGCTGCATCATTTGACCTCCTAACACAGCAGCAGCTGGTTTTCAAAGAAGACACAGAACTGTCCTGGTTCGGTAAAGTCCCGGGTTCAGTCCCCACCATCACCTTTTTTTTTAAAGTGTCCTTGAGCAACTTCCACCTGCTCAATAATTGAACTCATAATCTTACTGAATAAATTACCACAATCTAAACACAGTTCCCTTTGATGCCAGCTGTCATCCCCATGTAGACTCACTCTCCATCCATCATGTCTTTTTCACCTTCCCGGGTATCCCCATGGGTTTGACCTTTATTGATGGGAGATTTATTGATAGTGGCTTCACCCTGTATGTCCTTTAAATTTAAATTGTCTTCTTAATATTGTTGCTGTCAAGTCACCAAAGCCTGTTTTGACAGAAAGACTCATCATCATTTTGTCCCCTGTGTGTTACATTTGGGACACATTGTCTCCATGTGAACAGATTGAACACAGGGGATACACTTACTCTTATTTAACATGTGATTTTTATGAGGCGGTGTACATAACATTTTGAAGTTAGTGTATCATCTGCACAAGGACATTAACTGGTGAGTTGACATCAACCACACACAAGTATGGGCTGTTTAAGTGGACAAATAATGGATCTACGGTGTGCCAATGTGCCACCATTGTATTTTTGCATGAAGATCCTACTTGAAGATTTCATGCAGGACCCCCCCTCCCACCCTCCCTCTTTCTATAAGTAGGCTATCCCAATAAGTTGGGGAGGGGAGGCAAACAGATAATGCGGCAAACAATCTTGCAGTTTTTTAAGATGGGAGACAGGTTTATTTGCATGTTGCTGTGAGTATTATTTCAAACTTGATCACGCATGTCTGGGTCTCTCTCTTTGGCTTGGTGAAAACACAAGAGAGTTAATCAGCTTTACTGGCTCTCGCTGTAATGGCTTTATCCCACAGGACTTGATAACAGTCAGATGTCCCATGTGTGTGGGGTTCAAACGTCCTCCCGCCTGGCTGTCAGTCTGCCAGCTGGGTCTCTGAGGTGGATTCCGAAAACAACCCCAACCCCCGTGTCCCAAAATGTCTGGGAGTCCCCGTCACTGCTGCCTCTTAGGCTCTATAGAGAAAACACGTTTATCACATTTATTTTTATTTTTATCAGAGTTGACACCTCTCAGTTTAATTCTAGTGTTATTTTATTCTAGTTTAGGTATTTTTGCCTGTTTTGATTGGATTAAGAGAAGATTGAAAGAAAGTTGGGGGTAATGTGTGACAAAGGTCACGAAGGGGATGTAAACCTTTGTTATTGCATCCACATCAAACCAACTGGATGATGCCAAGAAACTGAAATTCGGGGCTTCAACTAACCATTATTTTAGTGACAGGATAATCTGCTGAATACCTTTTAATTAATCAGTTAATTGGACCGTAAAGTTTGGTCAATGAAGTGTCGCAAAATGACACAAATTGCCTAGAGCAATGCTTGTTTTGTTTGAACAACAGCTGCACACCCAAACTGATTCAGTTTACCCTCAAATATGAAATAACAAAAATTGAGACGATGGAACGAGAAAATATTTCGATTTTTTTTCTTGAACAATTCTTATCCAAATTATTGCCACTTGAATCTTCTGTCAGTTGAGTAATAGATTAATAAACTTGTTTCAGTTCTACAGATTTTCAAAAGCCTGCATCTTATTTGATTTTTAATTAATCAAGTGTCAGAAAATTGAATTAAACAATCCCAATTGTTTGATGTCAGCGTCTTTAGTGTGAAGATTTGCTGCTTTCTTTTTTGTTTAATATCATTGTTAACCTAAGATCTTTGTGTTTTAGACTACTGCTCAGACAAAACATTAACTAATATCATTTGATTAAGCAAATTATTGATGTTTGATTGATTGATGGGTGAAAATAATTGCTTGTGGCGGCTCTAATTATTTTCATTATTATAATCTGCTGAATACTTTTTGGTTGATGAAGTAAGACCAGATTCCAAGGTGTCAGTCAACTCATCAACTTATTTTTGGAAACCTACAGTATGTCTACAGTTGAAACAATTACTCAATTGTAAATTAGTTACTTAACAGAAATTGATTAAGATTTTGTCCTTTTTAAAGCAAAAATGCCAAACATTTGCTGACTCCAGCTTTTCAGACGTGGGAATTTGCTACTTCGTCATGTTTAATAGCAAATTGATTATCTTTAAGTTTTTAATTGTCGGTTGAGCAGAACTCACTTTATGGACATGTCCCTTATATAAATAATGGGCAGAGAAAGCTACTGTATGAGGAATGATGATTATTAATTCCCTCTCTGTGTCCTGCCATGATTGCTGCAGCTGGAGCTCGGGAGCAAAAATATTCATTTCTAATTAGTTACAGCGACTGCTCAGTAAAGATAACCACACTTAACACCTTTAAAGAGATGACTAAGTGCTGGGGATGACTCGGTTACACACTGTCCGTAAAGATCAGTGATATTCCCTAAATATACCTGCTCCCAGGATGCTGCTCTGCCTCTGGTTCTGCTTTTAACCTGGCCATCGATTGGGCTGACCCTGTGCGAGGTCATTAGCTCCTTCCTCCAGGGCCCTCCTCAGATAACAATGGGCTCTGTGCTTTTCCAAATGAGGATAGATTTAGTTTTCATTAATTGACACACTCTCACTCTCTCCCTCCTCTTTCAGTATCCAATTGTCTTTTCATCAGGTGCCACACAAGGAATATCCATCCCAGGGGAAATCTGCTGAGCAAACTGATTCCCCAGCACAGTAGGCAAACAAAAAACCCCCGAGGTTATCAACAAACTATTGTAGCATCTCAGTACCACGGATAAATCTGGGTTATTTCATGTCGATAGGAGATGGATGAATATGAATGCATCCAATCCAAGAGATAAGATGCTTAGAGCCAACTAGTGATGTTACATCATCAGCACTAAGAGTACTTGCATTACTGGAACTCATATGTAATCGTATGAAAGCATTAGCATAATCTACAAAGGTATGTTATTTGTATATATTGTACTTTCTAACAGCTTCATACCTGAAAACCCTAAAAGTGAATGTAGATAAACTGTCCTTCTGCTGTTGTTGAATATTCACTACTAAAATCACTACTTGGGAAAACCAAACTTTAATACTTTAATAGCAAGAGAAATAAAAGATATCAGTATATCAAATGTATCAGTCTTTCTGGCAGAGACATCATCGTCTTTTCCCCTATCTGTTTTTTTTCTTCTTTTTTTTCCATCTCTAGTCAAGTTAATTCATTTATGTAGTCCAAAATTACAAATCGCAAATGTGCCTCAAAGGGCTTCACAGTCTGTACAACACATGAAACCCAGTGTCCTCCCAGCCTCGATTTGTGAAAACTAATGACTGGCTTTGGATGATCGTCTGCATGTTTTAACAGGAAAATTTGCTGTGGAGTTTCATGATGCTCAGAGGCCGAACCTCTGATCTGCCCTACGACGTCTCCACTGGCAGCATTTTACCCTTGTACATATGAAATACCGAGATCTAATGTTCAGACTGCTGTGACAATTAATGAGCACATTCTTGGTCCTCAGAGGATGAACCGTCTGCCTCTCTCTCTCGTTTCTCTTTGTGCGTAATCCTTAGGACAAAATGGCAGTTTGAGCATGATAGATCACGCACACAAACATGCAAAATGTAGAGAAGGAGCCAAAATCTCATGATTGACAAGAAAATATTATTTTATATCCCCAATGGCCTCTTTCTTCACCAACTTTTTCAGCACAGTGAGCCATTTGTTTGTCCAACACTTTTATTTCACATTGTAGGGAGCTTTAGACCTTTAGTTTTACGTTTCTATATCAAAACTTCTTCAAATATATAAATATCAGTAGCTTCATGACTGTGGAGCTGCTGAATAATAACTCTCCTGCTCACCAGTTAAAGTATTGTTGCTACTAGAATCGGACAGTTTATCATTTACAGCAACAGCACTTTAACACAGATGTTTCCTTCAGGCTAAACTCAGCATTTCACCTTTAACCTTCATACACAGAAACTCTAAAGTGCTTGCTGCTGTTCACAAAGAGTAACGATAACATTGATTATAGTATTACAATAAAAGCCAGCATGATGATGTTTTACAAGTCTCATCCAACATTTTCTACAGCATGGGGTTTGTATTAGAAGCCAAGTGACATACTGACGCAAGTGTTGGGTATCAGTGTTGTAACTGAAGTAACAGCTGGGCCCCGTTTCCCCTCTCTCTCTCTCTCTCTCTCTCAGGATGAAGTGGACGAGCTGCGAGCGGAGATGGAGGAGATGCGAGACAGCTACCTGGAGGAGGAGGTCTACCAGCTCCAGGAGCTGCGGAGGGAACTGGACCGATCCAACAAGAACTGCCGCATCCTGCAGTACCGCCTGCGAAAGGCCGAGCAGAAGAGCCTGCGGGTCGCACAGACGGGCCACGTGGACGGAGAGCTGCTCCGTAGTCTGGAGCAGGACCTGAAGGTCTGTGTCTTTGCTCTTCTCAGTATCTACCATATGTTTGTTTGTTTGCAATTAAGTAGTGCTAATTAGGTATTTTTAGATTTGACAATTTTCATGCCAGTATTGCCTCAGAATTTTATCATTACTACCTGGTGACACCCTCAAAACAGAACATGCAGTCATCTTGAAACACTTAAGCTCTTCATTGAACCAAGACTAATGACACACAGTTTTAACTCTTTTAAAGAGGTGATCCACAGCACCTTTTCATTGTTTGCTGAGCCATGGGAACCAGAATGACTTAAACGGAATAATTGATTTGTACCACATCCAACTAGAAAATGAAAACAGTAAATAAAAAGCGGAGATGCTTTTTTCATACAGACTGCTGACAAGGGCTGCAACTAACAATTACTATTATCATTAAATCTGTCAATTGTTTTATTTATGATAATATGTAAAATTTTATTGCGCGCTTCTTTAAAACCCAAGTCACAAAGTGTTTCATGCAAGGCAGCCAATCAAAATTATAAACTCATTAAATTTTGTGAGAAAACAGATCAAATTAATTTAAGTAACGTAGGATGCGAGAAATAAAAATTATAAAGAAATAAGAAGTTAAAGAAAATAATGGCTTTATCATCAGTTTCCAGAGCCAAGGTAATGTTTAGAAATAGCTTGTTTTGTCAGATCAATAGTCCAAAACCCAAAGATATTCAGTTTACATTTTTGACTGATCAATTCAGCACTACACTGTGTTGAAATCAGCAGCTTGTGGATGTTTAGATTTTTTAGATTTGTAACAAAGCCTGATATATTGGTCTAATGTGTGTGTTGGTGTGCATCTGTAAGCCCATTTTAAATACACAGATGGTGTATCATGTGTGTTGAGGGCACATCTAAGTAAATATTCATTAACCTGTTTTGTACGATGTAGATCAATGCCACGCGTTTGTTCTCGATCTCAGGTGGCGAAAGACGTGTCGGTGCGTTTGCACAACGAGCTGGAGAGCGTGGAGGACAAACGCAGCAGAGCCGAGGATGAGAACGAGCTGCTCAGACAGAAGATCATCGAGGTGGAGATCTCCAAACAGGCGCTGCACAACGAGCTGGAGAGGACCAAAGAGGTAAGGGGATGATAGGGCTCAGATGCTGGTTATTACAGTGTTGTTTCAGGTCACCGCCGCACGTTTGTTCTCATGCACACTTAGCCATGTTTTTTTATCTCACTGAACGGTGATTGTTTAGTGCACGTTGGAAACGAACCCATTAAAGGAATCCAAGAAATGCACTGATGTTTAAACAAAAGTGCCTCTGTTAATGTAGAAATAACCCAGATCATAGAATGTGTTCTGAGCTTGTGTTAAATGTATGAGGATAACAGTATTAATGTCGAGAGGGTCATCAGTAAAGTAGCGAAAAATTACTGTAGCAGTGGACGTAATTATAGTTAATTGAATTTTGTCACCTTTAATGCATGCCCAATAATGCATGTTGGAAATTCAAATCAATGGCGATCAGCAACCTGATCAGCAGGGTCATTGCAGTGAATAATCCCATCAATTGCTTAACCACTTCCCGACAGCCCCTTCAAAACAACTGCTTTGTGCAGTGATGCACAGACTGATCTGAGCAACCTCAGTTGACAGGCATGTGAATTTTAACGACTTATTTATTCAGGGAAATCACTATTTTAACTACAGGTAAGTTAGACTTAAGTTAAGTTAGATGTGTGCTCATTTGGAAGCTGCTCAGCGCTTCCTCAACACTGCTGATATTCAGATACTGCTACAGCACTACTCAATACTACCTGAAGTTGCAGCCACCCCTCCCCCTCACAGCTCAGGTGTGTTCACAAACTCCAGGCCAAAAATGAAAATTCGGTATCTGTGAAAGAAAGATGTTCAGCAGCTTCTTCCAGCCGTGACTCCTTCCTCAAGGCCAATCTAAATCAGCCAGTTCAAACCTGGTGTTTCACAGTTTTCAAGCTGTGTAAACAGTCGTCTGTCTGAGCCTCAAGCTGTCGTTGCTGGGGTTTGACTCCCTTTACTTACAGGCTGATGTCACAGTCACTACATGTCTTAAATAGGCTTGTCATATGTTGTCATTCTCAGGATGAAAGGCTGCTCTGAAATGCAATCATTTGGCATCTTAGTGGCACAAAATATAATCCAGGACAGTTTTATGAAAAAAAAAAAAAAGTTTTACAGAATTTTGAATAGTTTGGGTATTTTGAAGGTTTTTATCACTGTATGAATAGATGGTAGAGCGTGTCAGTGCTACAGGGATATAAGAGCAATGGAGCTTCAGCGCTGTCAAAAAATATGTGTGTATGTACATCGACAAGGAGATCATTTTTAAGTTTTTCTTTTTATTATTTGGAGGAATATGTTTTGGCACTACAGTTCCCGTCATGTTTTGGATCACATGTATGAGCTGCTTTTTTCATTCTGTTTAATCTACACTGTAATTATAGAAGATATATTTGTTGTTTTAAGAACCAAAAGCAATCTCAATGTAGTTTTACATCTCCTCTCTCAGACTTCTCTCTGGAGCTCCAGTAACAACAGGTCGGTCAGCCAATCAGAAGAGAGGAGGCTCTGAGCCTCTCTTCTGATTGGCTGATTGTTTTCTGAGTGATCAATAAAAATAAAGCAGATTTCAGGTAAACACAAATCCTGCAAGGTTGGATGGTGGGTCCAGGTGGGCGGCGTTAAGATCATGGCTGAGAGACTGCTTTATTTGTGACATCACAAAGTTCCAGAAGTCCTGACTTAATATAGAACCTAGAGCTGCTTTATAATCAAACAACACATGAACATCTACCTTTATACAATATGGGACCTTTAAATTAATGCATAAAGAGGACTGGAAGTTTTTTTTCAGCCCTACTTTAGAGTTCAGACTTTTATCTATGGAGTTTTGTGTCACTATTACTCTCATGTGGAGAGAATATTTGCTTTGATCGAAGTGGAGTAAGGTCTTCTCACAGGTAATAAGATGAGCGGAGGCTATTCTCGGTGCTGCTCAGGTTCAGCTACTTAGACTAATCGATTTTGACAACAGCAGGTAACATGACGTCTGGCAACAAAGAGAAAGTAGGCTAATACCCGACCAGTCAGAATGGAGACGGGGCTTTCTCTTGGCAACTGGATGACACCATTTCTCTCCCTACTGTCGTCATGTGCGCCACAGCGTCTCCATGCAGACTGTCTCTGTTTGTTGTGTGTCTCTGTCTGCTCTCCAAACCTTTTTTTACTCTTTGAAAATCTATATTCTAAAGCCGTAATTGTTGATGCTTGCAACATTGTTGTTTTCAAAGGCGACTTATCAGCACCTGACCAAGCCGCATGCGCTGGGACGAAGACAAAAAATCTATGTCTAGTCTGGATGTGCTAATGCAGCAAATACAAACTCCGGTTTTTGTCGTTGTCGCTTTGCACTGGTGGCCCTCTGAGAGGAAATAACTGGTGCACAGTATGACTGAAGTGAGGGGACAGTGCACATGAGGAGTTTCTTTCTTTATATCTTTGGTGTTGGCTCCCAGACCCTAAACTCTGAGCGGGATTGTGGCACATGCGACCACAGAATGACACAGGCTTTCTTGTACACACAGACGTAGTGGAGGGAGTAGGAGAGAGGCCGAGGTGGCGGCTGCTCAAAATGATTGCAGTCTTTTTTCTTTTCTTTTTTTTTTTTTTGGCGGTCCCCCGAGGTTTGCCCCAGAAAAACAAAAGCCATCTCTGAATCTGCACCTCGATATCATGTGACGCCATTTCTCTTTCTCCCCCTCCTCCCCAAAAGTGCTTACTTTATGATGTAGCAACCCAATATTTTCATTTTGTTGCATGGAATTTCTTTCTCCAGGATTTTTCCAGGACTTAGAAAGCATGTACTCATTTTTTAAAAGTCTTTAATTCCCGTGAAATTCATAATACACAGCAAGAAGCCATTTATTCTTTGTTATTGTTGATAAAAAGGTATGATAATAGTGTTATTAACACGCTAAAAGCATTTAGTTTGGGATAAATGCAATTGAATGAATCTCACAATCTGCCCTCTGCTCTTGGAGTTGCTCAGTCACAGAGATAAACATCAGGTACAGCGAAGAGAGGAGGAGCACGCTTGATGATAAGAATGTGGTTCAGCTGGACTGAAAGATTGTTCTTTTCCTTTTTCTGCTTTAATTAGAGCTTGTAAATTTTTGACCCAGGTGTAATGTAATGCAGTGAAAAGCACAAAATCCTCCACCCTCTTTTGTCTAAATGATCTTTATCACTAACATGTGAATACAAACAAGCTGCTGTAAGATTTCACAAGGAAGCAAGGTGTTGTCACTTTCCCAGTTAGCCAGTTATTTATTTATTATGTCATGCACATACAAGTGCCCAACCCACATAGACTTATAAAAAATACCATTGCAGAGATGAAGTGATGCAGTGATGTCAGGCATGAACATGAACTTACATTACACTGCAAACAAAGATCCTTGTCTTCTGTGCCAGGCTCTTCAAATACGATCAGCCACATAAAAGATTCCATTACTAAAACACAGATCAAGTTTAAAAGAAGAAAGAAATTCATGCAGAAGAACTTGCTGGAAATTAAAGACATTTTACTAAAATAAGTAGGTCTTAAATCATCATATAATGAGTATTAAACATGAAATAGACCTCATCTACAATCTCACATAAACCTGCCTTGTTTCATTAGCTAATAGTAATGTGTATGAATGTAACTTTGACTTTTGGCTGAATTCTGCTCCACCTAAAGCTCTACACTAGGCCTGAGCGATATGCAAAAAAATCATATGGTGATTACTTTGGCAGATATTGCGATATATGCGTCAGGATATGTGATGATGATGTGACAAACAAGCATGTTCCTTTATGTCCGGAGAATCTGACTTGTAGGCCTGGGCGTCTCCGTAACACCACAGTGTTTCATTAATGCTCTTATGTGACCTTTACCTTTATCAGCTCCTGTGATTTGCATATCAAATTTTGCCATAATGTGATTTCAATAATACGTCTATTAATTGTTCAGCCCTACTCTACACTGTAGTTGTTTTTCATCAGACCGTATGAGGATAATTTAGCTTTGAATCAAAGATCTTTCAGACGGACCCTCTTTCTTCGTACACCAGGAACAATTTGCAGTGGGCATCATGAATATTACACTGCAATCTGTTTTGAATGATAATTTAAGAAAAGAAATTCCTGTTCAACTTTTCTTTTTTTTCTTTTTTTACCACAGTGGTAAAAGGGCAATTGACCTCAGATAATTTGAGCGTCTCTGGCCTTTAAAGCCCGTCTCCTCCTCCTGTCCCTGTGCCCGCTCTCTGCTATCAGAGGCTACACAGACTGACTCTGGCCCACAGATTGGCACCCCTGCACAGATTAATCCAACAAGAAGGCCTGTTATAAAACAGGCTGGCGTGTTTTCATACACTCTGATGGGAGGGGAGACGAGGAGAGGAAAAAGGCAAAGAGACAGACAGGGAGAATGCTGCAGCTCCACAGCGCACAGCCCTGATATTAAACAGTTTAGCAGAGCTGGTTCACTGGACCTTCTGTTTGTTACAGTATTGGCCCGAGGAGCAAATTACTGCTGCTGCTTCTGTGTGGTCACCGCGACGGCGAGCAGCGACCGGTCCAGAGATTTTTCATTCCTGTGACATTTGAAGAAAGGCCCACTGATACGAGTAATGAAATGGAACTAATGAAACGTCAACGTGCATAACACGAGCATCAGGTGATTTATTAGGTGTTCCCGGTCCCCTGTGATAAACTCACCTTTCATTACGGCAAAATTCAAATCCTTTGTGTTCAGCTTTTCCTCCTCGGTGAGCAGCAGGTATGTCTCACGTCAGTTTTCCTCTGCTGACATACAGAAGCATCTCATGAGGACAATGAGCAGAAAAATAAAAAAGCCAAAACCTACACATTATATAACACATTTTGAAAACGCCCATCCTAAATGGAGGAGTGAGGGTATTTTACTGCGCTAACCCATGTGAACACCACAGTCTGCTTATGCTGGTAGGATTATACTGCGATGGTGGTGTAGGTGTAATTGCACCACCACATACGGAGCGCTCTCATTTCACTGGCACCAGTCAGAACAT